GGGGGGGGGGGGGGGGGGGGGGGGGGGGGGGGGGGGGGGGGGGCTGGAAGTATGTAGGAGTAGGAGTAGGTATTCCGTCCAGCATCAGCGTCCGCGTCCGCGTCCGCTACTAGTAGATCAATCAATCTTGCTTGTGGCTTCTGGGCGATGCTGCTGGACTTTCAATTATTGGATGGGTGCCGTGGAGGAATGAGAAGCGCAGACACATCCAATGGGTGGTTGAGTGAGTGAGCAAGCGAACGAGGGGACGCCCGCCGAGTTCCAGGGCAGCAGTACCACTACCGGTATCGATCCAAGTCAGGGGAGGCGGTCTGGATTGCACTCCAGAGAGATGGCAGAGAGTCGAATGACGGACAACGGGGTGGACGCACGACGTGCGCAACGCAGCGCGACGCACAGGGGAGAACGAGGTAACAAGGTCGTACTGTAGCCCTCTAGCCTGGTGGGAGGGGGGAGCCAACAACGAACCTGGAACCTGGGCTGGGGAGACGAGAGTTCCTGGGGAGCACTGTTATTTTTTTCTTCTCTTAAGGTGCCCCCGGAGACGCTTCATGAGCGTAAGGCTACCCTTGGGTACGGGATTGCAGGTACAGCAGGTCCAGGTATCCGGTAGTCAGGTAACTATCTTGTCAGACTTGTCGCAGTAATTACCGTGAGGGCGGCGGGCCTAATCGTGCTAGTCTGGGCCGTAGGCTTTATGGGTGCATAGCGGGCTTCCTTGGGCTGCCCTGGTCTCAGGACCGAGTGGGTGTCGTGTCTTGGAGAAATGCGATCGTCCAGGAACGACGATCAAGAAGAGGGGCGCCGGCACCGCCTTATCCCCACCCTGCCCTGCATGCGAATGGCGTCGAGATGATTGATGGCCCTATCGCAACGCTTTTTTTTTTGCTTCTCTTTGCTGCGAAGCGGGTACGGGGAGTGGGATATTGCAGCTACAGTGACTGACTATGTATTGCGTACGGCGACGTCGACGTCTCTGCGCCTGTTCTCTCTCGTGCTACTTCTCGAATGCCTTCTCCGTACTATCTGTGTACATAACCGCCCGATGGTTGGAAGGATGTGAAAACAGGATTTACCGCAGGCTCCTGCAGGTCCGTGAGAAACAACCTTTTTCTTCGCAGGCCGTCCACGGACCACGATGACAACAGTGTCCGAAGCAACGAATGAATGACCCGGGGTCTGGGATTCCTCAGGTCGGGCTGCGGATGTTTCTCCCACCCCATCTGCCTTGTTCTGAAACGGTGATTCTACTATGTAGACAGCACACAGGCACGCAAGTACCGTGGCAGGGCTTCTCGGGGTGGCAGACACCAGAATAGATGCACACACACTCCTTCCCGCTCTCTCATGCGAGGCAGAAACATCGGGTGCACAGCCGTGTCGCACATGTCAGAGCAAAGCTCGACGGCGCATACGTGAGCATGAGAGACCCTCGCTGTCCTGCACATTCGTCGCCGCCTGCAACGTCGAGAGCCCGTCGGGCCCGTCTTGCACGCTCCGTGACGGAGTATGCCTTCTTCGCATTCTATGCGCCGGTCTGCTGTAACTAACTCGTGCTGGCAGCGCATTAGTCAAACGAAGCGGGAGCCCGACACCTGAACCCAGCGACGAATAGCGCATTGGCGATTGGCGCTAGTGCCGTTTGAGAAGTCTGCAGGGGGTGTCGACTCTGAATGATTCAGACCGGAAAAGGGGGAGGCGAATCGCCCGTAACATGGACAGGTTGGCACGCAGGCAGGTATCGTTGCATTGTTCATCATGGCTACGTATTCCTGCCTGCCAGACGTCTGTGTACGCAACTCGTAGCCGCGACTGCTACGGTCTTTTAATTGCAGGATGCGTCGGTTTCATCAATCAAGATCCATGTGCGCTGCCGTCTTTTGACGTTCGCGTGTGGGGAAAATACTCCGAACCTGATGATAATCCTCGTCGCGGGTGTCAGGGGACTCAGGGACACAGCCGAGGGCTATGCGCTGTGGGTGGGACCCCCGTCAGGCCCCGTCCAGGACCTGCACTGATGTCGCCAGGGCCCCCAGGGGCCACGGGTCAGAGGTCAGCACTAACTAAAATGACAACGCTAAGGTTGATAGAGGGGCATCATGGATGACCAGGATGTCCCCGCGAAGAAACTGCCTTGATCAACTCAACGCCAGCTGGCCATCAAATATGGTATACTATGGTACATCTTTTTCCTGGAGTCAAACGTCTCACAATCCGCCTCTCAATTAAAATTTGTCTAGCTTCACATGACATTTTTCCAACAAATTGTGTTTTTCGTATCTGGCGCATCCTAGAGTCCATTGTCGCAAACAAAGATCCCTCAGCTAGGATCATATCAGACATAACCAGCTAGCTGAGTAGCTCAGACGCATCTGCAATGCCTCGCTAGTGTATTGCTGTGTACACGAGCTAGATAGGATGCCCAGGGTTGACGAGGTGACCAATCGGCTCCGTCCATCAATATGCACGCGGCCCGGGCGAAGGTTGCAGTTCAACACCTGGAGATTGGAAACAGGTTGATTGCAGGTCGTCAACGTTTCAAGTACCCATCGACTCGTAACTGTCATGTTGACATACGAGCTCTGCCCGGCGGCAGGCAAAGCAGGCTCCTGGAGGTAGCGGAACAGTACAATGCCACGGCAATCCACCATTGATTGCTCACCGTTCCCAGAGGATCCGAGAGACAAGCATCCATCTTCATGCTCATCCGGTCGTCCGGATAGTTCAAGAAATCCGCAGCTGAAACTGATTGGGAGTTACCGGCGGAAAGGTACGTGACAGAGTATTCCTTGAGACCATTGGGTACGACGAGTCCGCAGCTGGACGATACCCACGCCATTATCTCATTGAGCCTATGGGAATAAGTATGCCTATCATGACTAGTACTAGACCTCCCAAAGGAACAGGCCGCGCTTGCTGTCTTTTGCATGCCCCTCCTTCAAGATCGAGATCAACTATCTCGGATTCTAGGAGCATTGGTAAGCTGCACGCTCACCGTTGTCGCCAAGCTGCGATGAATATGGTTAGTATTCTGCATATCCCCAATCCCGAGACTGGCCAGTTTGATCTCGGGTTATGGTTTCAGTGCCTCGTCTCTGCTGGCGCCTGTAGTACGCTCACTTTGTGCTACATATGCTGTAGCTGATTACCCAACAAGCCGGATACAGCATCATGACCTCCGTCAGGCATGGGTGCGGCGCATGTTTCTTTCCATCATGCTCCCAAGTGTCAGCCGGACCCATGCAAGCATCACACCAAGGCACGACATTGTGCATCTTCAGGACGCCATTCCAGTTGCGTCTGACGGTTTGACGTCTGTCGTGCAACTGCTGCACGTCTCCATGCTCCACCAGCCTTGCGGGGACGTGCATGTAAATGGATCGCGTCGTCGCTCACGCGGTCCCTTACCGTCTCGACGATGTAGGCAACTCCGTGACCCGTGCCTGGAATCAGATGTGGGGGTTTTAACTTACAATAGTACATAGCAAGCTAAGAAAGACCCCTTTTCCTCTCTCATCTCGGCAAAGTCGGCCATCCGCATCAAGCGCAGATATCTTTCAGCCTAGAGCAGGGCTTATGGCTTCAGCCTCGTTAGCTTCTCGACGGTGCTACCTACTACCGTCGAGATCACCTGAATCGAGCTCAGCTTGCAGTCCGTATCGCCAGATCCCATGTGCCTGGCGCTTGCCGAGCACACATAGTCACTCTTGGACTTTTCTGCTTCCGAGTCAGAACGTCTGACTCAAAATCCAGGTACGGAGTATGAGGTGAGCAGCCACCGGGAATAACGCTTTTCTCCAGGACCCAGCTTCAAGCGCAGCTCTAAGACCTAATCCGTTACCCTTGCCGCTGATCAGGTGCCGTTTCGGGACTGCAGAAAAGAAGCATTGGCTCGTGCTGCCCGTTGAAAAGCAAGGACTCTCTGGATACCGTGCATGCTCGTACTAAAATAGTGGGATTCTGCTGATAGGGTCAGGCCATTTGTGGAACATCGCGTGTTGTTCAAACCTACGAGTAGAGGATAAGCCAACCACGTAGAACCTTGATGAACCTCGTTTTCAATCTTTAAGATGAAGGACTTCTGATCTAGAATTCCCCGTCTACAGGTGTCTCACATAAGCGTACAGCTTCCTTCTTCCTTGGCCAGCTCGATGGCTTTGCCCCCACTCCATATCCTCCGAAGCCTCCGTGTAGCTGTGATATCTTTCGTGGGGTCTCCTTCGACTAGAAGCAAATCAGCCTTGAGGCCGGGGCCAATTGTCCCTCTGTCGTCAATGCCGAAGGACTTGGCAGCAAGGGATGTGGCAGCCCTTAGCGCCTCGGTGGGAGTGAGCCCAGCCCTGACCAGAAGCTCCAGCTCGTGATGAAGCGACTTCCCACACCTAACGCTCATGAACGGGTTGTTGTTCGTATCGGTGCCCGCGAGGATGGGCACGCCAGCTCGGTGCATTGCAGCCACGCTGTCTACGGCGTTTTGAAAGTTCATGCGACCCTTGAACAGCGTCAGCACCCAGCTGCCGGCAAAGGTCTCCATCATTGTCAACGTCGGTACCGCAATGGTCTGCCGCTGTACCATCTTGTTTGTGATCTGGCTGTCCAGAGCCTTGTCCATGGGTGCGTGAGTCAGGATGTTGAAGCCGGCCTGTAAGCCGCGCGTAAAGGCGTCGTAGTGGGCAGTATGAGCCACAGTCATCTTGCCATGTTGCACCGCACTCCGCTGAAGCTCGTCCAGGGACTCCTGCTCGATCCCCGGGGCATCCGCGATGATCTTGATGTAGTCGACGCCCTGGCGTACCCTGTCCTCCACGAACATGGCAGCCTCCTCCGTGCCCCGTACAGCCTTCTCCATCCCAACGCCTGCGAACCGCATGAGCCGGCCGTGTGTCGACTTCTCCGCAAATGCCGGCAGCCCCGACCCCAGCCAGCGCGTCGCCACATCCGCCGAGTGCAGCTTCTCGTACTTCTCCGGAGGCCAGCAGGCCATGTCGCAGACAGTCGTGACGCCGTAGGACGCGCACGAGGCTAGCTGCTCCACGCTGTCAATGTGCACATGACAGTCGATGAGTCCGGGCAGCAAGGTACAGCCTGTGCCGTCAATCACAGTGTCTGCATTACTTCCTCCCTCTTCATCTTCTACAATCTGAGGTCCATCAATGATGACGGTCCTGGGCTCGTTGATGTTTTCGCCGTCAAAGACCAGAGCGTTCTTGATCACCGTTTTGGGCATCATGCATCCACAGCTTCTGTGAGTTGGTATCGGTATAGAGATGGTATTAAATGCGACGTTCCAGTAGGTTTACCATGTATGCCAGTACCATGCCAAAAGTCAACTGAAGTGCTGGAGTGGAATTATATGATGCAGCTCGCGTCTTGGTGGTGGTGCCGTACATACATAGCTACGATGACGCGTGCGGTCGGAGGCAAGACTCTGAGAACCCCGATAACACAATCAGTGGATCGGTCTTTCACTTCCTTCCTACTGCCAGACCAATCCGGTATCGACCTTAAGCCATTTCTACTAGCCAGTCCTTTTGCAATTTTCCAATATGACCAGTCAATAATCATTCTTGACTTTCCCTGAAGAGGTCTTACTTAGAGTTACCGGATAGGCCAGCTTCAGCAGAGCCCGAGAGGCCCCACCCGGAGCCGATATGCCTGGGCGCGGAGACGACAACGCCAAGTCCGCGCAGAGATGAGAGAAGCGCGCTCATGCAAGCATTCCGGTTCTAGCTATCTTAATGCCTGCCATGATTCTGTCTTGGAGGTTATTTGGTGTCGCACCCTCTAACCCAGGAGAAAAATAAATAAAGTAAACAGAGGGGGGGGGGAACAGAAGCCCATACTAGCTACAACAAGCCACGTTTTACCCTGCTCGCTTGCTCTTCCGCTCATTTCACCTTAACCTCACAGGTATTATATGCCACCTGAATTTCGATTTCAGCGTAATATACGCTTACTCCAGCCTTTCAGATATCCCAGGAGTGAAATGCAAATTTATGGTCGTGGTAGCGAAGAGGCAATTCAGAGGTGTGCAATTTCCAAGATCAGTAGGATATTTCAAATACAATCAACAAAATACTATCAAATTCACCACGGGTTGGCCGCATATCGGTGTATCAACACGTAGGGGTTCTTATAGAAATATGGAACGCGAAGTGCTGAGATTCTAAACAAATCAATGCAAGAACTTGGGTGTCGATGACTGGCCGATCTCATCTCTCCGTGTCTGCCACATCTTGTATTCCACGTGGATGTCAGCTATTTGGTCCCATATCATGAATGAGAGTTCTTTATTTACATAAGCCGCAGTTTCAATGAGAACCATCAAAGTAAAGCATTTGAAACGGGGTAGACATCTGACACACGGGCTGTGCTATTCGAAAAGCCATTGGGTCTTGCGGGTCAACAACAAACGCGCGTTTGCTCACTAAAACTTCAAATCTGCCTACTCGATGCTCGCAGGGAAAAGGAAAGTTTACCATCCCAACACGACTCTCCGAAGCCGTTGGCGTTGTGCTTTCCCCCTCCCTCCATCACCACGTCTTGATCAAATTCGAGATCACCTTGCAAGCTGATCAGCTCACCGTCATCATCATTCCCTCATCTTTTCTTCAGGTGCCAATTGCATTGCGAAATCTCAATTTTCTTTGCACTGCTGACCAGGAGCTTCCTGGTGCGTTGTCCGTTTTGTGGGATTTCCATCTCACATACCGTGGATGACCATGTCGTCTCCCGCCTTGCTAGATGCTGTGTTCAACCATCTGGTGCTTCCTCGGAAGCTACCAGGGACTCAGGATGCGAGGCTGTTGGACATCCAGAATGATCTCGTCTCTCGCATGATCAGAGCTTGCGACAGCTTGAGAAGCATGACCAACCCGAAATTTACGTCAACTTGGGATGACCTCCGAGAGTCTTTAAAGCTATGCGGCATGATCAACCAGGGCTACCTTGACAAGGCAAAGCTCAAGGTTCAATTTCGAAGCCTCGAACCAAACACCATGCTCATACTGCATGTTGTTCAACAAAATGCAGCACTTCTCGTCCGCCACTACCAGACGTAAGCAGTCCTAAAAGCCACGTATTAGGATTCTCATGACCGGACGCTAACAATTTGTATCTAGTGATGGCGTAGAGAAGGTCGTCTTCGAATGCTTTGAGGTGTCTCCTACGCCCGACGAAGTGTTAGCCACGGACAATGCCTTGCAATGGGACTTTCCCGGAAGATCTGCCGAGATTCCTACCGAAGTCTTCCAAACCGAGTCTTTTCAAGATATGCTATCTCAATTTCTCGAGCAGGCGAGTTCGGAGAAGTTGCAGTCCTTCGCCGCACACGTGATGAAAGCCGGTGTCCCGGTCATCGAGTCTCGAGGTACTGCAGATCCTGCACTCATCAGCCAAATGCTCCTTTCACAATTGGAGGCCATTGGCACTTACCACGAGGCGCCAAAGATTCGGAAGAGAGTACGCGATGATGTCAACATCAACCGAGCAGAGATCCCCTGGCGACGACATCCATTCTGGCTTATGCTTCGCGTGGCCTCTCAGCGTCAGCTCCACACTAGGCTTGGCAACGTGGACGGTCGATCCTGTTACAAGGTCCTGATTTCTGCTGTTCTCTGTCAATTCTTGAAAGAGTGTGCGGGCACGGTCAGTCCCGAGAACCGCTTGCGGCTTTGTGATAAGCTAGCATCTCGGCTTGCAAAACTTGAGAAGGATATTGAGAATACCCAGTCCACTTCAACTACCTTGAAAGATCTGCTATCGACAGTCGGCCCTTTCTTCGAAAATGTTCTTGATGAATCGAGCCTTGGGTTGACAAAAGCGTGTGAGGACTACAGGCGGAGTGTCGTCAGAAAAATTGCAATCTTGCCACGCCGGGCCATGCAAGACGAATTGCGCCTCACATTGCCCAACAGCGGTGGGTTGCTCTGGCACATACTCAAAACGCGTCCGCCTGAAGCCGGAAACAGACAATCATTCACACTGCCAGAACTTGACGGCACAGTGGCCCAGTCTGCCCGATTCGCCAAAAACTATGTCGATCTTGCTCATTACGAGAGCACACCCGACGCCTTGGTCCAGAATGAGATGAAGTGGGCAGCAGACGATTCGTTTGACGACAAGTGTTCTGCTTTGGCGAGGCAATCTATTGCTCTAATTCAACGCGTTAGGAACGCATATGAATCCAATCCTGAGCAGATGAGCAACTTCCTCCTCAAAGTCTTTGATTTGTGGGTAAAATTGGATGAGGAAGCCACGAGGCGGTGCCCTCTGCTGCTTGACCTCCATCCCATCTTCACACCAGAGCTCATTGAAGCTTTGCAGCCATCTTCTCGGAGCGACCTGGCACGACTTCGCCGGATCCAGGAATATCTATGGGACCGTGTGCAACGATGCAAGACCTTGCAAGGGACAATTCTCAGTTCCATACAGGCCGACGGCTTTGCTTCACGATACTTCACTCACAATGCTTGTCTCGAAGAATTAAGAGTACGTCTTGAACAGGATTCCCAGGATCTACGCACTCGGAAGAAGGCCGAGTGGCGTGAGCTCTGCGAAGAGTACGATAAACTGACAGAACGGATTCTTGGACGGACCTGCGAGTGCGAATTCGACATCAACGGCAAAAAGATTACGCCTGTCTGCAGGAAGTGCTCTTACTGGGGCGCTCGATGCAATCTCCAGATCGCAATCCATGAGGACTATCTACCCATCGACGAAACTCAGCGCAACGCCATGCTCCTGGAACTGGCAATGCCCAGGTATCTACGAGAGTATCGAGATGCTACTTGGAATATCTGCATGACTCTGGCTTACCCAAGCAGACCCATGAGCACCCAGGCGCCAGAAAAGCTGATCGAGGAGTTTGGAAATGTCGTAAAGAAGGACTACGTCAACTGGATACCAGGTCGAATCACCTTGGCATCGGGTAAGAAGGCTTTTATCGACACTCACTACAAGTGGCAAAACGTCAAAGTAGACCTCGAGCGCGTTATACTCCCCAACCCTCTCAATCTGGCTTACTGGGACAAAGAGGAACGGCAATGGGTCCACCAATTGGATAAGCCCCTTACCTTGCAACATCTTTGTCGCATCCAGATACCTTCCAGCCTGGTATCTAGCGTTCTACCGCAAGTCTTGCACCCAAACACGACTTCCTTAGGGCCGACTTCGTATGAAATCCAAGCCAACCAAACTTCCTGCCCACCCCAAATTCTAATGTCAGAGTTCGTTGGACTCCAACAACTGCTCGCAACTCGCAATCTGCGCTGGTTGGTAATCCTCCGGGAGATGAGGTCACCGAATTTGGACTTGAGGAACGAGGAGACCGCAACCATGATTAGCCAGCTTGTGAAAGAAGCTGGCCCGATGAAGCTTGGAGAGCCACTTCTGGGAAGTATGCATTCGGTACTAGCTAACGACTCTTTCTGTTGCCAACTCTTAGATTTCATTGACGGCAAACTGGAAGAGATGAGATCCCGACAACATGAAGGACCCATCATGGACCTCATGCTTTCATTGAGCATGCAGCTTTATGAGTTGGGGCCAAGAGGCCTCGTCGATGCGTCTGCCAAAAGGATCAAGAGCATTCGTGCCATCTCTTTGCAGTGGGCAAAATCCATTCGTTCTGAGATGCAGAACTGCAAAGAAGATCGAGCAGCGGAGCATAAAGCAAGATATGGACTTTGGGCAGCCCTAATCTGCCGGCGGTCATTTTACTGGTGCGTTGAAGGCACCTCCAAGATGAAACCAGGGGAATTCTCGGATTTCATACAAGCATCTCTAGCATTGCAGTGGAACCTAGTGGTTGAGCCGCAGAAGCTTCCCACGGTCTTGCGAAACATGTTGGTTCGAGATGCGCGAATCGCCTCAAAGCTGCGAACTGTTCTCCAATCCTCGTTAAGATTGAGTGTCGGTGGCTTGGAGACAGCAATCAACTCTATCTGGTCTAGCTTAGGCCAAGTTCATGAGAGAAGATTCACCGCCTGGGAACCTGCAACTACCTCCGGCAGAGATGCAGACAACGACGATGGTTGGATCGTTTCCAAGGCAACGAATAGAGTTGGTGGATTCACTTACGACCAAGTTATTCACTATAACTACATTGAGGGACACCTTCTTGTGAATGGGAAGCCCTTGGGCAAGCTCCCAGAACAGATTAGGGAAGACTTCTACGTCAAAACCATCTTCGGGGGGAAGTACCTCTTGACCTGTCCATCGAGCCTGGCCGGTATGTCTCACATGCTGGTTAACAGTGAGCCAAATCATGAGATTCACTTTGGTATCCGCGACGGCACGGTCATCATTCGAGACCTCACCAAAGATGGGTTGCTTGAGTTCATACCAAACCGGATATTCAAGGGAAAGGAACACTTCGATCTCCCTTCAAGCCTTGTTGATAACTGCATTCATTGGCTGAATCTCAAAACAAAACGCCTGGAAGTTCGCCGTGAATCTACGATGTGGTTTACGAAATCCAACGATTGGGTACTTGACATGACAAATCGTCAAGCGAGGCGTGGAAAGTCATCATTAGTGGACCCGAACTCCGAGGTTGGCAAGATGGTTGCAAGAATCTTCACTGATTTCGAGGTTCCTGACCGGATTACAATATGCCAGCCAGAAACGAGTTCATTTTCCGTCGAGTTGCGCCACTTGGATCTCACACTTCGGGTCAATGCGAGGGGTCTACTCCAATCCCTTGAATTGAAGGTTGAAATAGACCCAAATCAAGATGCAGGCACTCTTTGTAAGTGACCTCTGGCACCAGCACTAACACTTTGACAACGCTCAGTCGTGTGGATATTCTGACAGTCTTTTTAGATGGGTTCTCCAGTATGATTGTATTTCGAGATGTCGAAAATCATAGCAAACGCAGCATTTTTGTTTCAACTGGAGAGCTATATGCCTCCCGGACTAAATTTCACGTGAGATCAGGGAGACGGAGTGCCGACGCGTACTTGAGATTTGATATCGACGAGGTCTTAGGCAGGCTGACATGCGCATCAGAGCCACGTCTCCTTTACAACAAAGCCCACTTGCATGCAATGACCTCATTCATGCTCCCGGATCCCCTCACTGGGAGAACTGGGTCTGAGGAAGCCCTAGCTATACTCACGTCCAGCCAATGTCAGCCCTGGGAGCCTGTTTCATCTGGCGCACAGCCGATTCTCAAGGAAATAGCGGCGCTGAGTCCGAGACGGAGGTTTTACCCAGAAGACAAACGATACATGCAAACAGTGGTTTGGGATGATCGCTTGACTGCAACTACCCAACACGATCACTACGAGGTGGTTGTCAACAATATCCTGGAGAAGTCGTACAAATTGAATGCCTTTGCTTCAAGTAAAGTGATTCCAGGTCATATCAAGCCGGCAGATATTTCTTCACTCAGAGCCAGGGCCCAAGCTCAGCAATCGAAGTACGAACGCGAGAACGCTTCTTCCCAGAAGTATGCCTCTCAAAATGATAGAGTTTACGCCTCTCGAGATCGCCACACAACCTCTTCAAGGGCCAAAAGAGCGTTTCATATGACGAAGCTCTTGTTACAGGAGGATCTCGTAATAAGCTTGACTCAAGATCTCAAGTCAATTATGTCAAGCTGGAAGACCATTGGAGGTTTCAGAGCCACCAACCAGAAGCCAACGTTTTCCTTAAGTGAGTTGATTGAGAAGAGCATCAGCGAGAATTGGGGGAGTTTATTGCGCGTGTTCAGACTGTCTGATTCGAACAAAGACAGGTACCAGTTGATAAATCAGCTGTGCCTTCTTTGCTTTGGACCAAGGGGGGATGCAGAGATGGACATGATCAAGGCATTTGCGGCCTTTGCTTGGATCGACGAAGCCAAGACGCTGACTTTACCGGATGCTGATTCGTTTGTGGGCTACAAACCGGGAGAGCAGCCGGATCTGGACACCATCAAAAGCCTTGTCACAACGGGATATCCGGAATATGTTGAAAAAGAGGGACACTCGAAAATCAATCGGGCAGCCAGCAACCGAGAGCATCGTGAGAAAATGGAGGTTGAAGGGCTCAGGCTGACCATTTTCTTGCTCAATCAATGGCCAAAGGAAGAACTGACTCTGGACGGTTTTGAATCCAGCCTTATGAACATCCAAGACGCCCTCCAATCGGTGTCCGTCGAATGGGAGCGTCTTCAGAAGAACAAAAACTTGCATCAGTTTCTAATCGACGCACAAATCGTTCTACAAAACGTTTCGGTCGACCAGGAGCCGGTATATCCGACGTTGTCAGCTTTCAAGTCACCGATCTTTACTTGGCATCACGAAAGCACACATCAACCGCCGTTTTCAGCAATATTCAGTCGGAAACCTGGTGTGCCGACATCGTTAATGCAGAGGCTCCAGGATGTGCAAGGCTCAAGAGAGATAGCCAAGTCCCTAGCATCCTCTGCGGAGAAACGGCGAATTATTGGGCCCAATAATTTGCCCAAGGAAGTGGCAGAACTCGGACGTCTTCTCGAAACCTTCAAGTCAGCGTGTAATGACAACCCCTCTCGGACAGAATATGTTGACGACCTCAAAACTAGCTTGATAGCTTTACAGGGAAGTTCGGCTTTGGCAGTCGAGGGACAGTCACCAGACTTGAAGGAATCGGTAATCGAACAAGGCATTATTGACTGCAAAGCGCAAGTCAGTACGATACTTGGTATCATTCAAGAAACCCTGTCGATGGATACACAACAATACAAGTGGTTGGGCAAAAGCAGACTTTGGTATAGTGTCACGCCAATAACCCTACTGCAGCAGCTACGGTCGACCAGAAGGGAGGATATTCACGATGACTGGAAGAAAAGCCTTGTCGCTTTCGGTCTGTGCATTGCGGGCTTGCAAAGAGTCCTCCGAATCAAAGATGCAAAACTTCAAGGCAACAGACAACGTATCACTGAGGAGCTCCAAAACATTGGACATCAGAACTGGGATCCTTCCAAAATTTCCGATTAGCTTTTGTTAGAGATCGACAGTGATCTGCTCATCCGCGAAGAGCAAGTGGTGGTCGCAAAATCAATGATTTCACCAGCAGCTAGCGCGAACACAGTGTTGCAGTTAAACATGGGCAGAGGTGAGTTGAATGACATGTTAGCAGTAACTCCATTCTTATTACTGACCCACGAAAGGTAAAACGTCTTGTATCCTGCCGATGGTAGCGGCGGTTCTAGCTGATGGAAAGCAACTTTCCCGGCTCATTGTTCCCAAGCCTTTGCTGGTACAGACTGCTCAGATTTTGCAAACAAAGCTAGGTGGCCTGTTGGGCCGCGATATCCTCCACATTCCGTTCTCACGCCGTACGCCAACCACATCCAAGTTCACAACTCTCTTCAGACAACTTCATCAAGAAACATTGACTTCCCGAGGTGTGATGCTCACCATGCCGGAGACTGTTCTCTCGTTCCAACTAAGTGGAATTCAACGCCTGAAAGACATACGATTAGATGAAGCGAGGGACATGATGCTGTTTCAACAATGGCTGACCGCAAAGTGCCGGGATGTGATCGATGAGTCCGACTTCAGTCTAGCTGTCAAGACCCAACTGATATATCCCAGCGGATCTCAGGAGCCCTTAGATGGCCATGCACTGCGATGGCATGCGTCTCAGAGCCTCCTAGATCTCATTGAAGGCCATTTGACGCCTTTGTGTAAGGAATTTCCTAAAAGTATCATCGTTGTCAGAAGGCGACATGGCTACCCGACTGTATACTTTCTAAAGCAAGAAGTTGAAGACGCCCTAACTAATCTCTTGGTGAACGACGTATCCTGTGGAAGACTGCAGAGTCTCCGTATGCCGGGACCCTGGACCCAAAAGATTGGAACTGAGATAACACGGGTTCTATCGGATGAAAATCTTATCCGCAAAAACTTCCGACGTGCAGCGAGACACTTCGCAGATCGAGAATCAGCTTATAAACTTCTTCTTCTCATCCGTGGACTTTTGAAACAGAAGATTCTTCTGTCATGCTTGAAGAAAAGATGGAATGTCCAATTTGGAATACACCCAGCGCGAGACCCAATCGCTGTCCCATTCGAGGCAAAGGGTGTGCCTCACGAACAAGCTGAATTTGGTCATCCCGACGCGGCTATCGCTTTCACCTGTTTGTCCTTCTACTATGGAGGAATCTCAAAATCCCAATTCAGCGAGGCGCTGCAGCATGTCTTAAGTTCTGATGATCCAACGACTGAATATGATCGTTGGATTAGTGAGGCTATGGTCCTTCCAACTACATTGCGGCAATGGAACAATTTGAATCTAGAAGATGAGCCGCAGATTGAAACTTTGTGGAGATCTCTACGATACCAAAGGAGTATTGTCAACCACTACCTGAATAACTTCGTATTTCCAGTCCATGCGAGGCAGTTCCTGGTGAAGCTCCAGGCCTCTGGCTGGGATTTGCCGCAGTTCTCTGCAGGAGGGAAGTTGAAGGCTAATGTTACAGTTGGGTTCTCGGGCACCAATGACAACAAACTGCTATTACCGCTTACAATCAAGCAAGACGATCTTCCCAGGCTAGTCGAGACCAACGCCAAGGTTCTGACATATCTTCTCAAAGATCGAAGCCGGGGCTACTACAAAGCTTCAGATGACTTTGGACGGCCGCTCTCAGAACCAAGTCTACTTCAGAAGATCAAGTCTCAAAAAATCAGATTGCTGATCGATGCTGGGGCATACATACTCGATCTGGACAACCAAGATCTAGCCCAAAAATGGCTCGAGATTGACACAGAAGCCAAAGCGGCAGTGTACTTCAGAAACGACAACAAAGCTTGGGTCAAGTACCGTGGCGGCAAGAAGCAAGATATCCCCTTGTTAGCGACACCGTTCGTCGATCGACTCGATCAGTGTGTGGTATACTTGGATCAGGCGCATACCCGAGGCACAGACTTCAAGTTTCCTCCACAGACACGCGGCGCTTTGACTTTGGCATTAGGACAGACCAAGGACCATACCGTACAAGTTAAGAGTTCCAACGAGGGAGCTGCGCTCCTGCTTTGAATAATAACGTGATTATAGCTGCAATGCGACTACGGCAACTGGAGACAACTCAATCCGTCACATTCTTCGCCCCTCCCGAGGTACACCAAAGCATTCTTGATGTCTGCGGCAAGAAACCAAAGTCTCTCATTGACTCTGCTGATGTTGTTTTCTGGCTTTTGGAACAGACTTGTCGAGCTAACGACACCTTACGCAATCTTTACATTGCTCAGGGTAGGGATTTTTGTCGTCGAACAGATGCGGCTTTCACAAACAGCCAGATGTTCGCAGATAAACGTCAGCGAGACGCGTACTTGAGTATTATCGAACAGCCAGAGAAACAGACACTGGAACAGTCTTACGGTGGAATCGAACCCAAGGTCGAAGCCAAAACCAATGGAACGCTGAAGCCCAGACTATCTTCCAAGCGACTCCAGAACATGACCGAGAAACTCGATACAATGCAGTATTCAGACTCAAGCGACTCTAGATCCGGATTTGATGTTCTTGGCGAAGTTGAACAGGAGCGTGAGGTTGAATATCAGGTGGAGGAAGTGCGATTGGCCAAGAAACCGCTCAAGCGCACTGCCTTGGTTTTCGAAAAGCTGCACAAATACCTGGACTATTTCCTTGAGACTGGCCATCTTCCGTCGAATCACAAGTTCAAGCACGCTTAGGCAGCAATTGCTAGAACTGCCATTGGACAGAAATACGACATTCGAGAGAGTCCATCTCGCCTTTTTGTGACGGAAGAGTTCTTACGAACTGTCCAGCTCAAAACTCACGAGCGGGCTAAGAACGACGACTATCTGGTAAGAGATACAGAGCCTGAACTACACATATTTAATGACTAACGCATCATAGCGCCCAGTTGAATGGGTTCTTTGGAGCACTACAAGCCAGACAGCTATAGTCATTATTCCGGAAGAGGCAGAGCTCATGATCCACCGCATCAAAGCTCAGGCACATCCGAAGTTACACTTAATCACCTACGCGCCCCCCGTAACAAAGCAGATGGTGGATCTGGGACAACTGAACTACTACAACGTCCCCGCTCTGCCCCCGAACCACGAATTCCCACAATGGCTGTCCATCGAATTGGGCATCTTCTCAGGACGCCTATACGTGGACCATGGGGAATGCCTGCCCATCAGAGACTATCTTGAGGAGCTCAGAGATGGCTATGAATACGACCCAGGAAAGACCATAGCATCAGTTACAGACGCTGAAGGCTTTCTTCTGGAGTGGTTGACATTTCGTCGTCGTGGGCAGGATGTCGTGCACACACCTATGGGTTTTCTGTGCCATGGCCGATTCTTGTCTAAGAACCACCCATTCTTTGGAACCAACTCAGTTGTTCCTATGAGCATTGATGAGACTTCTGTGGAGTCGGAAGTCGTCGCGGCGACAACCAACAGCTCTGCTGAGGAAAGCAACGAGGACGAGGATGACGTAGATGACGACAGCGAATGGGTATTGATGAGTGACGAAGACTCTCAGGAGTAGCCACGAAATGTTCGTGGCGATACTGGGCTTGGCTAAATGTCTGTTGGACTACGAAGAGACCGTGACAATTGCAGAATATGATTGGTAGCTAATTGCGTAGCTAGACCTGTGACCCGCATTTGGACTTTGAAAGTCACTCACTTGCTGAACTATTGTCGGTAGACGAGATCAATAGTATGACAAAAGACCCTTTGATTGCTGTTCAGCGTGAATGTGTACTTCTCATACCTCCGTTAAGAGCGAAATGTACGAGGCCGGATAATCACCCCAAGCTAATTCTCCTTTTTAGCAATATGAGACTGCTGTTGGCCACAACTCGGCTACTGACTATCTATTACCTTGTGGCACTTGCATATACTATCACTATAGTCAGCGATTAGTATCAGGTCGTGAACAGCGTTTCCTCTAGCTGAGTTAGTCTAAACTCTAATCATATACGGCTGACTATAGGGCGGCCCGGATAAGCGGGATTATCATCCGACAAGAGACGCCACGAACAGTATCAACAAGCCGCTGCGGGGTTAGTGGAATCTTCTGTTAACACCGAGTGTCTTGCATCATCACTTCAGGCCTGTGAGTGCAAGTACCCTGAGGGTTCCGGTGCGGTACCCCTCACGAGGTGGGGTTTCGTTGTATGAGCTGTAGCACGCAATTCTGAATACGGAGCGTTGGTGCCACCCAGCAGATTTGAGACACCGGTTGCCAATTGCGCGTGAGCAGTTGAGATCTTTGGCAAACACACCATTCACTTCCACCACCACAATCATCATCCACGCACGTCAACCGCCATGGCTTCGGATCTACCCGCTAGTCTGCAGGAGTCGGTCGCGAACTCGAAATGCGAGTATCGACGGCTGGGCAAGAGCGGTCTCAAGGTATCCGTTCCCATCTTTGGTTGCATGAGCTTCGGTGAACCGGCAGCCCAGTCGTGGGCCATCCCAGAGGAAGAGGTACGTAACAGCCTGATTCGGTACAGAATGGAAGACATGGAGCTCACAAGAACACCAGGCTCTGCCTCTGCTGAAGGCCGCGTACGACCGCGGCATGAACACGTGGGACACGGCCAACGTCTACTCGCAGGGCGCCAGCGAGGTCATCGTGGGCAAGGCGCTCAAGAAGTACGCCATCCCGCGGCACAAGGTCGTCATCATGACCAAGTGCTACGGGGCCGTGGGCGAGGAGCCCGGCGTGCGCCACTTCTTCATGCGCGACGCCGTCGAGCGCTCCAAGGACTACGTCAACCAGTACCACCTGTCGCGCGCCGCCATCTTCAACCAGGTCAACGCCTCCCTGCAGCGCCTCGACACCGACTACATCGACCTGCTGCAGATTCACCGCTTCGATTACAACACGCCCCTGGAGGAGACCATGAAGGCCCTGCACGACCTGGTCGAGTCCGGCAAGGTGCGGTACATTGGCGCGTCCTCGATGTGGGCGGTCAACTTTGCTCGCCTGCAATTCACCGCCGAGAAGAATGGCTGTATGTTTTCCGAATTCCATCATGAAGCAATAGTGTTATTGTCGTACTAACTTGACGAACAGGGACCAAGTTCATTTCGATGCAAAACCACTACAACCTCTTGTACCGTGAAGAGGAGCGGGAGATGAACCGCTTCTGCAACGACACCGGCGTGGGTCTGATCCCCTGGGCGCCACTGTGCCGCGGACACTTGGCGCGACCCCCCAGCGACTTTGGCACCACGGATCGTAGCAAGATCGAGAAGGACACGTCTCCGGGATCGCACGGGACGGTCGAGCCGGACTTGACCATCATCTCGCGCGTCCAGGAGATCGCACAGAAGCACGGCTGGAAAATGAGTCACGTCGCCCTAGCCTGGATCAACAAGCGCGTGTCCAGCCCCATCATTGGCTTCTCCAGCGTTGCGAGGATCGACGAGGCCATCGAGGCTGGCGGCAAGACGCTCACGGAAGAGGAAGAGAAGTACCTGGAGGAGTTGTACACGCCCAAGCAGATCGCAGGCCACACGTGATCCGTGGGAAACAAAAGGGGGGATACATGGCCTTGTTGGGTTTCCTACACAGTGAGCACAATCACATGGACTAAGATACATCTACTGCCTCCGCATTCAACTCCAGTGTACTCCTCGCTAATCCCATTGCGCGGTATACCTTCTCCACCCGTGTAAAGCTTTGTTCGTACAACTCCCGTCTGTGCTTGCGCTGACGGCCCCTGTCAATCGAGGGGGTGTAGCCTGCCAGCCCTAATCTGGCTGACGAGCGAGTTCCAGGAGGTGAGGAACTTGATCTTCATCTTCTCCTCTCCCTCAACGTCTCCCTTGAGGCGATATGCGTTGCGCATATGGTGGTACGCGAAGGCCTCCTGCGAGAGGTCGCGCCGGTCCCACTTTGTGACGATGTCAAGCCCCTTCTGGAAGCACTCGATGCCCTTGTCGTACTCGCCGAGCCCGACCATGATCCTGCCCTTCTGTCCGTAGAAGTTCTCCGTGTTGCGGCCCCAGCCGAAGAGGTCGTCGCGGATCGTTTCCAGGTAGTTGTCGGCTTCCTGGTAGAGGCCGCCGTCGACGAGGATGGCCCCCTTGATAAAGGCCGTGAAGTTGAGCCACTGTATGTCGTTGTCTGACTTCATATTCTCGGCGATTTCTTTGGCGAGATTGAAAACTCTGCCGTTGGCCGCCTGGATGGGCATCCCAGCGAACCTCGCTAACCGCCTTGTAATATGTACATCTGCAATAGTTCGAAAGCGTTGGCCCGGCTCGGTGTTGGCCCTGATGACATCCATGTGTGCTGTCATGAGGGCGAATGCAGCTTGGCGTATCTGCGGTAGACCCATACCGACGAGCACTGTCCAGAGACGGGTGAAAGGGTGAGCTGGCCCCAGTTTGATCTGGCTTAGGCCGGCCACATACCGCAGGAGAGACTCGGCGAGCTCGGGGCCGACACCGCCGAGCTGGAGGATGGTGCAGAGTGTAGCGCTGACCAGCCCGGGGTGCTGGTTTACGATCAGGGTCCCATATCGGTCGAAGCACTCCTCAAGCAGCTCAAAGCCTTCGGGAGAACTGCGCCGCTGTTCTATCAAGTCTGACACGACCCACATGTCCACCCACCATGAGGACGCAGTGTCCCCGCCCCAATTATAGTCGTGGGACGACAAGTCCCAGATGTGGTCGTCAAAGCGACTGGATGTGTAGCTCATAATGGCTTGGATGCAGTCTTCGGCCTCCTTCAGTAATTTCGGGGATTTAAGGCGTTGTGGAATAGGTGGCGAAGCACTATGCGTATGCCGTCGAGCTACCAACTGGTTGGTGGGCGAATGAGGTTGGACTTGGTTCAAGTGACGCTTGAATCTCTTGGAGCCTATTTGCCGGCCCCGGATCACGGGGAGAGTCGGCGTCGCGCCTTGGTCGACTTTGGTTTTAATTCGTTCTGCCTCCTGGCTCTTCAGATTCTTGGTCAAGCCCCAATTCTGGTCACCATGTTAACTGCCATGTCCAGGATACAGTTCCTTCTCCGCAGACCGTATGGGCTTACCTTTATTCGGGACTTGTACATCTTCAGTCTGCAATCTACGTCAACACGAATTCCATTCAGCCTGACTTGTCACAGGTGGGTGCTACATACGTGGCGTAGAAGTCGTGTTCCTTCTCCATGAAGTCCGCCACCTCCTTCAAGGTCTTCCGTTCATCCCAATACAGCCTCGTGATGGTGTCCCTGTGGAGGTCCCAGTCCAGCCGGCTTGCATAGTCACTCTTGGGTCGGACCGCGAGCGCCATCTTGCACAAGGCGCCGCGATCATGGACGGAACTCAGCTGCGAGACTCAGGCCGGCTGCTATGAGATATCCGAGATGCGACAGGAACAGGGCCTGTGCCAAGGGGAGGGGCCGATGATTGCGGCCTCAGAGACGAAGCGATAGCGCCACTTCGAATGCGCAGACTCGGACATATCTGTTGACGCGCAAGGGCCGCGATGAAGCACCAAGGTGCAAGTCCAGCAAGACACGGACAGGCGGCAGTGGTGCGTGCGTGCGTGTGTGCGGTGTCGAGGTTCTTCTTATCTGGACGTGGCCCGAAGAGAGGATCTGAGAGACAGACCAGGGTCTTGCGGGGATGCCGTGCCAGGGCAGACGGCCGGGGTTCGGCAGTATTGGTGCCATTCCACACTCAAGCCACCTGGGAACTGCAGCATTGGCTGGGCCCGGGCGACCCAATGGACTGGGATCGCCAACGGGTGATCATGCAACTAAGCGCCGTTCCGGCAAATTTGGGGGGCCAGATGTTTGCCAGCCCGCCCTCCCCGGGTGATCGAGGCAAGGGAAGCAGGATGACGATGCGTCCGTCGAAAGGCGTGGATGAGTCATCTGCAGGCTGAAGCACGATATTTGACACGCCTAACCAGCCCGTGAAGAGAGGTCGACGCAGCCATCTTGCTGCTCACCGGTTCTTTGTTTGGCCGGCTCGACAGGACATGCATATCATATCATGTCTTCGGCCAGCGTGGGGTATAGTGGTGCCATATGTATGCCTCGACCCCGGTATATTGCTACTGTACCCTTTATCTGTGGTCGACGCCCAGCAGCAATGAAACAGATGCAGTGCTTTCCTCCAACCACCCCTCGTGTATCGGCGGCCGCGACAGACTGCGACGGTAAGCTGACCGCATCTGTATGCACCTTGCGCGTATAGCACGAGCCTGCTTTCCCCTGAACGTGTGCCTTTGCGGTTCTTGGAATAGGTTGCTGGGAGCCTGTGTGCTGTAACTATAACATCACGCACTGCGCTGCTAATGATGAGACAGGGTATTGACCCGGGCACAGGTTCAGGACTGTTCATGAGTGTAAGTATGAGGTGCGCCTTTTCTCCGTCTCGAGCCAGGCTATAGGCACAAGGCGCAGAGAGAGCGGTGACCCGTGACAAGGTCTGACCTGTCTTTGCCTCTGGTGGAAATCAGACGAAACGTGGGCGACCTTTGTCACACGCACCCACCCGTTCGGGATGGCCCAGCGACACGGGTCAGCCAGCCTGCAGCGAGCCATCGCGATCCAGCGACGGCAGTTCTCACTGCGACGTTGATGCTTGTCGGACATCTAGGCATCACGTGTGATCCCTAGACGGTGGTTGTCTCCAGAGACAGTGGCCTCACCACATTACGTACCTATGTATGCTACCATCGCCTCCCCCTCTGCCGTCTCTTTCAAGGTTATGCGGCACCGGGGTAGCCCGGAGCTGGTAGCCCTACTGCCCTATCTCTAAAAATGGCAATCTGCTAACCTTGCCAGGCTGCGCTAAGACCCGACCTTCAAGCTAATGCCTGCCTGGGCGGGAAACTAGCGGGTCGGGGGGTCACTGGTGAGGTGTGCCTTGACTTAGTGGGCTCGCTTGCCGAATGGCTCCTACTGCGGTACACATGCGCATTGGAAGCCTGTCGAATAGGAGGGGATAAGCACGAGATATTAACTTATGGTACAGTGAAGTTTCCTCCGTCAATGGAAGCCTGCACGTGTTTCCAAAGGAAACCACTGACTCTGCAGGTCGCGCATTGTGTGAGTTTCGGCTTTCTTATTTCCCGCCACCAGAACATCTCGCTTAGGTCTCTGTAACTGTCTTGCATGATTCCATCCACCAGAGCTACTGGAGCTACAAGAGCTACAGGAGCCACTTCCGGACGCCAACCACGTGGTTACACCCAGGCATTTGAAGGCCAGGCTTGATCTTTGAAGCTAAACAAGGCAACTCGTGTAACGGCAACTACCATAGTATGCAGCCTGGATAGAAACCTCTTCCCTTTGCCATTCAAATGACAAGCCCCCCAAACAATGAAAAGGAACTACCAATTTGCCTCGCGAAATTAGAGTCCAGTCCGTGCCGCCCGTATCCTAGCAGGCAAAGTCTCGCATGCACCGCACTTTAGGGTCGCTCGACGGCGCAGCCATCATCTAAGGCTCAGCCCACCCAGCACTCCTTACTGATGTTGGCAAGGCTCGGTTCCAGCGGCCAATGAGAAGCGCCGCGTCTGGCTATCCCCGACCACACGCTAGATCCTTCCCGCAACTAAGTCATATCACAGGGCTATTTCAGGGATATCGGCCTGTGTCTACTTACGATGATCGTGGGGCTGTACGCTTGGCTGATTCCATCCAAGGCTCATAACAAAATCCGTGCCACTTGCTGCTCATTATTTGTTCCTTTCGATCTCTTCTCGAAGTTGTTTCTTCTGTCTGTTTGACACGTTCTGTCCGATAACTACATCCACCGTGCACCGGTCTGCCCAGCTCTAGCATACTCGCAGTATAATCACCAACACCACTCGCTGGAGGAAGACATATAACTCCCATCGCAAATATGAATACTACAACCACAGACACGAAGCCGGAGGCGGCCCACGAGATGCCGGCGCACCACCCCTCAGACCCTCAAGTTGCCTTGTCTCCGTCACCGCAACCCACGTACCACAACGACGGGCCTCACATATCGCAACCACAGTCGCCATACCAGAACGATGCGCAGCACGTAGCACAACCCCAACCGACTTACCAGGGCAATGGACAGCACGATCAGAACAAGGCAGCGCCCCAGCAAACCCATATGGTGCACCCAACACCGCTGGCGCAGCTGGGCGCCATGCCAGCTCTCATCGACTGTCCTTTCTGCAGCCACCGGGGCCCGACCCGTGTTGACGAACACAGCTCTAGCACCACCATGTAAGAGAATACCACCCATAGAGTGCAATTGACTGCAGTGCGACTAACATGGTGTTTCCTGGTAGTCTCGCAGGTATCGGCATAGGCTGTCTCTGCATCTGTCTCGCCTGTCTGCCGTGCATGCTGCACTGGTTCTACGATGTTGACCACTACTGCACCCACTGCAACCAGCGCGTGTGTTTCGTCCCCAACGGCGGCATCCCGCAACCCGTCCACCCCCAACAGGGCGCACCGCAGCACTACGTCATGGGACCGCAGCCACAGTACGGCGCGCAAACGAAGACGCAGGAACAGCAGCAACAGGCACCGCGTCAGTACAGTTAGCCGGGGAACAGGTTATGGGGGGTGGAATGAGGACCAGCGTGGAGTACTAATGAGAACATATTGAATTGATACCAAGAAAATGTTTTCGGGGCAAGCAACATATCGTCCCGAGTTGATGGAGTTTGCGATTATTTCCTGGGCTGGGCGCTCGCCTGTAGCAAGTTTCCGGCACAGCAATCGTACATATTTTTGGACCAGACGAAGACCTGGAGAGCTAGAAACTGTATAAATGAAATGAGTATTTACATTTCCAACATCAGTATCTCGACAAGTGTACCATCGTAAAGAAAATACCAAATTCTCGCGACTAGAGCCCAGTTCGCCGTACAACCTACCATGCGTTGAATGTTGGCGACGCGTGGAATATAATATTCATAACCAACCGAATCCATGTGACGATACACGGTAAAGCCAGACTTGAAACTGGGACACAATAACATAGGTTATCTTTCTATGTTGATGCGATCGCTTTGTTATATATATGTTACATGTCGAGAACAGATCTTGTTGGTGGTTATCTCACATCGGATGGGAACACGGACAGGGTCAAGCCGTTGCAGATACTAGAAGTCGTATCGAGAAAGTCTATATATCTATGCACTAGACTCATATAGTAGGCGACAGTAGGTCTGTCTGTCCCATGTTTTCCTCCCTAGCCATTTTATATATCTTACCTCTTATGTCTATGTCATGCGTCCTATGGTGCGTCCTTGACGCCTCCTTCCACCAGTTGAAATGAACAATGAAATAGAATGTTCCATCTTCTTAAATTTGAGCGCATAAACGTCATTCAAAGATTAGTTCATTTCTCAGAGCGTTGACGAGTGCATTCTGCTTGAAGCCTCCGTGCCATACCGTTCACATACTTTGTCGAAGGGGTTGAGGGCAACGGGGCAGCAGCCATGCTCATGCATCCATCCGTGGAGTAACCCGAAACACGAGAACTACGCTCTGGTATTGATTAACGGGCGTTGTCTACTTGCATTGCGATAATTACGAGCTGGCTGACCTCGAGGTTGATGTCTTCCATGGATATAGAATTAAGAGACCTCAGCAGCATGAGCAGCATCCCTGCTGGACTTTCTTAACCCCGGAAAAGCGCCAGCCTTGGGAATTGGAGCATTCCGGTACGAGAAAACTCCAAGAGCCTGAGATATAATCCGGGTCAATATCGATCAGCACTGCGACGGTGATACAAGTTGCGGGGGGGAAACAAGGAAGGTCACATACGCACATACGAGCTCCAGCACATAAGCAGTGCCACATGGGTACCGTAACATGATTGGCTCAACGTTTGACAGCTTTGGCTCTTTTACGACTGAATCTGGGGTTTGACGCCGAGCTTCACGTTACCATCGAGAGTCTCCGCCAATCATCAGAGCTGACAAGTTTGTGTTATGCCCGGTAAGCTTATATACATGAGACTCGATCATATGAGCATTTTCAACGCACTCATCACAGGCCTCCGTAGATATAAGAACATATACCTATCGATCTTGATATTTTCTTTGCATCTGTATTTAAGGACTAGGATATTGAGGATTATCGCTGTACAGGCCGACTTCAGAAAATAGCAAGCCCCTTGTCATAAGAGTCCCAGCTAATCAGTATCATGGAGACTCCTATCATGACGACGTTATTGGTGTTCTTCATGCTCATAATGCCTGAAATGGCAACTTCCTTCACACTGACCTCCAAGCGGCCCCTCTCACCCACCTCCTGGACCCGGTCGGAGCGCGACGGCTGCCCGCGCTCCCTGACGCCCGGCGAGTTCGAGTTCCCACACTACATCACGCAGATCTCGGCGGCGCACCCGGACACGGCGTATGGCCCGTCGTACTTTGGCAAGTTCACGCCCAACGACGTGTCGAGCATCTTCTCGTTCGACATCCCGGCGTCGCGTGCCGACGCCAACTGCACCCTCGAGTTCCTGTTCCCGCGCCAGGACCAGCTGCGCACCTCGAGCTTCACGTACAGCGGCGGCGGCAGCTTCTTCTTCACCGGCTACGACATCGGCAGCTGCCCCGGCCCGGACACCACGTTCAACAACCAGCCCCGGCCGGGCCCGTTTCCGCCGTTTCCGCCGGTGCACATGGAGCCCGGCTTCGCGTACACGATCGACATTGGGCCATGTTATGTCAGTGCTGGGACTTGTGTTAGTGGACGTAAGTGTTTCTTCCCATTGAGAATGCTCAAAGAGAGGGGCAGGTAGGGGTGGTGTTTGCTGACGAGATTGCAGTCACGAGCACAAATGATTCGTACTTTGAATTCTTCCAGGACTATGACGAGTGTCCCATTGGCGTTTATACATCCTACAGCTACGGATTACCTTGCGAACCGCCATTTTGCTAGGTCATTCGTTTGGCGTGGTATTATCCCACAAAGTTTGCTAAAAGTCCGAATAGATGTAATCAGTCGAATGGAAGCCTTTATTAATAATTGCATATATTGAACACGGTATTCCTACTGTACATAACACAGGTGATATCTATGTAAAAGTTGAAGCAGGGGCAAGCAGGCACAATACGCCCCGGACTAATACAGTCGGTTCTCTTTAGTGGGGTTATCCGATTAGATAAGGCGTCCCCTACAGACTTCAGGCGACATCAAGGGACCTGAAGGCGCTAAAGATAAATTGTGGGGGGAGGGGTAGGTAAGGTCGTCAATGCCCAAAATTTACCTGGTGGCGTTGAAATTTTGGAAAAGAGTCATCGGTGACATCGAAGACGTCAAATAAATCCAGACGTCGCCGCGTCCGCCTCTCTTCGACCGCCCCCAAACTCATGCCACATAGCGGCATTACTTCGTATACTCCTACCTAGTACCGACAACCACAGCGACCATGGCTGAGTCGAACCCTTCTCCTGCGGTTCAGGCCGCCGCACCCCACGAACCACCCCACGTCTACAAGGCTAACGAGGGCTACGATGTCTCGGTGAGCCAAGAGGTGCCTCGCGGCCTTGCCCAACCCTCGGCCCCCCAGGAAGCTGCCGACGGCGACGAGGAGGATTTCGAAGACATCTTCGAGGAGGACGACGAGTTCGGAGACGATGACGGCGCCGACCTCACCAAGAACTACAACCGCCAGCGCCAGCTCAACAGCGGCGCCTTGGTGCTGCCGAGGGCCAACCAGCAGAAGCCCGCCGCCAATACTTTCGCCAGCGTCGACGATCAGATATCGGCCCTCTCGAAACATGCCGCCAAGATCCGCCTAGACGATGTCAAGGACACCCAGGACAGAGACAAGGACAAGGCGGACAGGGCGACGAGCGACCAGGTGCTGGACCAGCGCACGCGTATGATTCTCCTGCAGATGATCAACCGCGATGTCCTTGGTGAAGTGCACGGCGCCATCAGCACAGGAAAGGAGGCGAACGTCTACGGTGCAGTCGCATACGAGGCCGACGGCTCGAGGATACAGAGGGCCGTTAAGGTCTACAAGACCGCCATCCTAAGTTTCAAGGACCGAGAACGGTATATCACTGGCGAACACCGATTCAAGTCTGGCGCCGAGAAAGGCAACAACCGCAAGATGGTTAAGCTGTGGGCCGAGAAGGAGTTCAGAAACCTGCGAAGAATACACGCTGCTGGCATTCCCTGCCCCGAGCCTATTCACCTAAAGCTACATGTCTTGGCCATGGGCTTTTTGGGCGACCGTAGAGGTTGGGCCTACCCGCGACTCCGAGATGCTACCATTGACGGAGATGACGCCGATCAAGTGTGGCACTCCCTGTACCTTCAGCTTATGGGTGTCATGCGACGGATGTACCAAGTATGCAGGCTGGTGCACGCCGATCTCAGCGAGTATAACATTCTTTACAACGACAAGAAGCTATACATTATCGATGTGTCTCAGAGTGTGGAGCACGACCATCCCAGATCTTTGGAGTTCTTACGTATGGATATCAAGAACACGGGCGACTTCTTCCGGAAACAGGGTGTCGATACTTTGAGTGATCGGACAATCTTTGACTTCATCTCAGCGCCCGAGGGGGCAGTGGAGGAGCCTGGGATGTCCGAAACTCTGGAGCGCCTCTACACTTCACGGTCGCCCACTGACGACACCGAGGATGGCCAGGCGCAACAGGAGGTCGACAACGAAGTGTTCCGAAACCAGTACATCCCGCAGACGCTGGAACAGGTCTACGATATCGAAAAGGATGCGCAAAAGATTGGAGCCGGGCAGGGCGATCAGCTTGTGTACCGAAACCTCTTGGCAGACCAAGTTGTCCCTGCCAAGACGGGCTCCGAGGCCAGCTCCGAGGATGAGGATGATGAAGGCGCGGCATTGGATAGCGATGGAACTGATGACGAGAGCAAGTTCGAGAAGGGCCAACCGAGAGGCAAGAGATTCCAAGACAAGGACGAGAAAAAGGTATGTTTTCAATGTTCCAGGCATCATATTTTTCCCCTGGGCCAACTCGGGATACCCGACAACAGCATCACCAGTACAGCTCTTCCCATCAAGAATGGGGTGCGTTGTTGTCGTTGGCTGTTCCGGAGTATCATCTCTGTGAAGGATGCATACTGACATTTCACAGCATCATAAACAGGCCGTCAAAGAGGAGAAGCGCGAGAAGAGGAAAGAGAAGATGCCAAAACACGTCAAGAAGAGGCTTGTGTCTGAAAAATCACGTGGGAAGAAATAGACGCGCTGGATTGATCAATAAAAGTACAGAAGCGCCTTCCGCCTTCCACAGCATTGCATCGCCACAGCCATGCCGATAAGTAACATGACCTGAGTCGCACACTATATTACCTGGTACTAGCAGAAACCGGCTGGGTCTTCCGCTTCAGACTACCAGTCATATGAGCTGTAAGTACTTCTTAGTTGAATGGCTGCCTTCAGGCCTGGGTCAGTATATCTTTCACTCTTCCCATGTTCCTGACAATCGAATGATGAAGTTCTATAAGCCCTGATCTAGGATGAAGCTTTGCTGCGTTTTCAACCTTTGATAACCGCGAGCTTCAACCAGACCTGGAGGTCCTGATCTACCTTAAACGGTTGGCTGATGTTAAAGAAGAGCTCTGACGGTTGAGATGCGTACTCTGGTGACAAAAAGGAAGTCCTGGCCCCCTTGATCACCATTCCCGCAAATTGCGACCGCCTGCCTTGAGACTCTTCGATGCTCAGAGCGAAGGCATCGTCATTTTCCAAAGATGGGACTTACAATATAAATCACGCATTAGCCAACCTCGTAATCTTGAGAGTCTCATAGATACTCTCATAGCCAAATCTCTACTCACGGGGTTGGAGGAGTGATGTTTCTTTTGGTGAACGAAAGCCACCTGCGTGATGCAAGTGCTACTTACAAGGATTATCGAAAAAAAAAATTCCGAATTCTTTTGCCAAAGAAATTATTTCACTGCAGATTTAGCCCCTCTCACGCGGGTAAACTATAGCGGGTTTGATGAGCGCGATCACAAACGAGAGCTCTTTCAAAATGCCCTATATGTATATATTGCCATGCGTAGGCCAAGAGCTGTACCAAAGGTGTTATACAACCAGAACGCTCTCCGAAACTTATGATATGACACATGCTGTGATCATGTACAACAAAGAAAATACTACGTGAAAGATTGTACATCGCGCCGCACACGCCTAGACGTCGAGCTCTTCTTCCTCAAGGAAGCCTAGTCCGCTGTCAAATCTCCGCCTCTTCAGGCCTTTCCTTTGCCTGACTCCGGTGTGTCTTCAGGCGCTGCTTTCTGTTTGCGAGAGCTACGCCGTTGACCGACCGCGCTGCTCTTTTGTGGCGTTGCCAGGATGCCTTCACTCATCTTCAGCACGCGTTCCAGCTCTGCTTTCATCGAGTCAATGGCCTCCTTGGCCTTCTTCCTTTCGTCGTCCATGTCGCTCCGTAGGCCCAGATTTTCGACGCGCAGCTGGCGAATGGTTTCATGTGCATTGCGCAGCGACTCATTGATGCTGTCGATCTCTCCCCGCAGCTCGGTGACCCGGGCATCTCTTAGAGCCAGGGCTGAGCCGTGCGATTTGTTGAGCGCGGTGACGCTGGCTATTCTTTTGGCCTGAACGTCTGCAAGTTGGATCCGGAGCTCGGCGGTGTCTGATAACACGGAGACCAGTTTTACTTCCAGCTGCGCAATACTGTCATCCTTCTTCTTGGCCTCAGCCTTACCGGCGACGACCTGGGTGCGGAGGCTGGCCTCGGTCTCGCGGCCGTCATCTTCCACCCTCTGCACCAGATTCTCCAGCTCGGAAATATCCCGCCGGTAGCCCTCGATGGCGCCCTTCAGACGGTCCATGCCGACCTCCAAATCGGAGATTTGCTCGTCCTTCTCCTTGAGGCGGGAGGCGTTCTTGCCTAGCTCACGCTTCATGCCATCCATAGCCTCCACACGCGCCCCGAGTTGCTGTCGCAGTGACAGTTCTAGTGCGTGGTATTCATCGATTTCCTCCTCGTCCTCCTTCGCCTTCCGAGCCAGATCGCGTAGTCGTGTCAGGACGAGATCTAGAACCTCGGCACCATGCGAAGATAGCGGCAGTGCAATCTCTCCAGGTGTGAGATACTCGAGCTCTAACCGAGCAGAGCGGAAGGCGGCGGCAAGCGAGGATACGATCTCACTGGCATCATCTCCGCGGAAGCCCAAGGCGCTGAGTGACGCGTTGAGATCGAGCAGAGCCGCAGTTCTGTCAGACAGGCTCTGGACCACCATCTCGAGCTTGGCCTCCAGGTCGAGCTCTTCCTGTGACGAACTGGTCTGTACTGAGCAGATCTTCTGTTGGATTCTGGCTTTGAGAGCCTCGCAGTTCTCGAGCGTGTCCCCCATCTTCGTGAGCTCGAGACGTAGAGATCCCAACTCGGCCTCGAGGGCTTCCTTCTCAGGATCCGGCAGACAAGTCTGCACGGCAGCATGGGACGATGGCGTGGACGGCATCCGTCGCATAGACGTTGGAGTCGCTGGTGCCAAGGGGCTTGTGCAGGGGGGTGTGAGGAAAGATGTCCTTGCCCTGGACGGCGTACTACAAACTAGATCGCCCATGGTTGTGTCGCCGAAACCCTCATCGTCCATGTAGCTGTCTGAGAAAGGATCCCGGGCGGCCATCGTCCAATCGTAGCGGCTCTGGTCTGCGGGGTCAGTCTTGCTGTCCAGCTCGCCTCTGAGCTGCTCAACCTGCTGTTCGAGCTCGATGAGGCGTTCGCCGTCCTGGACCATGGTTGCGTCTCTCAGCCTGTCGATCTCAGCGTCCTTCTCGGCCAGCTCGTGCCGCAGGCGCTGTATCTCCTGCCTCTGAGCGTCGGCACGCTGCTTTTTCTCCTCGTCAATTACGTTCATCTCCTCGCTCAGACCGTTGCGCTTGATCCTGCGCTTGACCCGATCGTCAAGGACCTGTCGCAGTGGCAGAAAGCGGATCACGTTGGGCGTGTCTCCCGTGCCTGCGAGCTCGTCGACCTCGTCATCGACGCGCGTCCTAAAGGGCGCAGAGTGCCTCCTTCGCTTGGGCGATGGTGTGGTTCCCAGAAGCGACGAGCGGCGCACCATGGGGGTGAGGCCGGTCGACGACGATGGAGAGTTTCGACTGATTTCCGGCCCCGGGTCCGAGAACCTGACGCGCTTCTTGGTCTTCGGCTTGCTAGGGGTTCTGGATATGTTCATCATGTGCGCTGAGGAAACAGAGCTTCCATTGCTCGTCGTGCGGATCAATGATGCGTTGCCAGCGCTGCGCCTGGGAGTGCGGCGCATGGCGATGGGGACGTCGAGGTCTTCCGCCATTGTTACGTCGCGGGCTACACCTTGTGACCCAATTGAGTCGTGTAACAAGAGAAAAGCAGGAACAGCGGACTGATACTTGGCCAATGGCTTGTATAATAAAGGGCAAGAGTCTTTTGGCTAAGACAACAGTTGTTGCCAGTCGCGTATACTGAAGTAAACAACCTTGGGCGTGTCTAGCTATGCTTGAGGACCCTTTATCGGGTTGTATTTACTTTTTGCCAATCGCGGTATAGCGCCTGAGCCGCCCACTAGCCCCGCGAAACGACAGCCAATCGTTTTGGCTATGCAGGGGGTCGACTTAGACTTCGTTACATGCACTAGATCCCTAAACTACAAAAGCTAGGCGTATGCACGTCTCTCCAGGTCGCGTACATGGAGCTCTGGATCTGTGGGACTATTTCTGGCCCAGCAACTCGCGTGTTTCGCATGGCTATACCCACTTCCAGACGCGATGGTATTTTGGCCATTCTGCGCGTTGGGAAGGCCCTCAAAAAAAGGTTGGCTATTAGCTGGGGAACCAGAATACATCTGTGCCGCCTAATTGATCCATTACCCAGCATCAGGTTGGTTGGTTTGACCAGGCACGAAAATCACATAGAGCCCACATAGGATGCCAGTCTGTTGGAACTGAGCATTATGTGTCTATCGGCCATGCATGTGATTGCCACGTCTCCTCGTTATAGTGTTTCTTACGTTGCATCTATTGCTTCGCGATCGCGGCGTCCCTCAACCATGTGATTAACTAATTCCGAGACTTCGGCTGCTCCCTTCGTAGGTCATGCAAAATCCGTGATACGTGAGTTCGAAGTCAAAAGTCGATGACAGAGCCCCGGGAACCAGGGGGCCAGAATGCACTAAAATATATATATATACGTATATTATATGTCGGATGGGGAGCGATCTTAAAATTCCAATGACTTGCCCCAGAGGTCGTAGCTCGGTCGTCGGTGCACATCGAGGCACTGGGCGAAACCGGCACGGTTGTCATGGGCTGCGGGGGAGCAGGACGGTATAGATTCCGTATTACAGGATATCATCCAGAGGACAGAGCGTAGCTTGACGAATTATCACTCGAAGTGAGGCGCTTCTAGTGAAAAGCATCCCAGCTCAGGGTCTTACACGGCTGTTCATAACCGACAGCCTAGCCGACGTCCAGATTCCCCCTTGTCATAAGGCCTATGCAGGAAGTCATGGACACGCAAAACCTGGCCGTTTCGATTCACTACTGCGAGTACTTCTAAGGGTGGATTCGAGGCAGGTAATTCTTTGACCTCAGCCCCGGAGAATACAACAGAACAGTTGTGGGCAAATGTGTGAAGCCTCTGTCCGCACAGGCGCCAACCTTGAAGTGGTGTTAACCTCATGTATTTGGCATAAATTAGCAATAAGACGAGCAGTCTTATTCGTATTCAGAACATCAATCGCCAAGTTCTGCAAGGCGACCGCGATCCATTGTCTGAGTAAGCTCTGGCGATCAGTCGTTATTTGAGTAGGCTCGGGCACCAGGCAGCCTGCCGCTGGGGATGAACGTAGCCTCGCCCGGTTGGTTGTGACACGTTGGAACTCGCTACGTCCGCCCGACTTGCTGACCCCGCTTCATAAGACTCCGTCACTATATGCGGCTTTTCACTTCCACTTGACTATAGTACTCTGCCTATCACATCTGATTGACGATCAAGCTGCTAGTCAAGTCCTCTTATGAAGAAGAGCATTGACCGAAATGCCAGGCTTACAGTGCAAATGGAGGACTCAAAAACCGTCTCTGCAAACCGCCAGGGTTTGATCGAGACCCACGAGTACTGCCCTTACGGTCCACTCATGTGTCCACCCATGATACTTTTTAGCTTCTGATGGCCACTACGGTCGATGTCCCTGGACAGCTTATGTCGGAGACATGGTTGTGATTTTGGAAGGGGGGGCAGTACCCTATCTTCTAAGGAGGGTGGAGAAGAACTGGTGTCACCAGGGACAATATGAGTTGATAGGTGAATGCTTTGTCGAATATCTCTTAAATAAAGAGCACTATATAAAGGTGACCTCAGCACCTGGTTATGAAGCGGAGCTTTTTCGCATCAAGTAATTGTCATTCTGTTGCGAGCTACATCTTATTCATCGAAACTAGATCGCTTTCAAGTATTATGATGTTTTTCACGTCTCTTATTTAGACCGATCCCTCGGAAGTATGTTTATGTTAGAATCACCTTAATCGCGTCGTTCCTACAAATAACAGCTTGCTTGACTCTAATGCACATGGTAAGGCAAAGAATAACTATGATAGATCAAAGCCGCAATGGCATAATACGCCTAATCAAAGCATGCGGGCTCCTAGTTGGTAGACGTAAGGATAACGTATCGTCCCCCCATCTATTCATATCATTCGTAATACCACACCAAAACCTCTTCCCTGTAAGGCCGGTAACGTCTTCGGTCTCGACATCCAGGTCTAGTAGTTCATCCGTAAGGCCGACTTCGACCTCAACGATCAAGAGCTTCTCTAGGAACGAAACCAGCACAACCAATCTGCCGATTACGCGTGCACCTACTGCGAGTGTAACTAGCACATCAACAGGCAGCCTGCCAACCATACGTTCCTGCACGTGAGTTCCATTCCAAATACTTGTTTCCATTACCCATGCGCAGCTGACAATTTATCCCCACCACTACGCAGCCAGAACCTCATCCAGAACCCTGGCCTCGAAGACGCTAGTAGGTCGTTCCTGCCTTGGGAGACTAGAGTTGAGGGCAACAGTACCCGTGGTGATGCAGCGAACGCCGAAATTGTTCGGTCGGGCAGCCAATCTCTTACTGCCGTGCGTCTCAGTGCCACCTATATGAGTGGTTCCGCGGGCCGACCTGTCTTGGTCCGTCTTCAGCAGCCGATTCCACTAACCCAGGGCAGAGACTACATTGCGAAGTTCGACTATAGACTAGTCAATGTGGATAGGGGCGACACTTGTTACTTTACAGTCCTTGATGGCGTTGGGTTTCTCCATGGCATTCGTCCCTCGTTCCTGCCGGATACATTTACCACGTTCAAGCAGAGTTTTACCGCTCTTGAAGGGGACTCGATAATTGTTGATGTGTTCTGCAACGGCCCGTTGGATGGCACATTCTCGTCCGCCGCGGTGGAGGTGGATAACTCCAGTATCCTGGAAATTTGCAACACGTCAACTATTATTCAAATGCCAACATTGCCAAAAGGTATCAGCTCGACTATTCAAACAACATCACTACGGAATATGTAGTGCTTGTTGAAGCCAATAGTATTATTACCCTGCTCGTTAGGGCCTCCTAGCTAGTGCTAATTGAGCTCATGTTATCTTGATCGCTTTCCTTCAGATTCCTTAAGTATGCCCAGCCACACGATTTCTACTATTACAGCTGCCGATCAGTTTAATATATATATATATCATATAGTTTAAAGCTGACGCGAAACAAATAGTATAGAGTTAAAACTAGATAATGTAGTGAAATAACAAGCGACGACCGCGGCAGCCGTGGCAAAGCGGTTGTAACGCTCCTGCTCTAACGTAACTTGGTTAAACCCCTGAACTATGATGTTGAGCATGCAGGCTCGCTCTTTAAGCAGGCTACTGCGAATTCAAGACCTAAAAGGTCTCATTGAGTAATATACGCGCTGGTGTCCATTCTTGCACCAACACCGTGAGCCGCTTGCAGGTGATATGTTACGGATTGGTTGGCACCACAGTGCCATATTGCACAGGCTGGGCCTACAAATCTTCCGATATCAACACTATGGATGAGTGGAGGATTGTATATCTTTACTATTTCACATATCAATACACCTCAAGGTGTACCATGTTGTAAGACAAAGCTTGAAATCAGACATTTGATTTCTAGACTAGCGTCATCTTTGGGAATTGAGGCGAGCTGAAGACCCAAGTTGGGCATTCCATTGAACTCACATTCCACCTACTTGGATAACACCTTGTATCCGCTTCTTTCCACGCACTACAAATACGAAGAGTCTGCCTCTGAGTTGGTTTCAGTAGAGCTTGTTATTCAATAAGCTGTTTCGGACCTCTCTTCTGCCTTGTCGACTCTCTCCTCTGCAATTTGCGTTCCCCCAACTAAACTGTTGCTTTGCCCATATACCATAGAATCGAGCACCAGTAAGCCCGTGGGCCGCCACCCACGGGTCCCAAGATGACAAATTTCTCGCCGAGAAAGGGTATCGGACGTTCCTGCGATATCCCAAGGGTGCAGATGGACTCTTGGATCAAGAACTGGCGTCATTGAAAGGCCACGGGACCAATACTATGGATGATAGCATCAGTACGACCTTTCTCCCATACAGCCTCGAGGGTTGGAACTATGGCAATGTACCAAAGAATCCTGTCGATGAAACCTCTAACCTGGGAGCTCCATTCTTTATACCTGGAGAATGGGGATACTTAGAGGTTGGTTATCGACTGCGCATGCTTTGGAGGTGTCTCTTTAAAGCAGCACTTGACATTCGAAATAATGGGCACAACATGCCGGCGGATGAGAATGCCACCTATATCCACAGATTTTTCAAGTTCTACGGAGCTGGGCTGGACGAGACCCTCTTCTCAACCACAGTTCAAAAAGTCCTCGTGGCTCACCAATAACGTGTCCGTAGTGCATTATTTGGACACGCGTTTCGGGAATGAGAACCAACCCAAGCGCATGAGGTTCAAAGGGGACTACCTACTGGTGACCTCTACCGGGGCATGGAGGGTTGGTCACCTTTGGTGTAGATTTCAACCTCAGGCTGGCCGTACCTTTTGCGCACACTGAAGTAGTTGGAGGGCAGGAAGGTCCGATCGGCCCATTATCATTAGAGGCTGCATTCATTCTAGCCCTTCAGCTGCAAGGGGTTGATGTCAACGTATGCCTAAACCTGATAGATCCAAACGTGAGCATGGACGATATCCCGACCATGTTCTCTGCCACCAAGATTCTTGGTAAGAGTGACCGGCATCTGGAAAAGAATCAAGCGACCACGATCCCCTTTGGTCCAACAGACGTGTCTGACTGGGGGATCGGAGGTCACAAGAGTCGACACACAGCGGTTTCCAGTCCAGAGGATGGCACCGATCCACTGACGAAGTCTGGAACCGTTGGCTTTTACTCGGGTATCAACATGTGGGGTGACGATCTCTGGCCAGAAGGCCAACAGGCTTTTGGCTTCGTTATGCACATGACCGATATGAATACAGCACAAGTTGTCTACAGACCAGTGGGGAATGAGCCCGACTACCGAGCGTATCAAGTGGACGGCACTCGGGACAATATTCCGGGTGGTAGTCAGACTGAGTATTCCACCTGGACGCTTGGCAACGATCCACTCAGGCTTCTGTCCCAGAACAACAACATGACGAAACTGAACCCGGCTACAGATGATTGGAAAAGGGAGAATCGCAAAGTCCAACCCCACGCACACCCAGTTGTGTGGAACAGAGATGCGTTCGACGCCACGTTCAGATCGGAATATGCAGCGGCACTTAGAAAAAATGAAAAGCTCGGCTCCTATGAGCAGCAGAATGTGGTGATTGATCACTCAACAATTGTTCCCGAGAAAAAGACTGGGCGACAAGACTCCCTTTCACCTCTGTCTTCTACCGCTCAGAATACCCTGATCCCTGTAACTGGCAACAATTTACACGGTTCTGGCCGAGAAGTTGCCAGCTTGTATGAAAGCGTTGCATCCCATAGTTGAGTTAGTTGAGATAAGCAATCAAATCTCTGACTGGGCTGCTTAGCGCCTGCTCGGAGGCCTTCTTCCTACCTACGGCTATGTGCGCAGGCCAAGGGTACATGACCATGGTAAACGACATGACGCATTGACTTCCATTGGCTTTCAACGGCATCTTTGCGATTCGCTTGATAGTCAAGTAGTAGGCACCAGCCCTTGAGCTGTGTGCATTGCGCAGGGCGCTCGAGCGGGCGGACATGGGGTCTTGTTGAGCGATTCTGTTCTGTTGAATTTCAGATCAAGTCATGCAATTTTTTCCAGATACTTATGTACTTCAATGTATGCCCGGCCACCCACTCATAACATTTCTTTCTTGCTCGAGTCTTGGCCGCCGCTCTGATAAGGCGCCCCGTGTGGCCAACTGGGGCGGTCCCGAGTTGCGGGGCGTTAGCTTTAGGGCGACTGTAGGGAAAACGTTCGATGACTGATGAGCTGAGCTGAGGCCGACATCACGCCACTATCGCGGCAAACGAAATTACGACCAACAAAATCAGCTGTCCAACTCCTAAGACGTTTCCTCACGGTGATATATATTTTCAATCACGTTTGGACTCATGTACAACAGGTTCATATCACGTTGGGACGGATTCGATATTTCTAAGGCAATCATAGTCGCATATTCTGTTCCAAGCACAATTGTGGATTGCAGCGAAGCTCTGGTCAACGCCATATCAAGTACATCAGCAACTCTCTATCTCGTTCTTCAGAAGCAAACATAACCTGCAGAAATGAACCGACGCACCGCAGCAACACCAAAGTGGAAAGGGAGCTATTTCCTTGATCACGAGGACAAGTGCGACGAGCCACGGGTCCCTGGCGAGTGCGATTCTAAGTCAACAGCTTGGTATCAGGAAGCGACAGACTCGTCTTCGGCAACAGCCCAAATGATGTTGATACAGTGGTTATTCGCATTCATGTTGATTGGGGGAGCGTGGTGGTTCTATTTCGACGAGATCAAAGCCATCCTCAAAATCTGAAACGTGTACCACGAAGAGTGGTGCACAGTGAAGATGTCGCCCTCAGATTGAAGAGGAGCGCGTTTTAGGGGCCAATGGCTTGGAATGTCTAGCGGGAATAGTACCACCAAATTTTCGGGAATGGATGCCCACCAAGATGTTATGGCCAACTAAGCACCAGCTGACAAGACAAGAGTCAGGGTTCCTGACGCGAGGTTACAAGGGACCAATTGCTCTCGACAGAAGCTGCGCTATACTCCTGTGTCTGTACATACCGCATTGATAAAGCTCAAGTACTGCATAATGTAATCGCGCCTACTAAGTTCGAATATGTCTTGAATTAACTTGTGATGGAGACATTATCGTCATTTTGATGATAAGTACCAACGAATGGCACAGCTGGCAGCTTCACTCTTATATGAGGAGTGATTCTAAACCACACGTGTAGGGACCACCCTAGAAACTACGGAGAACGAGGGTACTACCCACCCATTGGATATTAAGTCATATTTTCTACGGATCAGGGCGCACACCTGCCTGACATAGAGGCGGCGGTGATTTCTTGCTCAGACAGCTCACTGGCGCTCGTCCCGAATGGAATTTGAACCGGCAGCCAACCAACCGAGTGTCCGGTGATAGATGACGCATCAAACACGCCTCCAGCGGCACAACCTTGTGTCGGTAAGCCGTATGGGAAAGAGCTTGCTGGTAGCGTACCTGTCACTATGCTGGGAATGATGGGCTGCGCTGAGGGCATCTGGCAAACAATTACACAGCCCTGTCTTTCGATAGCAAAGGACGAGAGCGCGGGCTCACGGTGGATGGTAGCCCACGACGGGTATGGATCTTGATGACTATTGTAGTGCTTTTTCTACCTTAGCTGGGAATAAATGCGGTATTAAAGTGGCCAATTGTTCTGTTGCTGCACCAATTGTAGAAATAAAGCCCTTCGTAGCGTTACTGTTTCAGGAATGGACCCAAGCAGAGAGATCTAAAGTGAGTTCACGATACTTTTAGCGATTTGGTAGAAAAAGAATTGGGCAGTCAAATGCCATCCACTAAATCGAGGCGCTCTGCGTATATTTAGAGTGAGGAGTTGCATGGTGTGGACTAACGAAAAGCGTGAATATAGATAGCGGCTAGCACGCCAGAACCGTGGTAGAAGGCTGTGGGAACGGCTGTTCAACTATTACTATCACTTAAAAAAAGCAGCCACTTGTTAAATGCATGTATAGCGGCGTCCACTCATGTAGAATGATGATGAAATCATAGGTAGCAATGCCCACTTATTTTAGATTTAGCCAGCAATAAGCCCCGTATCATTTGCCGAAACCCTTGGTTGGTTCTGCGTGCAAAGGTACGTATCCTCTTATCCCTTGCCTTCCACCTTTCCCATGCAAGGGGCGAAAGGGGAGCGTTGGTTTCGCAGCTCCGCTCTACCGAGCGTCACTTCCCACTTGATCCACATGTATATCCGTCCTCTCCTGGCTGTTTGTTCGGTCCGCAGATTACCTGAGCCGACTTGGAATTGTATTGTTGCTTGGGAACCCACACCCTGGCCCTACACACCTCCTTCGTTCCCTTTTCAACCCTCCGATCAGCTCTTCCTTAGCATAACGGCTCATAAGCGAAGTGGCATCTAGTATTCAAAATGATTTCTTATATTCTGCTGGGTCTCTTTTCTGTTATGCTCATTGCCATAGCCCGGCAACGAGTTTACCCAAAGGCTTACCCGGGCATTCCTTACAATGAGGAGTCAATTAACCGTATCACTGGCGATATTCCGAACCTTGTACCTGTCATCCAAGCAACAAACGAGTTCTCTGATTCCATCTTCGCAATCACTACCCAGAAGCTGGGGAAGCCAATCGCGCAAATGCTCTTCCCAGCAATTCGCAACCCCCTAATCACTCTCGAAGATCCGCGGGAGATCGAGGATATCGTACTTCGTCGCAATAAGGAGTTCGACAAGGCACCCATGGCTATTGATACCTTCTCCCCAATGTTCCCACATGCCTCGATCAGCCAATTCACAACGCCCAAACTCAAAGCCCAAAAGCGTTTGTAGGCTGATGTGATGGGCGTCGAGTTTCTTAGAAAGGCTGCCGCGCCGAATATCTACAAAGCCACTCTTGAATTGTTGGATCTATGGCGCCTCAAGGCAACCGTATATAAAAACGAGGCTTTTAGCGTCCACCAAGACTTTCAAAATGCAGCACTAGACGCCATCTGGGTTGCCATGATCGGCGAGGAGCCAGGCGTAACCAGGTACGAGATCAAAAAGTTTCACAGTGAAGTCGCTGGAAATAGCGACTATAAAAACGAGGCTCCTCCCCGTGGAAGCTTCCTCAAGGAAGAGCTAGCTTACATCGGTCAAACTATTGCGCGAAACTCGAACACCCCCTCTCCTAAGTGGGCACAGAAGCTGGAGACTTACACCCGCCGCTACCGCAAATTTAGAAGAACGGTAACTACTGAGATCGGTCTGGCAATGGAGAAAGCAGTTGATCGGTTCCAGCGCCTTGAGATGGGCAACTTGGAAGCTGAGGAGCTTGATACGTGCATGATGGATTTAGTGCTGCGGCGACAGGTCCTTGAAGCTAAGAAGGCCAATTGTCCTTTGACTGACCCTAGAGAAGATCAAAGCATGATGGATGAGATGTTTGTCATGCTAGTTGGGGTTTGTCATTCCTCCATGCCGCCTTACAACTTTGAGCCAGACTAATGGCTGCGTTCAGGGTCACGACTCCACTGCTAATGCCCTTACCTGGTTCGTGAAATTTATGGAGGCTTACCCTGTGGCACAAGTGGAACTGCGTGCAGCTCTCAAGGCAGCCTTCCCTGACGATGATCCATCTGTCGACGAGATCATTGGGACAGACATTCCATACCTCGATGCCGCTTGTGAGGAGGGTTTCCGTCTTGCTGGTGTCGCCAAGGGAAATCTTCGCCAAGCTACTATGGACACAGAAATTCTAGGCTGCAGAATACCGAAAGGCGCTCAGGTATTCATGAATTATCACGTCAATCGTACGCCTGCACCTGTAGACGAGTCAGCTCGCACTGATGGCAGCAAAGCCGCCGCTGCCAAGTTTGGAGGTGGATTCCAAAATATTGCAGGCCGTGACCTTGGCACCTTTGAGCCGAGGCGGTGGATGGTGAAAGAGACAACAGGCAAGGAAGTGTTCAATTCCCATGCTTTGCCGTCCCTTTCATTTGGTGGGGGTTACAGGGGCTGTCCTGGTACGTCTTCAAGCTTAATCCTTGGGTTTCCATCGTGTCTTCATATCGCTGTACTGTCTCACTCGTGTACGCTAATCATTGCGGTTGACCTAATCAGGACGTAAGCTCGCAACTATGGAGTTTCGGATTGTTGTCACGCTTCTAATCTTGAACTTGGAGGTTTTAGATTTAGCAGAAGACCTCAAGACCATGAGCGCTTCTGAGAAGATTTTCCGGGAACCCGATAAGCCATACGCAAGATTGCGCAGTCTGCGATAATTTCTTAGACAGGAAGTATGTGCCAATCGTTAGAAACACCACTTCGCAAATATAACGAATATTCTCCCCACTATTACGAGTGATTCATGAAGCTAGGGGGATCAAAAAGAGATATTACCCCGTAGAATCATCGAAAGGCAATTGTCTACACGCTGCTTTTCTTGATATCACGGTCCACTCGCCCGTCAAGTAGTCAAACCGTACTTTGAAAGCATGAGCTGCAACAATGCGAGAAGAAGATGAGTGGGAAAGAGACCGCTACACGTATATCGACATCGTAATGCTTGTGAAACGTCATATAAGGTCTCCATGGGATAGGTAGTAACCAGAAATCAGAATCTTATACAGGTTCGGGTGTTACTAGCTTCGAAGGGAGCAAAATCCAAATCGACCATTGAATATCACGTGGACCATAACTGTGATGCTGCTGTTCGCATTATCCAGGACGTCCACATATCAACAAGAAGGCGCCCGGGATTTCAGCAATCATTAAATGAATTCTGTCTTTCCTGATTTTCACCACATATTTCTTGGCATCGGAGTGCCGAGTTTTGAAGCTCAGTCTTTATTTCAACATTCTATTGAAATTCATGTCACTAAATAGTATGTCTTCTAAATATCCAATGACAAGTCCTGTTAAGGTTCATTAGCAAATTGGCTCATCTTCCCAAATGCGGTCCCTGCTGCGTCCCATTTCAAGTCCCAGATATCGTCATGGTCAGCCCCCATAATAGTAGTACTGTCGTGGTCAATTACACCCTCTTGCGCTTCCTTCCAACACTGATCGAACCACAACGGACCTCTTGAACCCCCGTCTCCGATGAGTGCATCTTTCTCAGCGTAAAATATATCGACTCTCAATCTTCTCCCGGCATCGACAAGAGCCTGCTCTAAACGTGGCACAAGTTTATCATAATCGCCCCAGTCCCCCCATCCAGATTGGCTGTAATTACCTTTCTGCAATAACAAAATGGCATCGGTCGATACGCCTTCCATATTTGCGGCGAATACTCTCTTCATAATCTCAGGCTGAAGTTCTTCTTCAAGTTTGACGTCTTCACTTTGGTCATTCGTAGACTCGTTGCTCGTTTGAGGCGTGGTTTGGCTGAGAGTGTTCAGAATACCAGAGAAAATCCCCGAACTGAGACCGATCATAGGTACCACATGGTTACCCATCACTTTTAACAGCTTGTCCGTTTGGCCGACCACACCAGCTGGCAGAAAACCAGCCATGGACATCATCTTGGACCCTGTATGCGAAGGCAGAAGCCAGGGTGCCCCAATTGCAATATATCCAGGCCTTCTTGGGTGGAGAAGCTCGGGATGGTGCAGCAGCATATCAAGTGCAAATACCGTCCCGCCGCTATGACAGCCTAGAGCCACGTGATTGATTTCGAGATGCTTTAGCAGTGCCGCAATGGCGGCTATTCGATCGGGATATCAGTCTGTTGTTTGCTTCATGTTTAGAGAGGCCACCAAGGAACATGCACTTACTGCGCCATAGGCTCATGTAGTCCCCTTCACCAACAGTGTCAGTACCACCCATCCCCGGTCTTTCGGGATTTATGATGCGGATTTTATGCCGTTTGGCAAGTTCGTCTTTTGCAATATGAGCCAAGCGGGATCCCACCAATGGTCCATAAAAGAGGAAAACGACTTCTTCACCGGGCAAATCCTGGTTACGGTATCCGTAGTCGGCATACTGGATTGTGAAAGGAGTGGTTCGACCACTAGCTGGATCCGCGGGCAACACAAAGATCTGATCGAACCGTTGATCGTGAACGAAATCGCGTGCAGCGGTCATTGCATTGAAGTATAGGTTGAGATCTTTGTCACTACCTAGGAAGGTCGAAGAACCGCAGGACGGTTGGGATGCCCTGCAGGCCTCCCAACATTGACGGCTGCCTAACTGGTTAGGCACTTTACCCAATGGAGATACGCGCCGTACATATCAGAACGGTTCATCATTCGCAGCTGGACTTGACCCGGATTTGCGCAATGCAACTAGGAGAGCTTAAAGCCTCCCTATTTAATAATCGTTTAGAGACAGGTGAGCCGAGCCGGTTGTAACTCTTCAACACAAGTGTAGAAATTCCTCTGTCTTCTGACGGGCACTTCAATGCTATTATAGCCGGACACTCAGGAAACCTTAGATGCTAAAGCAAATACTGCACTAACCCTAGGAGGCTCAAGCTTACTAGTGTCTGTCTCGAAAATTCAGAAGTACAGTACGAATCCACTTCAATATGGACTTCAGAAGACGGTTTCCTGTTGGAACCAAACTAGACTAGGATTATCCGTATGGTTGAAGCCGTCTAAATCAATGATGGTTCACTGTTTTCTTGGTCATCACTGGGCGAGAAAGACAAAAAACGTAAGCTGGACCCATGTTGTCTATCTTCTTTAGCTATCTCAAATCATATTAGATGCTAGACAGGAGCGCTGGGACGTCTGATGAACTTGTGGAAGAAAGTTGCATCACATCTTCGCCCATCGGCGTATTCAGCATATTCCGGACATGTCCCCCATTGTTTCCAACCACTTCGTTGGTAAAAGGCCATAGCAGGCGTCTCACTTGCGGTATCAAGTGTCAGCATCTCCGTACCCAACTCGTCTCTTGCAAATTCCTCTACGAAATCCATCAGAATCGTAGCAATGCCTTTGCGCCTAGCGGACGGGTGGACCAGCAGCCTCGCAATTTCTGCTCGGTGTCGGTGTGTGATCTTGGGAATAGTAAAGATTTGGACTGTCGCAAGTACATCGGCAGAGCTTTGAGTAGCCGACAAAACGAACAAATGAACTGTGATCGGTGTCGCATGAAGTTTCGCCGATAGTGACTTCCAATAGCTCTCAGCTTCGACGTCTGCAAGGGGGGCGTGAAACCCTATCGAGGAATTTACTGGATCAGGGTTGACACAGAGCTGTAGAAGATTGCGCAACGCAACGCGATATTTATCGAACTGTACAGGAGACCCAATCCTCGTGATGTGGTAGCCCGAACGCGGATACTGGCCTGAACATGATGCTGCCATGTTGGGCATGTATCTGTCGTCAGATCACTCCAGATCTAATATGGCTGGCACAAGAGGCTCGTATGATAGTTCTCAGCTCTGCCAGAAGTAGAAACAGCGTGAATCAAACGATTCTAACATGCCACTGATAGTTGAAGATAGACATATCATCAAATGAGTCACGTCGAATCGAAAGACAAGGGCCGCGGGAATTATCATTACCTGTCTCCTCATTGGACGGGGCCGTCGAGCCACACTAGGCGTTGGCGTCTGTATTTAGTGTCCAGGCTAACTCAGACATTGGCGGGCCTGACCTCTGGAAACCAAACCGTCAGTATGCTGTCCTAGAGTACCTGTACCAAGATACGTGGGAAGTTGGAAGTAACAACCAAGTGACATCATTGAAGCCCCCGGCCCCGGTATATTGACAGCTTCACTGTATTGACCACCCAATATTACGAGTCTGCACACGCAAAACCTGGCAGCTGGCGCGCTCTCACCAATGGAATGCACAATGAGGTCTTTGATACTCCACGGTATGGCTGGCGGCTCAGTGCAGTGTGGCTGCGCCACAGCGCCTCGTCACACTTGCGGGCTTGCAAACCCTACAAGTTACTCTCAGCCCTACAAACGGGCAGGAGAATTGTCGATCTTATTATTGCAACATGTCAATACATCCGCAGCTCGTATGGGCTTTGCAGTCATGTATCAAAGACCCCCACATCATTCACTTGAGTGCTCTAAGGGGATGATTATATGTTCCATGTTCCTCTGGGCAGCAAAAGCAGCATCCCTTGGTCTTGATATGAACGTCCGCGCCATCCAAGGAGTCTTCTAGGAATGAGAAGCTTTTCCTCGGATGTAGTCAGGTCCGGCAATTCCACCGTGATCCCCGCAATAGCCGCCAGGTTGTGACTCTTCAAGCATTCCATCAAGCACTAGCACCGCTATTGGAAGGTTTCAGAGCTCTCCCTCAACCAGTCAATTTTGACATTGACATTGAGGGCGCCAGTAGTCGTTTAAGAGACCTTATCTCTATTGATTGCAGGGGTCAAGATTGAGACACACCTCGTCGTTTGCTGACCGGTTTCAACCCCTCTTTCGTCTTTGCATTCATGCTTAACGGCAATCGTCCTAAGTACAACACAATGACTGCCCTTTCAGATTCGGTAATGATGGTTTCTTGTGGCTGGCTGACAGCCTAGATCGAGATAGAGAAGGGATAACCATGATCATCACGGCAATGCAGGCTTGTGTTATATGACCCAAGAGCGTACAAGTGCATGAAAGCATTGAAAGTGCCGGTAACCTACTTCAGGTACCTTAAACGGATCACATCCGGTAGACCAGATTCGGTGTAGTAGTGATGAGGTCATACTACATCCATTTCTTGCAATCTAGTTCCAGCCGAAGGTCAACTCAATGTACAACAGCGTGGGTCTCACGGATACTATACACAGCGGCTCATAGGAATGGTGTATGGCCAGTAGGCCAACAACTTGACATCGCTGGATGTGAACTATCATAGAGACATCTTGCCTACCTATAAGCTTAACCAAACTGGTTCTCACCATTGGTTGAAGCAACCCCTGTTGGCAAGTTGCTGAAGGATGAAGGTGGATACTGAGAATTGTAGGACTTCCACATTCTTGATACTCGCTGACACATCACCTCACCTGGTATTGAATCCTCGCTTGCAATCATTTTGTGACTTGCATATGTGGATCAGTTTAACGCAATATGTCTAGGTTCTTCAAAAATGCACTTTTGTCTGGAGCCTCGCTCCCTCTTAAAACCTCAGCTCTCCACAGTAATCGTATTCAGCGCAGCTACCACCCCTCCCCCCTCTTAAACGTGTCGTACTAGCCAGCGTAGGTCCTATCTCGAAATCGATCATGTTAAGTTCAGAAAATTTTCGTCCGGGACCATCAAAAACTAGACAGCATATTCAGTGGTTGAGTGCCGCCGATGAAACGGTGTTCTTCTTTCAAAGTGAAAGCACATCACCCTTGACCGGTGGATCATCATGTTCAGTTGCTTTCTCTTATCAGAACATGTCTCACTCCAGCGTGGCTCAATTTTTAGAAGATGTCGTATTATGTCATGATATATTCGATTTGCATATGTCTAGGATAGGATATCCGTTAAGGTTCTTTTCAGCTGGGTTTATGTTCGCAGCACCTAAAGTAGGGATGTTCTAAATTACTGCGAGCTTTCCAGGTGTGCATACTTCTCGATGCCTATTCAAGCTTGGCACATCCAGTCCTGATTCTAGCGATATCAACGCCAGTCCACTACAAATCTTCAACTCACTTTTGCTAGAGCATACACAAGCTGTCACATCGCTACCATGAGCCACTTCCCCATCACCGGAATCCAGGGTGGTAATAATGCACCTCGTCGAAACGTTGACGAGTGGTTTGCCGAGGCTAGACAGCCGATGAAACATCCAGTCGCTGCAATTCAGTTGTCACCCTTCCTCCGGGGTTTGAAGCTTTTTCAGGATGCAGATCCGCTAGACACGAACAGTAGGATTCGAGAACTGTCATACTATCGAATTGCAGGTAATGTTGTTCCCTTTACCATGACTATAGATTTCTTGACGTCATAATAGGCATTCATGGTTGGCCGCAAAATCTCCCTTGGGACGATGTCCCACCGAATGAGGGTTTGAACTTTTGTGTTCATGGCCAAACAACTTTTCCTACCTGGCACCGGCCATACCTTGCATTATATGAGGTAACCATCCCCAAGTCGGTCTCATCATAGCCGTCGCAATGTTATTTCCATCAAGACTGGCCCATCTCACCGCGCGCAACTATTGGCGATTAATCGATCGATAGCAAGTAATCTACAGTCACATGAAGGAAATCGTCACCCGTGAGGTTCCGTTTGAAAAGCAACAGCAATGGAACGACGCGGCCGACACTTAGCGGTTGCCCTACTGGGACTACGCGTCGTGACCCGCCATCTGCGAAATTGCATCACTCGAGTCGGTTGACATCCTGGACACTGCCAAACCGGATGGAACAGTCCCCTTCATCAACCCCATGTATTCATACAGGCTCGCAACGGGCTCGACCTTCGGTGATGTGGATGTTATGAAGAAGCTCGCAATTCAAGACATCAGCACTGAAGGGAAGATAGATATAACCTCAGGTCAGGTCAAAGGAACCTCACGCTATGCTATTAAACTGCCCATAGAGCCAAAAGCGCCATGGGTGGAGGGTATTTCGGACGAAAGAGCAGTTACCAATGCCTTCAAGGGACATACCTAGCCTGACGTAAAAAACAAGGCCAGCGGAATAATTGCTGAGAATGTCTATCGACTCTTGACCGAGGACTACTTCGAGTCTTGCGCTTTTGTGACAACTAAGTATTACGATGAGAGCCCAGATGCTCGCCGATGATTGTCCTTTGAGAACCTGCATAACATGGCTCATGTGCGTATATCATCATGAACTCACTAGCACGATGCTGAGCACCTCATCATAGGTTTGGAGTGGTGGAGGAGACATTTCTAAGGAAGGAGTGGGCCATATGAGCTTTCTCGAACTGTCGGCTTTCGACCCCATCTTCTGGTTACATCACAAGTAGGTAGTATCACGCATCTAGACAAAGGGCTTTTCACTGACTAAAACTAGTTTCATCGACATGATCTTGGCGATCTGGCAGACTGAGACTAAGAACAAGTTGGTCTTATTGTCACACTATGAGTTCTCTTCACTGACGCTATCCAGTTTCTGGTTCGATAACTTGGAACCCGGCGACCCCAACGCAACCGATCCCCTATTGCAATTCTACACGGCCGATGAGCAGCCTTTCACCAATGATATCAAAGACTGGACGGTCTTCAACTACACACACGACATTCTGGCTCCCAAGCCTTCGCAGATGAAGCCCGACGGCAGCTTGGACGAGGAGAAGCACCTCGCTGACCTTGCCGCAGAAATTAACAAGCGCTATTCCACATCTTGCTCGGAGGTGCTCTCAGCCCGGAGCATGCGTGCCGAAGCCGCACCACAGTCGCCTCACTACATCATCAATGTCACCTACGACAAGTAAGTCGTCTACAGTCCTTATCCAATCAAATAAAGAAGTATACACTAATTGGTCCTGCCTTCCCCGCAGACACGCCCTGAAGGAGCTATATAGCATCCACCTCTTCGCGGGCCCGCTCGACCTGGCCTACGACTCGGACCGCGCCCAGCCTAACCGTCTCGGCACCGTCTTCACGTTCTCGCGCTTCAACCCGGCCGAGACGTGTGCCAGCTGCAAGGGCCAGATCAACCAGGGCGATCTGTCTACCGGACAGATCCCGATCATGGGCGCCATGACCAAGGACGTGGAGGACCCCTTCGTGGCGGACGCAGACGGTATGGATCCGGACAGGATAGGACGCTACCTGGAGCGCTTCCTGGTCTGGAAGATCGTGACGGTGAGTAAACAGCCATAGCAGGTAGGCGGTGGTGCATGGGAGACATCTGAGATAATCCGTGCAAACAGCTCACTGGGCGCGAGGTCCAGCCAGGAGACGTGCCCGGCCTGAAAATCACGGTCTTTGCCGGGCGCGCCGAACATTCGCACGCCACCGACCACTTGTCTGCCTACAGCAACTACAAGCCGGTCTTCAGAGCGACGGCTGGGAAGCCAGGGGGCGCGTCTGAAGAACTGGGTGCGTATTGAGCAAGCCGAAATGTGCGTTTTGTGTAACGCATGGTTTTGGAATGCGGGCAACGCCAGAATGTTTGCGAAGAAAAGGGGCGAAACTTGGACGGGACAGGGTCCCGCAACTAAGGTACAGCACCACCAAAAGCAAGATTGAGTCGCATTTTTGCATGATGATTTTCATTTGGGCTTTGCCGGCTTTCAAGCCAAATATTACCAGCCGCTTGCCAACTGCCCTATGCGAGTATTTTCTTGCATTCCTGCTCTTGGGCATAGCCCCAACAGCACTAGGCGCAAAAGCTAGGATAATCTTCCTACCGTGGCCTGTAACATGGTTTCTCACATCAACGTAAGCAGTGCAGAATATGGGGATTCGTAATTTACAAAAAGTACATGCGCTGTAATGGACAGACAGACCCACGGACCCAACGCCTGTAGTATACCAGATCGCCGCCCCCTTCTCCTTTTTCCCATCCGGGTCCCCTGGGTAAATTCACCCCCCATGGCCAGTATCATACATAATGCTACATTAGTTACATGTACGGAGCCCCGCAAGATATACAAAAGAAACTAACGAGCGCTGCTGGTGCAGCTTCTCGACTAGATGGGTACATATCCACGCGCCTAGCCGCATGTTGCTACAGATGAGGGTTCCATCCCTTGTTTCCCGAGCTCCGCGGCGGCATGCGCTCCCAGACCCACTTGCTGGGGCCGCCGGGGTGCTTCTGGCCCGTGAACTTGGCGCTCTCGAAAGGCCGGTACATGTGCGGGATCAGCTGCGGCTGGCTGCTGTAGGGCAGGAGCTTCCTCGGCCTGCCCTTCTTGGCCCCGGACCCCGAGGTCGAACCGTTCGACCCAGGCTTGCCGGTGCCTGCTGTGACCGTGGTGGTGACCTTCTTCTGCTCCTTCAGGATGTCGCGAAGCTCGGCGTCGTCGCCGGTGATCTGCGCCTTCAGAAACGACAGGTCTCCTGACGTGGCCGGGTCGTTCAGAGACTCCATTACAGGGACCCGAGGCGTGTATTGGATGCCCTCCAGGTTGGGGGCAAAGCGTTCCGGGACTATTTTCGGATCCAGGAATGCCTCCTCGCCCTTTTGAAGGAGCTGCACTATGTCCAAGCTCTCACCAGACGGGATTGGCGTCTTATGACTAGGCGTAACACAATCCATATCGACCTCTTTCCTCAACACATGATCAATGTCCACGGCGGAGAAATACGCGCAGGCCTGTGGTAGGTCGTTGATACCAACCTGTTGAGCGAACATTGCTCTGGTCCAAAGATTGGCGATTTGTAGAGCCATCGCGGCGCGGTACTTATCGTGGTCCTTAACGAGGTACCGGATCTCGTCATGGACAGTGATCGCGAGGCGAGCTTCTATGTTAAAGCGACGGGTAAGGTAGTCCATACCGACGATAAGTAGATGTAGATAATCAACACCGCTAGACTGAATCGCCCAGTTGATGCGAGAGGTCAAAAATCCGCCCTTGCTGACGAAGCGACCCATGAGAGCCTCAGTGATGCCTGCGCCAAGGACGGGCGTTCGTGGTTTGTCTTGTTCGGCAAATTCCTCAAGCTTGTTGAAGACAAATGATTCGGTGCCACCTCGCCAGAAGGGCCGCTTGTAGAGTACCTTGCGGTTGGTCTTGGTACCCTTGGTTGTGGCGTAGAGCTTGCCCGCTGTCTCGAGTGTCTCAGCCTCCGAAAGACCGGGGTTGAACTGGCGTAAAAGAGTGGCTGCGAACTTGAGACCCGCACCGTAGATACGGCCGTAGTTGAAAACCTTGGCGTCGTTACGGGTGATACCGAGAATGGAGGCAGTCCGAGAGTGCAGATCAGTGCCAGCGGCTTTGGTACCCTCAAGTGTCATGAAGCCGATCGCATTGCCTCCGTGCAGCTTGAACGTCGCATCGCCCACAACACTGGCAATCCACAATTCCTCCGAATCAACGTCAGCGCCGACGAAACAATACCCGGGCGGCGCCTTCACCATGGCCTTCAGCTCAGAGCCAACTCGATTCTTCTTGGCGTTGCTGGCCGTAAGCCAAGTGTTCTCGACAGCTCTCCTCGTGATAGTACCCATGGGAATAATTTGTGGTAGAATGTAGCCTTGGGTATGTTCCTTGCTCCCACTGTCCTTGGCTTTCGCACCCGGTGTTTTCTGATCTTCGTAAACAACCATTTGTGACATGATCCTATCGCGAGCACTGATCCAATAAGAGCATGAAGCGTTCATCTCCAGTGCCTCCTTTGCTAGCGAATACTCGGAAGAGAGCGTACCCTTATCAAAGTAAGCAAGATAGCTCTTGGCCAGTGGCGTCGCACACCGTGCCGTGGGGCCGTCTTTATGGGGTAACTTGAAGTAGAATCCTTTGTTATCCTCCCGGATACCCTCGGTAGGTTCGTCGGTCATATCGCAACGGACCAGTTGAGTGTCTGCATACTTTGAGATGTCGCTGACCGGTACCCTGAACGTCCATCCGTACTTGTCCGACCAATGCAGAGGGTAACCATCCCAAGCTAGCCGAAGCAGCAATGGCGCTATACGAGTCCGGACGGAAATGTTGATTGACGAGTCCTTCTTGGTGAACAAGTCCTTGTACCATTTCGGCATCCCCGGCATCTTCTGGCGTGCCGCCGGCCTTGGCGGATCACCCTTCTTTTTGCCCTTCACCATTCTGATCTCCATGCCAGACCAGTCCAATTGCCGTAACCAGGGATCGCTACTCCACTTCTGCTCGTCGTCTTTGATCTCCAGCGCTTTGTTACTGAGACCAATGAGGCGGTCCGTCACGGCATCGGATAGTTGATGATAAGTCGCTTCAGTGTTGGCAATGTAAGCGTCCCAGGACTTGTCAACTGGCAGTATAACGGACGAAAGATGCCGCAACGCCGCGAAGCTCACAGGGTGTGGACAGGTCTCGAGAAAGTTGGGGAACACGATCTTGTAGACTCTGTGGGTGATGGCCACGTCGGCCGCACAATAGTCCAGGAGGTGGTCAAGCCGAGCCATGACTTCTTGACGATCCGAGCCTCCGAAATCATCCCGTGCAGATTTATCGAGAGTAACATCCAGATGGAATTTGGCGACGTCCCTCAATGAATTCACCGAGCTCCGTTCCACCCATAGCTCCTCCTCCTCCTCTCTGAAATCGTTGCTAGCAAGCAGTGTGGCTAGCTCCACGTTGTCTGTCTCCTTGGATATCTTGTCCCTTAGCTCCCTGCTCTTCTTGTGCTTCATCCAGGTAGGGCGCTGCTGTGAGCACATGCCGTTGACTGCAACATGCAGCGACATGGTATCCAGAAAAGAGTTTCTGGTCTGTTTTAAATCGTACTCTTCCAAGATGCGGGCGCGGTCGTATCCGATGTTGTGGCCGACGATGACTCGGTCTTTGTTAGGATCCCCCAGCGGTATCAGGTGGTTGTCTGATTCCGATTCTCCGAGCAACCAAGGCGACAGCCACGCATACCAGGCATTGGGGCTCATGGCGCACGCCATGACGGCGAAGGAGCTCTCCTTCCACATGACCTCGGTGTCAAAGCAGAGCATGGTGTCGTCCGGCGCATCAACCGCCTCGGTGCGACCATCGGCGTAGTATTTCGTCCAACCACTCCTTCGCACCCATTTCCTCGGCCGCGGAGGCGCATTCTCCCGAGCGAACTGCTTCGCCTGGGTCAAGAAGGGCTCGGCGCAGTCGAGGCCAAGCTTGTGGAAGTGTTCATCGAGCGTCTTGCCCTGGATTGGCGGCAGGTCAAAGGCGATTGGAGGGTTGTTGTCGGTGTTCTTGCCCAGGAGGTCGTGCCGCCGCAGGTGATCCTTGGAGAGCTCTACCAGCTCCTGGGGCGCGGGCGTGCCGCCGTCTGGGAAGACCTGGTTGTAGACGTGGGCGCTGAGATGCTGGACGCCGATCTCATTGAAGCGAGCTTCCGAGGGTATCGCCAGGCTCGCCGGGGGGGCTCGTTCGGGTGCATCACGTGGCGGCGTCTGGGCCGCGACGGAATTCGACTGCCATCTTTTTTGCGACGTCGACGGCGATGGCGAAGTCCACAGAACCAGCCATGCTTGCCGCCGTGTCCGAGTGGAGGTTTGCGCTCGGTGTTTGGCGAGGCGCACGAAGCTCGCGGGCGATGCGCTTGCTACGTGACCCCTTGCATGGCTCAGCATAGCTACCTCACAATGCAGAAGAACATGGCCGTGATATGGAGAAGTCGTTTGGGGTCTGCGGATGGGGGCCGGGTCTGTCGAGTCAGTAGAGCTGCCGTGGCTACCGGACACGATCTTGCAGCAGCTTTTGTGGATGGCGAGATTGAAGATGAATAGATAGCGCGCCGCGGCGGCGGGAGACTGGGGCGCTGATAAGGGGCTAAGCGAAAAGTACACTACGGCCGCTAATTTTTCTTCTTCGATTTTTCGACAGCTTCTGGATCCCTTCCATCTCCATCTCCATCTCCATCTCCATATCTCAGGTCCAAACTTGGGCAAAAGTGGGGGAGTAGGCCCCCCTAAACGGCCTAAACGGGGTCCCGCGCCGTTCATTTCGATCACCCACTGACAGCTGGAGCTCAGTTTAGAAGTTGCAGTAACTTAGGTAGTAGACTTGGCTGACTTGGCTAAGGTGACAGCGAACCCAGCGCCCGCAGCAGTCCAACGAGGTCGACCCTACAATCCAGGGTCCAATCCGATTTGGCCGTCTGAGCTTTGCTTCGTCACTTCGCTAACTTATTGTGCTACTTTCTGCGCTATGGGTACTTGCTCCCCTTGTTCTCTGCGCTCGCTATAAGGCGAGCTAGCATGGCATGCCTTTGCGAAAGTACCACGCATACAGGCACGGCCCGTGTAAGTTAGTTGTCATGTTCAATCGACTTCAAAATGCAAGCAAACCCTTGTCTGTCGTCATATCCCGGCAGATACCCAGGTAGATAGGCAGCCGCAGCACTGCTCATAGAGAACGCTCTGCTCGACGAGAGCCCCGTTGGCCAAGCCTCATCGCAATCCTGTCATGCTGTGACGGTGCTGTGTATCTCATCTGAACTACCGCAACCGCCAATGGGGCAGAGGCGGGGGGAAGCAGGAGCAAGATGCGGCCGGTGGACAGGCATGGAGGGTGGTAATGCACATGCATACCTGTCTCTGGAGATACCTATAGAGTAACAGTACTGTGGTGGCCGTACAGGCTGCTGTACCTCAGAGGCGCAGTAGGTTGCACGGCTGGCATGGTAGCTGATAGGTGTCGGAGAGCTTCCAAGGTTCCCACATTGGACTCCGAGTGGCCAGGCTCAAAGACACTTGGACTCTTGTTTCCTTGCCTTGGCGCCGTGGCACTCGAACGCCTCTCCTTTGCTGGTCTTCCGTTACTCGGCTGATGTGACTCGGCAACTCCTGCACCTGTACGGGACAACCCGTTTTGGTGTAGAAACGGTACCAGATACATACCCTCCCGTGGATGTGATCCGCATAGTGCCATGGGGGTTTCTTTTGCTTCTTTGGGGGCCTGCGACAAGTGTCCCAGAGTCTGTATGCAGCTGATCCCGAGAGCACACGACAGTACAAGTTACTCCGTGCTCGCTCGAACCTCATGATAGAGAGTTGCACCGCACCGGCCGTATTCTGAACACCCATCTCGTCCTGGATGCCTCCACAGTAATATTGCATAATTTGGGTTCAATGATCCCATGCCGCCATGCCATAAACGTCATACTTGCAACCAGCAGGCTAGTAGCTCATCGTTACTATTGTAGTCCTTTTGGTACTGGCAGCGTGGGCGCGCCTCTTAGGTTGCGCCTCTTACTCAATGTAGAAAATGCCACCGCCGGTTGTCGTCACACAGTCATACGGTACCGATGTCCGTACGACAGTCAAATCTTCTGCCGGATTGGGCTATCCGTAATGGACAATTCCGAGACACGACGCCGGAATTCACAGCCGAGTTTTCCTCCCCTCAGGCAGCACAAGGGGGCAAAAGCCTTGCCCAACACAATATGTCTGTCTCTCTCACACTCCGTCTGACAGACATTGGGCGCGCTGACAGAAGGGGGGGGGAAAAGTGAGCTGTCTGCTGTCTGCTGTCTACTGTCTGCTGTCATCTCCGCTCCTCTTATCCCGGGGACTTTCAATGCTAGCGGCTCCAGAGACTTTTGGGATGGGGCCCTTACTGACGGAGTTGATACCCTGCCTTCTCCAACAAAAGTACTCTGCGTCTGACAACTCGGCCGCCCAACTTACACACGATGACATGACAATTTAATTAGCTGGTTGCTCCTCTTTGACTCCACGCCTTGGGGCGGCCCCGTACCACCGTATGGTCCTTCCCCCCCTTCTATGCCGGATGTGTTAACAATTACGAAGCCCACACATACCATAATAGCAAAAGACTGTCTGTCGCCACGGGCCGCGTCTAGAACTCACCGGGGCTGCCAGGTAACTTGTACTTGTATCGGACGGAAACCCTCCCACAGGTTTGAATGCAAAGCAAGCAGGTAGCCATCGCCCCCCAATGTTGCTTTTCCCCCTGGTGCATGGGTACGATATCGTTTGTGCAAAGCGGGTGAATTTTATGACTGCCTCGATTATTTTTCTGCTTGCTGAACTCAACTGGGCCTCTTGTCGGACTCTTCTGAAAAAAACAACTCTACCCTGCGACCTGTAGGCCATGAAACAACACATCCACCCTATACAGCTGACGATCACATCGACCCAACACCGCTACCAGCCTTATATATAAGACGACTGTCCAGCGAAGAACTGTCCGGACATGTGACGAAAATACCAGCCTTAAGACCGAATATCTCACAGTTGTTGGGTTCTCAAAAAAGCCTCGACAAGCTGCTCCTGGACGTCAGGTTTGGCCGGGGTCGACGGGAGGGACGGCAAGTGGTTGTGGTTTCTCCGCAGCGTCTGCTCTCGTGATATCATTGTCGGCCCCTAGCTGAGTTGGTGGTTGGAGACATCGGTTTTGCCCTCGAACGGCACGGAATGGCTGCCAATTGTGTGCCATTTATAAATGGCATCAACAGCTGCTCAGGTGGGTGGCCAGTTTCCTTGTCGAGTCCTCTGGAAACCCTCATATCCCAGCATAGCGAGCATCTATCTACTACTCTCTTCCCTTCACCTGCTCCCCGGCAGGTTCAGTTTGAAAGAGACGGCCCGTCACGAGACCAGATCAGTGGACAAATAGGCCCCAGCTAACACACTTCTCTCTCTTCCTACCGTCCAGACAGCCTCCAACTGGATCAGCTAGAGCATCCGATTGCCGACGGTGGCGGGCGTGACAGCTTTGCTGGGCCAGGCTTGGACCACGGCTTATACAGGCCGCGGCCCGGTCTGACTTTGGCTCCACACGCACACACACACGCACACGCTGCACCCACGCCCACACACGCAAATACTAGCCGAACCAGCTCCAACTGGCCGGCATCCGCCTGGGACTGGGACCTAAGCCTGGACCTGGACCTGAACTCTAACCACTCTGACAATGGCAATCCCCTCCTCCACAGCCGCAGCAGAAGCAGCTACCTGAACGACAGCGGCAACGGCGGCGGCTCCTTTCTAATCCCCGAGGACGGTGGTGTGGGCATCGGACTTCAGCAGACCGGGGCCTTCGCCCTCGACAGCGCGGCGCACAATAGTTACAGAGACGCTCGCCCGATCACCAACAGCAGCCATAATAACAGCAACGGCAATAACACGCATCTGTCCCCGTTCCCGCAGTCGTCTGGCACGCCATCGGCCGCCCCGCCGCCCCTGTTAGCACCGGAGGCAGAGCAGCCAGAGCAGCCGCCAGAGCAGACAGATAACAGCGCTTTATTAACGCCGGGGCTCTTGACGCCGACGGCGGCCGGTCTGAACCTGGGCCTGAACCTGGACCTGGACCTGGACCTGGACCTGGACCTGAATCTCAGCGTGGGCTTCGACTTCCCCACGCTGTCGCCTTCGCATCCACCGCCCGACTTCAACTGCTTCAACAACGACACCAACGACGACGGCGGTACCCCCAACGACGCTCTGGCATTCACGCCTTTTGGGACCGAGGCGACGCCCATGCCCGCACCCAGCCAGATCAATCACCACTCACGGGGGGACGCATTCCACAGCTTCAGCGGGGGATCGAGTGCACGCAGATGTCCCTTCGCCCCATTGCGGCACCCCGTCCACCAGAGCGCCAGCAGTGCAGGCCGCCACCACCCGAATCCGACACCACCACCGCAGTCAAGCATCATCAGCACAAGCACGAGCACAGGCGCAGGCACAGGCACAGGCACCAACGCATTCTCGCGCACCACAATCGCCAACACAAATAGCAGCGCCACCGCAAACGCTGCTTTCTACCCCGACGCCTCTTCTCTGTTGCTTTCTCCGACGTCACAACCCACCTTGCCCCAACAGCCCGCAGCCAGGCCCGTCTGCAACCACCAAGACCTGAACAACGACGATTTCCTCTCGGCCTTGATCAACGGCAACTTCTCATCACCCTCGCTGCCGCCGCTGAGCAGTAGTCCCACCCGCCCCGTTCCCCCAACCCAGTCACGCCCCACCGCTCACCATCCTTCGCACCTTCCCGCACGCCCCTCGCTTTCTCTCGACGAACTCATCGACGACTTGTTCGATACCAACGACAACAACAACAACAACAACAACTACGGCATCAACATGCCGCAACGCCGCACACCGAGCCGTACGGCGGCTTCGGACAGGCCGCGACGGGCAAGCCGGTCCAGTGCCGCCAGCATGGTCGATCTCACCTCGCCCAAGACGGAGCGAGACAGTAATTCACCGCTGGGCGTCGAGCCCGCAACGCCCATGGCCCCGCCTCCCCCACGCACGAGGAAGCGTAGCCGGACTTCCGCAACCCCAACAGGCACATCCAGCGCCACCTCAAGGCGGCTGTCGACGTCGTCAGGGAAACCGAGGCCTGTGAAGACCCTCAAGTCTACACGCAAGGCCCCCGCCACGCATGACGATGTTTTCGAGACGTCTTCGGTCGCAGATAAAGAGGACGACGATGAGGACATCCTGGACTTGACCGGCACCAACGAGGTGCCCGAGCAGCTGTTGCAGCCCAAGGTCGACAACCGTGTCAAGCTCAGCAAGTTTCAGTGTGTCATTTGCATGGATGACGTCTCCGGCTTGACTGTCACTCACTGCGGTAAGTCTTCTATGAATCTCTGGCCTCGTGCTCTGCCTCGTCTTGTCCTTTTTGGCCACATACTGACGCTCCCTCCCAGGTCATCTGTTTTGCTCGGAATGTCTCCACTCGTCACTTCACATTGACAGTATGAAGAAGACGTGCCCCGTATGCCGGACAAAGGTGGACATCAAGGCCAAACCCGGAGTGAAGCAGAGCAAGAACACCTTTTATCACCTTGAGCTGAAGCTTATGACGGCCAATCGGAAAGGGAAGCGGCCCGTAGGGAAGTGATTACCCTCTTGGTACCGACGTGAAAGGTGTGGTGATGGATGATGTAAGAGTATGAAGACATTTTGGTGGACCAGAAGCGTCGATACCTGGCTCGGACAGGCGCGAAGAAGCCGACCCTCAGGGAGGACTTGCCTGCCTGCCTCGCATCGCAAGCCCCAAATGTCATACCAGGGATCTCGGTAAAAGAGAGCAAGCGAGAGACCTGCACGTATAGAAGGCCGGCGAGGCAATATAGGGGACGAGCCAGGCGCCCGCGGTCACCCTGGCGGATACTATGACATGGATGGGGCGTTGGTCTTTTTTTTTCATGATTTACGGACGGGCGGATGCGATACGATACCCATATACAGGCATGCCGATGACACCACGAGATGAGATGAGATGTCGGCCCCTTCATCTACCGGTCTTTCGGGCTTCGTGATACCCGCATGGTCTCCGTAGATGAAGCGGCAAAGAGAAAAGGACAGGCACCATGTAAATAGGCCCAGGCAGGCATATGGAAAAAAGATTGCGGAGTTGTACTGGGCGCAGAGGGGAAGAAAAATCAAGTTTGCGAGAGACCTCTCACCAGTGCCACCCACATGCATACGTGAATCAATAATCAACAATATATCAGTATATTTCGAAGCGTATACCAGCACTCCTATAATATTCCACCCCTCTGCACCCCAGGGCTAATGGGCTCGTCATCGCCGTCCGCATCCCCATCACCGCCGCCGCCACCTCCCCGCCCCAACAGGCCCCTCTCCTCGAGCCCCTCGCCGTCCTCGCGGGCCCGCCCGGCGCCAGCCGCGCCGAAGCCCCCGGCCCGGCCCCGGCGGTGGTCGTCGTGGTCGCCGGCGTCCTCGGCGAGCCCGTGCAGCACGACCCAGCAGTCCTTCTTGGTCAGCAGGCCGACGAGGGCGCCGCGGTCCGTGAAGAGCACGTAGCGCACGCCGAGCTTCTGGAAGTACGAGGCGGCGAGGTGCAGCGACGAGCGCGCCGGCAGCGTGAAGGGCGTCTGGTCCATCCAGGGCCGCAGGTCGAGCGTGGTGCGCGGGTCGGCGGCCAGCGGCTGGCGGCCGAAGAAGCACTCGGTCTCGGGGGGCAGGGCGCGCGGCGGCGCGGCCGCCGTGCGCAGGTTGTAGACCAGCTCGGCGCGCGAGATGTAGCCCAGCAGCACGGCGTCGCGCGGGTCGCTGACGACGGGGAAGCCGCGGTGCGGGCACGACTCGAGGACGGCGCGCAGCGAGGCCATGGTGTGACCGGCGGCCGTCAGCACGACGAGGTCCTCGACGCGCGTCATGATCTGGCCCGCGGGGATGTCGGGGATGCTCTGGGCGCCGGAGCCGTCGTCGCCCGAGTCGAGGAACGGGTAGCCGTTGAAGTGGATCCAGGACTCGTAGATGCCGCGGCGCGAGAAGGCGTCGCCTACCCACTTGGACAGCATGACGGCCACCATGATGGGCAGCACATACGTCAGGGCGCCCGTCAGCTCGAACGTGATGACGACAATGGAGACGGTCATGCGCGTGACGCCCGCCAGGGTCGCCGCGGCGCCGATGATGGCGTAGACGCCCGGCGTGATGCAGTTGATCTTGGTGTCCGGGTCGCAGTACGACGCGAAGGGCAGGAAGCCCGGGTGGTTGTGCTGCCAGATCTCCATGATGATGCCCACGGCGCGGCCCGTCAAGGCCCCGATGGCCATGCTCGGTAGGATAATACCAGCGGGGATCTGAAGGCCGAAAGTGATGCTGGCCAGGAAGAAGCCGAGCACAGCGGCGAAGAGGAGGAGCACGATGGTCCCGGCGCTGGCCGCCCCGGTCTTGCACAGCCCGAATGGGTCATCCAAGACCTGGGAGCAGTCGGATAGAAGGGAGGAGACGAGCTCCGAGGACTGGGCACGCATGTACAGATTAGGGTAGTTGACAAGGGCAGTCAAGAGAGCCACCATCACCACCTGGGTGACAGGGCCTGGGATCGGCCAGTTGGTGGACTTCTTCCACCGAGCAACAGCCATGTTGACTTTGATGAAGAGGCCACCGTAGATGCCACCCATAATACCCAGAATAGCAAAAGGCACCAACTCAAATCCATGCCAATTTGAGGTGTATTTCACCTGATAGAGAACAAGTTTGCCGGACCGGAAGGGGTCGAAAGCCTGCAGCATCACGGCGGCAGTCATGGCGCAGACAAAGGATTGCCACATGGTCTTGTCGGGGAAGTAGTACGACAACTGTTCGAGAGAGAAAAGCACGCCGCCAATGGGCGAGCCAAAAGCGACAGAGATGCCAGAAGCAGCCGCAGCTGAGAGGACCTCGCGCTTGCGTGCTTCATTGCCGTTCACGTTTGGGAACAGCTTGATGAATAGGTTGGCGCAGCAGCATGCTACGTGAACCAGGGGACCTTCTTTCCCTAGCCACATGCCAGAGGCAACGGCTAGAACCTGTGATAGGATTAGCTAGATGAAAAGAAATAGAACACAGCGATGCTTACCAAACCTAGGGACTTTGTAATGAGGGTCCAGAGTCCCAGAAACCTCCGGATGATGAAGCCGCCCAGGACCGTCTTGATCTCTGGGATTCCAGAATGTTTGGCATATATACCATATTCCTTGACTAAAATGGCCGCGCACAGGGCGAACGTGACGGACAATAACAGAAAAAAGAAGTACTCGATAAACCACTTGCCACCCGCACTGGTAATGCCAAGAGCAGCAGCCCACGGTTTCCAGCCGACGCATTTGGCGCCTTGGTCATATCCTAGACAGCAAAACCCTCTGTTCAGATAAAAGGCGCCTCCATCGGGGCCTGAGGAGCAGTACCCAGCTTTCAGGTCGCCCAGCCAGTCCGATGTCACATCTATAGCGGCCGCCAGCGCGCCGACCGCGATGCCCGTCAGCACCAGGATGACCCAGATCTGGCTGGCGTCGAGGAACTGCTGTATGTAGCCAACTATCCCGGTTGCGCTCGAGTAGAGAACCCGCAGCCGCTGCCGCTCTTTCGTGTACTCGAAGATCCAGTCAATGGCGGTCAGATCGTCGTACCCGACTCGGCGCCCCGGCCCCTCGACGTACCAGTCAACGGGTAGACCGTCCTTGGGCCCGTTCAGCGTCGCGCCGCTACCATTACTTCTCGTAGGTGTATCCAGACCTGGAAGATGACTCGGTGTGCTTGTACCCGAAAGATTGGGCGATCGGGTGTTGGGGGAGGTGCCTAGCCGATTGCCCGTCATGACGGACAACAGACGGCCGGGCTGGGAGAGGATGCTTTGCTTTTGCTTGCGTTTGAAGCTCATGGGTTGGTCGAGGGGGTCTTCTGCCCAGACATCGGCGCCAGATTCGTTGGTGCCGAACATGTCGAGGTCGTCGGCGCCGTCTTCGTCGTAGCCGTCGTCATCGTCGTCGGCGCGGGACGGGCGTCGTTGCGCATGTGCTGGGTCGCTGTTGGAGGGGGCGGACGAGGTCGAGGACGAGGCCTCCTCCTCTTGTCCGCTCAGGGGTAACCTGCTAGCCATCTCGGAAGGACAGTGGCAGGCCTAACTGCCATGGTTCGCCGGCGCGACACCCGTGAGCTTGAAGATTTGGCCGGAAGGCTGATGCGTGTCTTGGAGTTGCGGCGAGGCTGAATGCGATCGGCTGCAGGGGGTTCGCTACGTAGTACTGTGCTGTAAGTCACTGTACCGTGCCATAGCACTGCAACTGTAGCTCTCCGCGATAAGCGCGATAAGGCGCCTGGGCAGATCACAGTGGAGGTGGAGTGGGGCTGGTTACCTACAGGCTTCCACGACAGCTCTTCACTAACCCGTGACCTGTTACTCGCCTCTGTTACCTGCTACACGGCTCCGAAAACTTGTCTCAGGGCCATAAATTCCGGACATGTGCATTCCGCTCCTTCTTATACCAGCACTCACACGTCCCCTTCACGATGCAAATTACAAAACAGGTGGCTTGAACCCCTTCCGTCTGAGTTGGAGGTGAATGCCATCCGTTGACTAGGCACATACTGGACGCCGGTGGTTGCATCAAGGGTGTCGTCTGAGCCTCGTCAGCCTACAGCCAGCCTGGAAGTCAAGTCAGGTGTATGCAACTAATATCTGGACCCCGGTACCGACTTAGACCTCGCCTGCTTCGACATGCATCCAGGACTCTGATAACAAATACTATCATCCAACAAGGACCTATATCATACTCACATTATGGCAAGCGAAAACACCCACCGCGGTCAACCTGCGCAGACCGGTGCTCCCCAGGCTGCATCGATAGACACCATCGAGCAGCTGCTCAAGGCAAAGGATGACACCTCACGGTTTGTCGGCTTGGCTCTGGTCAAATCCACTCTTGACACTTCTGAGAGTCTGCGCAATGACGAAAAAGTTATTACATCCCTATGGAACTCCATTCCGTCCAAGTTCCTCGATCGTTTACTGAAGACGGGATCGAAGCCTGGCGCGAGACAAAATGATGCCAAGGAGATGCTTGACCTCGCCGTCGCCGTCATATATAATTTCAGCATCTTGTTGCCTAGTGAAACCAAGTCGGACCAAAAGCTGGTCGGACGGGTTCCCTTGCTAGTCGATGCCATTCTACAAAGGTACAGTCTTCCAGTCATTTGGTAATGCATTATATAAGATCCAGGCTCTAACTAGCTTATCAGCTCAGAGGAAACGAGTGACATTATTCTCAAAGCACTCTTGACGATTGTCAGTGCCTCTCCCGAGGGACGCACTGCGTTTGCGGCAATTGAAGACTGGTCCCCTCTTATAGAAATCGCACCCAAGAGCCCCATGGTATTATCTATCCTCGCCTGGTCTTGGGTATACGGGCAATACGAGGACAAAAAGACCATGAGTCTGAGGGTTAACAAGGCCATCGAGTCTCTGGTGGCTTCTTACAAAGGAACCGATGCTGTTACCTTGCTCGACTTTCTTGCCAAACTCCTAGGCCGACTTAACCCTGAGGTAAGCTTCATGGACCTGGTTTTCTCTTCCCCTAGTTTCTTGCGCCAAGGATGTATCAGGCGTCACGGAAATTTCTGACACTGCGCCAGGTCATCCCCCCGAATCCCCGGTGGTTGGGGGATGTGATCAAGTTTGTTCGCGGTCTGACGGCTTCCAAACCGACCGCCGTCAGTCGCGAGGCATACACCAACTGCGTAGCCAATCTTCTTGTGGCATATCAAGAACCAGCTTCTAAACTGATATTCACGGATAGCCTGAAAGCTTCCAGTCAGTCTCATCTCCTGATCAACCTCATACTAATCGATATCCGCGCAAGTCTGCCTACGTTACTCGAAAAACTCAACACCCCTGAGTATCCTGCCCTTTCAGAACGTTTGACCTCGGCCCTTATAATCCTGTCTTTCTTCGTAAACTATCTCTTGGAGACATTTGCGGAGGTCACTGAAGAAACCTCTGCACCATCACCATTTCCCCAGGATGAAGCCATGACGCTCCTAAAAGTCCGAGACTCGGTCGTTGAGACGCTATCACTCCTAATGGAATACCTTAGAGATCGATGGGATGCTGCAATTGCCGGCGCACAGGGGTTGCATCCTGACGCGCGTTATGGGGAGTCGCATACAGTGTCTGGGTCCCTAAAGACTCTGGCTTGGGACTCGAAACATGAGTCCGCGTCTGAGGACCGGCTCCTACTTGCTGCATTGCGTGTCCTAGGTGATTGGTTGAGAGAGGATGATTCGCCGGGTTTGAGGAGGGAGGCGACCGGTATGATGGATCTACTCATGGACCTCTACCAACCTAGCTCGGCAGCAAGAGTTGGCATCACTACTCGCCCACTCGTCCTTGGCATCTTGGACGGGATCCTCAAAATCGACGAAGGCATCGAAGCACTTCTGGAACACGACGGCTGGGATGTACTAAAACGAGATCTCTTGAAAATCCTCAGCGACTCTCGACAAGACGATGCGCTCGAGCACAGTCTTGGTCAGCATATAGCTGTAATTCTATCCGAGTTGGCCGACACGCGTACTACAACACCGGAGGACTGGCTTGATATAGTAACAGCTGTCGCAGCATATGACGTCCCCAGCGCTAGCCAACCGTCGCTGCCATTGCAGCACCTGTGGGCTGATGTGCTACAACTGTCTGCAACCCTCCTCAGCCGTGCGCCGCCCGGAGTCAAGAGAAGATATGTGCATTCAGCAAGCGCATTGACGGGTATTGCCGCAGCAATGTTGAAAAAGAAGCTAGAGGATGGGGTCAGGCACGATGTTGCTGATGCGGCTGCTATACTGGACAGTGACCCTGTGCTGGGAGGCAGATGAACGATGAGCACTACTCATAGTATAACACTAAACTACGAACCTCTGACCAATACGAGCCTGGTTTCAAAAGTCAACGTTACATTCTCCCTCCAAAATGTTTTTCCGTAAAAATTGTCTAAAACGGAATTCGTGCAGAGCCAAGGTGTACTAACATTGTTATCTTGCAACCCGACGTTGAAGCAAGGTGTGGACGTTGATAAGCTGAGTCGTCCATCGCCAGGGGTCCCATTTGCAGTGGGTCAAAGTATCCCCCACTTCCCTTCTCTATGCTCGCTCATGGCGCGGAGGGTTAACGCCAAGCATATTCCAGGGTACAGGATGTCAACTCTAGACTCGAAGCGGTTACGCTAACCCCCCGATAAGAACTCCCATAGTCCCCCTCATGTGTAAAGTATGCATGGGTTGATCGGCACATTAACATGGGTGATACGTGTGCCAATGCTTCCCATAAGCAGAGCTATCTGCTTGCGTACGCACGTTATCATGTTATCGGTCGGGGCTTCCGCCGGTCGAGATAGGTGAGGGCAGGTCCCTTGCCGGGCGGGATATTTGATGACTTTAATCGCGAATCTCGACAAGATGGCGGCGTAACCGTGCCAGGAGCAGTTCATCTTGATCTTGCACGTCACAATGGCAACCGTGTCTGAAGTCACGACGCTCCCGGCGGAGCTGAAGTCAACCATCGACCTCGGCCACGAGAATGAGAAGAAGGAGGCCTTTCTCGAGGCCAACGACAGCGATAGCGTCGCAGCGGGACAAATCGATGCTTCCGGCGTTGATGGCAAGTGCATATCGAATCGCTCGAACATGTGGTAGTGTATTAACAACTTGATAGTCCCGGTATACACAGAAGAGGAGTATAAGAAGCTGAAGCGAAAAGTCGACAAGTACCTGCTCCCTCTCATGTGGCTTTGCTATGGCATCCAACAGACCGACAAGACGTCCATTGGGACGCAGGCGACATTCGGGCTCCGCGAGGACACCGGCCTCGTCGGACAGGAGTACGCTTGGCTGACCACCGTCTTCTACATCACCTACATGTGCTTCGAGTTCCCTTCCAACATCATACTGCAGCGCTACATGATGGGTCGTACGTTGTCGATTTACATGATCTGTTGGGGAGTCGTCGTGCTGTGCATCGGCTTCGCCAAGAACTTCACCCAGCTCATCACCCTCCGTGCTCTCCAAGGCATGTTTGAGTGCTGCATTAGCCCCGGGTTTATTCTCGTCGTTGGTAGCTGGTATACCACGCGCGAGCATGCCTCCCGGGCTCTGGTCTTCCAGAGCGCCAACGCCGGCTTCGGCGTCATTTCTAGTTTGGTGCTCTATGGTATCGGCACCATCGAGTTCAGAAATCCCGAGCTTCAGGCATGGCGATACATGTCCTACTTTCTTGGAATTCTCACCATCTTGGTCGGCTGCCTCTGCCTCTTCCTGCTGGGAACGCCATCCGAGGTCCGCTGGCTGTCACCAGAGGAGAAGAAGATGGCCAATGCTCGAATCCTCAGCAACAACACCGGACACGACCGCACCGGTGTGAAGAAGTGGAGATGGAAGCAGGCCGGCGAATGCTTGCAAGACCCGTGCTTCTGGTTCGCGGGCCTCAATGCGTTCCTCAGCTCAGTTCCCAACGGAGGTCTTACCACGTTTGGATCCATCATCAATACGACTTTCGGCTTCACGAGTCTCCAGGTCATTCTCCTGGATATCCCTCGCAGCGTCTTTTCCGTTCTTTACTTCGTGTTGATCGGGTTGGTGACGAGTCGGAAGAAGAACCTTCGCATGTCAGTTGAGTTCCACTTCCGATTCCAGTTCTGTTGGGATGCTTCGCCAATCAAGAATGATAGTATACTGACAAGTGACATAGGTGGTTCATGATGTTCTCTACAGTTCCTCCATTCTGCGGTTTTCTAATGATGGCTCTCCTTCCAAACGAGGCTCAGTATAAGTGGGTAAAATGGGGAGGGTACTTCATGACAGTTCCCTTCGTCATCTCTCTTTTCTTGGCATGGACCCTGATTCCTTCGAACACCGCGGGGCGCACCAAAAGAACGCTTACTTCTTCGTTCACTTTCGTGGGCTACTGCGTGGGCAACATGACCGGTAGCCAGATCTTCCGGTCCGTGGACGCGGTAAGCACACATACCCCAAAATATGTAAAAGATTTAAGAGCCTAACCATTATCCACACAGCCCAGATACATATCCGGGACTACGGCCTGTGCTGTATGCTTCGGTCTGCAATTTTTGCTCATTCTGTGCTGGCGGGTTCTATACGTTGTCCGAAACCGGCGCCGCGACCGGAAATTGCAAGAAGAGGGCGTCTCGGAGGAAGAGAGAATCCTCCGGGGCAAAACCATGGGAGAGCAAGATTGCACAGACTTCGAAAATCCATACGTGAGCTACTCTTCTGCCGACACAACTTCGTGAGTGATTCATTACTGATGCGAAAACAGTTTCGATATACGCTGTAGACGCTATGATAGGACCTTTTGCTATGTCTGACAATCGCGCTCTTGGCTTTGGACCTTGCCACACGAATTATACCCCTATATCCTTACTTATTAGGAGATACCCAACGCTGTATAAGCCGTTCCAGAACGTGATGAAAAATTGTTAGTAACAAGCTAGTCCTACTTCCTGTAGTCCAAGGCCTTAATTATTTTGATGAACACTGAAAATATGAGCCTTGCTCGCCACGGGATGAATGACTAGGCCCGCTAGTCAACAGTGATAACGCTTTCGCCCAAGTTTATTACTACAGTCTATCAAGTTCAACCATAATTGCGTGTTGGTTCTAATGGGTAGATACAATACGACAAAGCCACGATCTATTTCAGAGTGCTCCCCTCAAGTCTTCAACTCCAAAGTCATCATCTCGATCGCTTTATCACGATGCTTTTCGTTATCAAAATCAAGAATGAAGTCCCATCTTGGAAGCAATTTCTTTCGAAGTTTGTCCAGGTCCAGTTCTGTCTCCTCACCCTTTCCAGTCAAAATAGCTCCCGTGACACTGCTGGATTCTACGATTCGTTGTGTCCGAGGACGTCGGACACGGTCATAGATCTCCAAGGCTTTAAGCGCCTCCGTACGGGTTCCCGCATGTCCAAGCAAAGCATAGAGCACAAGAGTGTCTTCAATTGACATGCCACCCCGGGAACCATGCCAAGGTGTTGTTGCGTGCGCGGCGTCACCTACAATGCAAATGGGCCCATATGCGTACGTTCGAGCGGGCGGATGCTCCCAGAAATATATAGCTGGCTGTTCGGGTTGGCCGCAGAGTAACTAGTGTTCTCTCAATTAGTCATATATACCTTTGTGTAATCGTGTGTTAAAGGGGACATATCAGTGTACCTTTACTACCGCATCCTTAAGGTACGGCGGCCAGTCCTGGTATAGTTTGAGAATATCCTCAACAGATACGACACGCTGCCAACTGTCAGATGCCTCGGCATCAGCGTCACGAGCCTATATGACAAACTGTACTAGCTGGCCGTGTTTAACACATTGTGCAAAATGTACGTGCCGCCACCGATCCACGAATGCTTGCGAGCGTTGTTAGCGTCAACATACTCACTGCCCAGACAGGCTCGCGCCTCCTCGTAAGGCTTCAAAGCCATAACTGCCCACCAGCCAGCATTCCTTAGATGCGCAGCCGGATCTTCCTCACCAAGCAGGATCTTACGAACCGTGCTATAGATGCCGTCTGCGCCGACGACGATATCACATTCGTAGGTCGAACCGTCGGTAAAAACACAGCGTTGTGGGACCGCCGTCCGTACAATCCACTCGCTCCAGCTTCTTGGAAATATGCATGCCCTCCGTTGGAACCCCGTTGAGCAGTTCTCGCAAAAAGGCGGCACGGTGGACTATACTCGTGAGACGCAGGCCTTACACATCGTCTTTCGCCTCGTCGATCATCTTGTTCCGGCCTTCTCCTTAAGCAGACATGAAACGGACCCCGCGTTAGGGAACGGCTCCAGCACGCTCCAGACACTAGGTTACCGATGGTCCGATAAGGTCCAGGGCTGCGAGAGCATTACAAGTCACTCCGATGGCAGCGCCAGCCTCTCTAAATTGGGCTGATGCCTCAAAGATGTGGACGTCCAGATAAGGGTGTCTGAGCAGTGCATGCATGAGAGAGGCACCCGCAAGGCCTTCCCCGGAAATCGCAATTCTGATAATGTCCGACATCGTGTTGAACGGTGATTTCTTCTTCTTCCTTTTTCAGCTTGTATAGACTATTGTGTTGGAAGGCAAAACTCGCATTGCGCAGCAACTGGCTTATATAAGCGTAAACGTCACAGATCCCTCGCTTGTAAATACCTTGCATGCTCCTCATTTCCAATCCATCCATATAAGGCATGCAGTAGATCTTGGCATGTACTTCTCCGACCTGTGACAAGCGAATGGTCCCTATGTACCGAGAGCCCGATTATGAGAGTTTGCCTATCGGCTCGGGATTTTTGAACCGGTCAGTATCGACCCAAATATGGAATTGGCCAAGTGATGCTACATCATCAGAAATTTCTGCCTATTTGCACACAAGGTACGGGATCAGTTAGAAAACTGCAGCATGATATAAAATCTCCGTTCATACGCGTGTAGGTCAAAGTGTTACTGCTGAGCCGACGATCTCGAGAAATTTGATGCAAGATAGTGATGTATCAGCAACCACCGTAGCCCGAAAAGCTTCTCAAAGCATGTTCGTTGTGCTTGTCTTGTAACCATCAACTTGGACCCTTACCTAATAATACTTCCAGAGTTTGTGAAACACTTAGTTATTGCTCTACCCATCATAAACGTAAAACATATTCAACATTCTCTAAAGAAATACTCAATATTAATGGTGGGAAGTAAGCGGTCTTGGTGTTATTAGGTAAGTAAGCGCATCGCGCCACCAGCTCAACCTATACCCAATTAACAGCCTAAATTGTTGCCAGGCCTATCGTGGTATTGTAGTGTGCAGCTACCACTACACCCTTGAAGATATTACATCATTACGCCCCTATTTCTCAATCTCGGTTATTCTTGACTGTTCTCTCCTTGAAGATCAACTTGAATGGCGGAAGTGTCATAGTGAAAGCATCCATGATAGTCTCCTCGTAAGCTTGCCAATCTTCGTTGGGAGGAAACTCAATATCGAAATTCAATGCCGTTCGTGCGATCACGCTCCTCACTTCTCTCAAGGCCAGTGGTTTGCCAACGCACACATGTTTACCTGCCGTAAGAGGTTAGTTAGTCAGTCACCGTAGGTACAAAATCCAAGGGGTACCACTTACCAATGCTAAATGGAAAATGGGCAGACTTGTTGCATCGGATTTGTGATCCTTCAATCCACCTTTCCGGTAGAAACTCAGTAGGTCTTTCGAATGACTTCTCGTCGCGGTGTATCACCCAGGTTGGGGAGAGAACATCCACCCCACCAGGTATACAAATTTCGGGCCCGTATTCAGACGCGGGGATAATCATTCCTTCTGGACCAACGGTACGAGGATTGCCGCTGATTCCTGGCGGACGGACCCGCAATGTCTCGTTTAAAATGGCGTCAGTCCACGCAAGTGCCTCGCTATTTCCGATGAGTTTGGCGTAACTGAAAGTATCGTCGCCTCCAGGAAAGATGTCGTCCAAAAGCTTTTGAAGGTGTTTCAGAGTCTTTTGATCCGCGGCCATGAACCAAACAACGTTAGCCAGGGCGCTTTGTGTGGTGTCGGCTCCGGCTGCAATCATGACTCTGCTCTCTCCAGCAAGGGCTTCCTCTGTCGGAGGCGCACTGGGCCCGCCTTCGTCCATGGCCTCAAGAAGATGTGCCATGACGTCCTTGCGTTTGTTGTTATCCTGCTCACCTGACAGTTTCTGAGACTTGTGCTGCTTCTGTCTTTCACGCACCACGCCTGCACAAAGGTTGAGGAAAGGCACGAAATCGCTGCCGCCACCTGGGAGACTCTCTAGCATCTGCATCAACCAGGCTGTCCACCGAAGCGTCCCAAAAGCATAGTGGGCTTTTCGCATCGCAACGAGACCCGGATGTGCCACGCCACTTGATGTGTTACCGAAAGAGTGTCCGTATCCGACAAGTCCCATGACATCGAATGATAACTTTCCGAGCATGTCAGGAACATCGATTGTGCCTTGTTGCTTCGTTTTCTCGATATATATGCCGATGAGTTCTTGTATGCCCGCATCAAACCTTTCCATGACTGGCGTGCTGAATGCCAGCTCCCAAGGTCGCCTTCGCTGTTTATGGTCTTCAGGCACCCGAGAAAGTGAGAAGCTGATCTTCTTGCTGTCGCTACCTGCGTGCGCCCACCAAACGCCTTTACCAAGCGCCATCAGCTCCGGCAATGCGTCTGGCCGTTTGATTGAGAGAAGGCGGGGGCCTTTTTAGTTGTTAGCCTCTGGAACCGTATATGAGACTACTGACTACTTCAAAAACATACCAATTCGAACTATATCTCCATATTCATTGTGTATCCTTTCCAGATTCCGATGGGTCTTGAAGTCGCCCGAGCTCTTCCTCAATAACCAGAGGGAACTGAAACGAGCTCCATATGGGCCCGGAAAGTTCCGCAGACGGTGAAAAAAGCCACGGTAAATCAGAATCGAACTCGTCAGGCTGAGAGCGAAGACTAGAAGACATATGGACAATTCTTTCAGAGCCGTTCCCAGAGTAAATCCCCAGATGACTGTGAACCATGCGCATAGAGCACAGTAGATTGCAACCCCAACGCCGAGCAGGTGCCATACTATGAAGTCGATCTCTACTCGCCGCGCGTACAAGTGGTGAAAACTGATGCCGGACACAGCCGACAGTCCATATAGAGACGGCAAAGATGGCGCTACAGAAAGCGCCATGATGGCTCTATGAGATAGTAGAAGAACGAAGGACCAAGTGATGGATTCGCACATGAATAGGTAGCGCTCCTTTTAATCATTCGAGACCTCCACCGGGATGTGAGCCGAATACAGGCTAGACCAGCCGATAGTGCGAGAGGGGAATGCTTGGTAATGCATCAAAATCGGCATTCTTTGCTCTATCATGATATCCTTGCATAATATGACATTGCCTATTTGTGCGGCTCGCACCGGATGCGTTGTTCACCGCAAGACGGGCCGACACATTCGATTGGCCAGTGGATCCGTCGGGGCCCTCGTCACCGGGGCACCGGATCTCGCTGAAGGCAGACAGTCCCACAAATAAGAGGACCCCACAGCATAGGAGAGGGGGTCTAGATTGGCTCCTTATCACCAGAATCAAATGGTATGAGGTTTGCCAAGAATCCAGAACTTGTCTTGTGTAGAGATGGAGGACGGCCAGCTGTCATTCAGGGTTCAAAATCATCTCTTACGTGATAGAATTGGATACCTGAGCATGAAAGGTGGCAAGAACGCGGCCTGGGGGGCGCTTATATTGGAACACATAGGATAGTGAATGATGCATGGTATGATCATAGCTAAGGTGGGTTTCGTTGAGAGATCAGATACGTAGTATCTAGACCCAGAACCTCACAAGAGTATTGTCATGCGCGGGAGAGATTATAATGCGCCGACTCTATACTCTACTATACTATACACCCACCAAGTCTCTTCGTTCAATTGACTGATACCAGAGGCTCCCAGCCCTACGTGAATAGCGCACAGCTCGAGTATTCCCGACTCTGCAGACAGATGGTCAAGCGTTGACCAGAACCGCGAATTGCATCATATTAAAATTACTTGAAGGCACTCGACGAACAAAGCAATGGACGGTTATCTACTTATTGAATCTTGATGTCGCCCAATCGGGCCATAGATATTTTCCGCGTTACATCTTGAAACACATACGCAAGTTAGGTACTTTTGAATTCCTCGTGCCATGGATGGCTAGCCTCCGCCAAATTAGAGCTTGTTCCACTAGCTTCTAAACTGACCTGAGTACCGGTACCGCTAATCAGGCGCGCCAACATCAATTATGGGGCTACGCTGGTGACGTAATGGTACTAATTTCCAAACCAAGGGGTAAATGTCGTTTATTTAGAAATACCAACGGCCGGCGACTATCTTGTTCCAATCTTCTATCTCAGCCCCATCCGCGCAACCATCATTATGTCGGCTCGGTATCCGGACGTGGTGCCCTGCATCCGGTCCTGGCTTTCAGAGAACCACGAAAGAATCATGAGCTTTTGGATCGGAGCTCAGTGGGAGAAATGGGCCCGTTATGAGCTCTTCATGGCTCTCGAGAAGTCGTTCAGCAACGATTGCGTCGTTATGCACGGGGTCGACATATGGGAGAAAGATGAAGGGGAGGTGGACATCTTGGTGGAGCCGCATGATGAGAGCATGAGTGCTATCGCTATCAAGCTGAGGTGTGAGAAAGTTAGCGAGAATGAGGGCAGCTATGAGAGGTTTCGGGATCAGATGGACTCTGATATGGATAAGGTTAAAGGCCTGGGTGACGTGGAGAACTCTTTTGAGGGTGCAAAGCTACTACTCATCGGCTTTAGCGGAGAGCCATCAGCGGAGGAGAGTGAGTTTAGAACAGAACCACAACCAGAACATTTTGTGGCAGGGGAGGTTCATTGTTGGGCCATGGTTCACAACCTTTCGACTGGCATATGATTTCAACTTGCTCTGCGAACTGAGTCGTTCAGTGTATCTCCACAGCCAATTAGTATTATCCGACACCATCATACGAGGGGTCCAAGCCATAAGTCATAGCTCTTCTGTTGTCGTAGTTTCCGTACGAGGCCCCAGTCAATCTGACACAGAAGATAGCAGCAGACATCTGATCTCGTATCTTAGCTCAATGGCATACCGGAGCAGGATGTTGAACATGAGATACGTACTTAGACATGTTTCGTATGATCTTACTGAAGGGCCAGAGCAGGCGAAGCTTTGGGTCAGGCTTCCAAGGCTATGGCACCTAACGCATGAATCCTACTATAGCATAATTAAAAAAATAAAAATAAAAATAAAAATAAAAAGAAGGGGGGGGAGACTACATATTGTTTCCAATGTTTGCCAAAAACGCACCTTCGGTGCCTGGTAGACCAAAGGAGGATGAAGGACGTGTGCATCGCAAAGCGACATACTGCATTCTTGTTACCAGACTGCACTTCATGCATAGCAATGCTCAAACAACTTCATCCGAAATCCGAGACAGCTTCTGATTGTACTTCTACCTGCTCCCCCTCCCCCCCCATTTTCCGGATCTGTGAGGCTACTGGAAGGACTCGACAGTGCTAGGTACACACTCTGCAGTTATTTGATAGAGTGATTAGATGTTTTTTTAGGCACTTTGTGGATTATGCCTCTAATACTGTTCCAGCAAAGTAAATTGAAATTCCTGTTTATAGTTCAGTTATCAGCGTACAATTTTTAGTATGAAGCGGACTGCACCGGATTCTGAAATCCCAAAGATAGTACCTCGTCTTGATGAGGGAGGTCGAGGTTGAAATATGCACCCGATGCTCTTTAGATTGCCCATTGCTGAGCAATGTATTTGGTGTTTGATAATGGCCGATCAGGAACCGTCCCGTACACACTACGTACCATCATGCTTGTCCGGGACTCGGCCACCGAATACAACCTGTAAGACTTCAAATCCTTATTTTCACACTGTTTTTTTTTTGTTTTTTTTTTTGGGAGGGGGGGGGGGGGGGGGGGGGCATTCTGGCACCAGGGCAGGTATAGTATACAGAAGAGTATGAATGGAGACAGAGACGGAGACGAAGCAAGAGGCTTGAACCGTCTTGGGGCTGTGTTGTCGATGAAGGAGATTAAGAGAATTACTCCATCTCAACTTTGTCACTCAGATTTCCGTGTATGATCTATCTTAATATGCGATGCAGAAAGTTTATTGATTTCTTGCGTAACAAAATTTATGCCTCCACGGGTATTCTCAAGAGTATCAGAATTCGCCTCGCGGTTACCATGTTATTGGACATACAGAATACTGCATTGTACTTGGTCCCTTTCGACCTGGTCAGTGTGGGCAGGTTCGATTAAATGCATAGAGTATTGACCTGCATCGGTTCAATGTTCTTACGAGTCGAGTGCCGTGCCTGTTGCCGGTTGTAGACCACGTGTGATCGCTCCATACTACAGAACAGGGTCTTCGGCCCTTCTTGACCCAAGATGATCATTAAGAGCGATTATCATGTAGCACTGCCGACGTCTTTTAAGATTTCCCTCTTCCTTCCCGTTGCCGCGAGTGTAGATGAAGCCCAGATCTTCCCGTCTCCCTGGTAAAATCTGAATGATGGGGGTAACATGGGTTGTGGGGACATCTAGGGGCATCGACTCAATCCGTAGCTGGTCCCGGCTCCGCGCTCAGGGGAAACCCCATGTCGACCACTACCGCCTAGTCCGATTTGGAAGCAGATCCGCATCGATTCGGGATTGTAACGTAGAGCAACTCGGTTGCATCCGAGTACGAGAAGAACGCGCCGACGCGCATAAAATCCACGCGAATGTAAAGCCAGCAATGCTGGCCGGTTGGACTCGTGCCTGAGATTGAATGGGTCGTCGTCGGTATAATATTGCCGAGCAGCTCCAGTTCCTCGTATAACCCCAACCCGAACACCGGAGATTGTAAAGTCGATAGGTTCATGCACCCATTTGTATATAGTAATTGCCGATCAATGGACTGTAATAAATACAAGCCCGCCCGTGTGAAGACGTTGCTGGGCTTGCGGATTGCTAGAGCTTTCCTCTCTCGCTGCAGTGTCCTACGCCCTGACTCATCGGGTACTCATTGGGGTTCCGTACGCCCAATCAATAACCATGATGTTCAAATCGTCCATCTACCTCACGGCCGCCTTTGCCGGCTCAGCATTGGCAACTGGCAATTCGTCCGCATACGACTACATCGTCGTGGGCGGCGGTACGGCTGGGCTCGTGATTGCGGGCCGACTAGCTAACAACACGGACTATACCGTCCTCGTTATTGAAGCCGGGCCATCAGTGTACGATGATCCGCGTGTGACTGCCCCCGACGGCTTCCCGGCCGGTACTAACTTGGACTGGTTGTACCATACCACGGCTCAGGAGTACACGGGCACATCCGGCCAGGTTCAGTACATCAGCAGCGGAAAGGCCCTCGGAGGTACCAGTGCCATCAACGGCATGGCTTACACTCGGTCCAGTGCGGCGCAGATTGACGCCTGGGAAGCGCTGGGAAATGAGGGCTGGAATTGGGAAACGCTTTACGCCTCTACTAAGATCGGCGAGACATTCCACGCCCCAGATCCAACCCAGGCCAGCGTGGGCAAGGTTGTATATGAGGCCGACTATCACGGCTTCGACGGCCCTTTGACGACGGGGTGGCGAAGTTCGAGTAACAAGGAAGGTTTGCTGTTTCCCATCTTCGCCAAGTCGTTTTCCGAGCTTGGTGTAGAGACAGTACCCGATGTGAATGGTGGCGCGCCTATGGGATTCAGCAATCCACCTTTCACGGTCAATGTAGACGCCAATATGCGCCAGGACGCTGCCAGGGCCTATTACTGGCCTGTCTTGCAGAACAAACAAAACCTGAAGGCTCTCGTCAACACCACCGTGGAGCGCATCACGTGGGCCTCTGGGTCAACGAGCACGACAGATGTCACGGCCAGTGGCGTTGTTGTCACGCTCGCCGATGGAACGACACAAAGCATCAACGCAAACCGTGAGGTCATCGTATCTGCAGGAGCTGTCAAGTCCCCCGCCCTACTCGAGGTTTCCGGCGTTGGTAATCCGGACCTGCTGAGCTCTCTGGGAATTACACCCGTTGTAAACCTCCCAGGCGTGGGCGAGAACCTGCAAGAGCAGACTAGCACCAGTTTGTCGTTCAACATCACGACCAACATCACCGATAGCGCGTACTTCTTTACTTGGACTTCAGCTTCACAACTCGGACTGGGAAACCTTTCGGCCGAGGTAAAGGCAAACCTATCATCGTATGCTTCAATCCAGGCCAAAGCGTATAACTACTCTGTCAGCGCCGAAGCCCTCGAGAAAATTTTTGCTGTTCAGCACGATCTAATCTTCAACGACAAGATCCCTGCTGGTGTCATGGGCTCGGGTACATCTGGCAGCGATGGTTCGGCCTTAGCCACACGTGCCTGGTCCCTATCGCCATTTTCTAGGGGCAGTATACACATCACCTCAAGCAGCTTAAATGACGTGGCCATTAACCCGAGGTACTTCATGTTGGATGTCGATGTCCAGATGTTTGCCGCAGCAGTACGCAAGGTGCGTGAAGTGTACGGCACTGAGGCGTTGGCGGGTATTGTTGGCGCCGAGACATCGCCTGGTCTAAACGTTGTTCCTAGCAACGATGACTGGGTTGAGTACTTGAGTTCGACCTGTAAGTTTTCGAATTTCCCCATTTCTTCTGTTTGTTTCGCTAACGCGGCAAAAACTGCAGTCAACTCCAACTGTCACTTGGTAGGCACCTGCGCCATGCTTCCTAAGGATATGGGCGGCGTAGTCGACTCGAGCGCTAAAGTGTACGGCACCACAAACTTACGCGTTATCGATGCTTCTATTATTCCATTTGAGCCTTCGGGGCCACCGACGGCCACAATATATGGAGTCGCGGAGAAGCTGGCGGCCATCATGCTAGCTGAGCTCTAAGGCCTGCCAATGGTTGAGATTTGGGTTGATACAAGTGAATTGACAATATAGCATGAAACCAAGACTTGCACATTATCGCACATTTAGTGATTACGATGCCAATTCAAGTCCTCTGGTGTGGTTCACTGCGCTGAGAATCCAGGTCTACCGGGGTCGCTTGCCCGGACTCAGCCTCCTCCCGCATCATCTCGCAGCATTTTCCATCTTCCCTTACAACTGTTGTGACTGCCATAATTGTGTGTGACGGGGGCCATCTGGGACAGGATCAAGCGCATAAAGAGTCAAAAATTTAAGTGTCAGGGTGTAGAATCAAGATGTTTTTACCAGCTTCGGTGAATTTATATCACCATCTAGTGGACTCTAACTGCAAGCCCGTCGTCCCAACTCCAATACCATCACTCCTAGACGCCAAACGCCACAAATGCACGGAAAAGGGGTATCGCAATAGTTGCACCTTGGAGCCTGTCTCAAGGGCCTCCTGAAGAAGGAAAACCGGCCATTCAATGACCAAGACCAAGAAAATAAATCAACCGCAGTTCTGCTTCTGCAGAGCGGAGACGTTAGGGGTTGCGGCCACGGGGCATTTCAAATCCTGAACCGTCTTGACCAGGCTGTTTGCCCGGATGCATGATGAGCCCTTGCTGTTATCTGTCGGGAACGCGAGGCCTGCTTTGACATTCTTGTTCAGTTGGGCGAGAAAGGCATCCCTGGCTGGTGGGCAGTTGCACGGGATCTTGACCCCATTCGCTCCGAGGCAGTTCCCTTTGCCGTCTGGCTGGTTTCCCTGAGTGACTCCAAATTCGGGAACAAATGTGGCAAGATTTGAAGACGAGTTTGCAGCTATATCTGGTGTTAGCCAAGATCCCATGTGCAAGTTGCATAAAGTCGGAAGTCTTACCACGGATGGGGATGGCGCCGGCCGCAGCAACACCCACCAAGGTGGCTAATGAGATGACTGAGACTTTCATAGTGCGATCTTAATGGGTTGAAGACGTGAAAATGTTTGTCTGAACAGTGCTCAAGACTTAGCTGTCTTCTCCAGGGTTAGTTGCCTTCTCGGTGGTAACATGTATATCGGCCGCCATTTTCTTCGGATCCGCGCCCCTACTTATATCTTGCAACTCAGTGCACCACACTCCGAAACGTGCTGACGCCCCATCGCGAGACAGATAAGTCGTAAACCAAGTACAATACATCCGTAGAAACGGTTATGTGACAGTGAGGATTCAATAGGATCTGGTCACGTGGTGGCCGATCTGCGCTGCAGCGCACGGACATGTAACCACGATCCTGAGCAATACGGGGTAGCCCACCCATGTTTCGAAACGGTATCTGCCGGAAACAGCGATTTCGTCCTCTCCAAGTTGTCCCATGTGTGGCTGGAGCAGTCGCCCGGCACCGAGCCCACGGCCCGCGGAGCGCGGTTATGTTGAAAGAATGGAACCTGGTGCCGCTTTCGAGGAGAAACCTCCTGGTATCAGATGTCTTGCCCCATAGTTGGTAAGGGGGGAAGTCGCTCGCGAATCTTGTTGGTCAGTGAGTCCCATCGCGTTTCAACGTGGGTCAGATCTCGCGACCATCCCACCAATCTGTACCCCAGCCCGTCATCGGTGGGGAGGGTTTTCTTGAAGGGTTTTGTTTGACTTGAGACGGATAAGATCGGTGCAAGGATGCTCTGGGACGTCTTCAGACGCTGTCGGCTAATGTTGACACATCCACCACTGGATATGGGGCTTGGGAATGAGCATGGGTACTACAGGAACTTTGGACATGCCTCTCACAGCACTTCGCGTTGGCGACGTCCCAACGGCTGCTGAGAAAGGTGTAATATCGCTCGCGCTTTGCGACGCGGTCATCCTTCTGTGAGACGGTAGAAGCATGGCGACTCACAACTCATGCTGACCAGAGAGATGGCAGTTCCTCCTGGAAACGCTTATGAGTGGCCCCTGATCTACATGATGCTTATTCCTTCTCGAAAGTTCAACACGCAAAAGGCAGGCCTCTACATTCCTGAGCTGGGGGAACAATCTACTAATAATAGTAGACTTGTTCGTAATTCATTGACAATAGAACGGCAGTAACGCATTACACCCATCTGGCACGCGACTTGAAGGCAGAAGAGACCCAAGAGTTTCATCGCACGATCCTCAATAGCAAGTCTTGAGGTGGTTTGGTCTCTTCACAAGCACATTGGCGTAGCTAACAGAGATTTGCTCTGTTTGCCATTAGCCGCCGCTTCTCGTTCTCATGCCGCGTGTAGGCGAAATCCTTTAATGAATGCTCAATGTCTGATTTGAAGGCGCCGCTGAATGACCGAACGAGACTATCAACGTGGTTCAGCCACACTTGGTGGGCCGCATCATTGCCGTATGGAGCTACAACCGAGGACCATGCGATACTGCAAGGTAATTGGGAGTAGATGTGCCCTTACAGGACCTTGGCCGCTGATCTGATCGTGTAGGACTGCGGCCACGTCCTAAGCCCCAACTTGAGTCGCGCAGACCAGACGTACGCCGCTACGCAGGCATTGGTAGACCTTACGGTCTGTTCTGTTGTTTTGCAGCCTCGGTTCTGCCTTTCGAGCCTTGTACCTTTTAGTATGGACATAGAAGACCGCGGACATAGCGCACTGGCCTTAGCATGGCCATACCGAACGCGGAACGTAGTGCTAGTATTAACACCTGCTCAAGTATTCCCGTCTCTAGAACCCCCATCCGTCCACATATATACTTCGCTTCCTCAATTTGGAGAGTCGTCCGGCAGTATAGCGGTCCAGATACATCTACATATAGACCAGATTTTCGCCTCAAGTAAACGCACCTGGCAAAACCGTCTGTTTTCAACCGATGTTGGGTAAAGAGACACTATTAAACCTCGACCAGCACACTAAGCAATGTCATCGAGATCCGCGCGCAGCCGCCGGTGTAGGCAGGTGTAGGGCATATTCTACCGTGTCAGCACCGCGGAAGCCTCGCCATTTCTTCACGCTTGTATCGACTCAGTACAGTGTAATCGACGATGGAATTTGCTTCTATTGCAGCCTTTGGCCTGAGTACTTAGCCGGGCTTTGCGGGGACATATGCGTGCGTATGGTAGCGTCCGAGTTGGGGCAGTCGATCAATTGAAACAGACGTTGGGTGTCGAGTCTAGTCAGCTCAACTCGTCAGGGGGCTTGGGGTCCTTGGTGGTGCGTGGCGAGCTGTTTACTAGCGGAGCGTGATGCGGACCAATGACAGCACCTCACGGAGCCGCACCGAGAAGCCAATCAGAGCTTGGAATATGGTCGGGGAAGGCCCCGGCCCATTGCGGATGATGTATGGTCCATTCCATCACGATCTTGCACGACGACCCCGTTCGTGGCTTTGCGCCGAGAAGACCTCTTCTGACCAGGCCAAGCACTATATTGCCTTGCCAGCCAGAGTAAAGCAAAGGAAAGAAAAACAATCTCTATTCTGCTCACCTGGTCAACATGGAAATCCCGTATACGGTCTCCCGAACCCGCAGTCTCGAACCCCCCCTCCGTTCTACAAGAGACTCGCCATCAGTTTTGGAAGAGAATCTTCGTGGGGATATTCGGAAGCTGCAAGGTGTCCGACCGTAGCCACCAAAACGAAACCCTCCTCCACTTCATCGTTAGCGTCTTCTTGTCTCCAAGAATTTCGGCGTCGTCTGGCGATCAAGGCCATACGATCAGCTGCGCTCGCCTCCATGGATAAGAAGTACAGGCCGCTGCGACCAGCCTCTCTACCGACGCGCACGGAAGCCGAATCCTCAAAGGCGCCGGACCCAGCCAAGGGCAGGCATCGATCACCCAAGGGCCCTGCGTGCAACCTCTGCAGAGCCAGGAAGATAGCTGTACGATCGCCCACCAACATCACTACGCTCTATATCATGGTGCAGTGCTTCGGTTTGGTAGCCGTGTTGACGAATTCCTCTAGTGCGATGGCGTGTCACCCGCTTGCGCCAATTGTGTCAGGCGGAAGGTGAGCTGCGTGTACAGGCAAAGCCGACCTCCAGGTCTGGAAGGACAGCTTGACATCCTCGAGGCCAGACTTGATGACCATAACTCATTTCTGCGCTACATCGCATCCATGCCCGACAACCAAGCTCTGGAGCTTTTGCGAAGCCTGCGAACGAACAGTGATATCACCAATGCACTTGAATCTGCTCGCGGCAAGATGGCTGGGCATCGTCAGATATCAGAGCATCTCATTCGCCGTAGCGTTATGGCACCGACCCCGAGCGGACTGGAGCACGAACTCACCGTTCTGCATCACACTGCCTATCCCAGTTTGGAACCTCTCAAGCCTGACACACTGTCAGCCATTCTCAACCTCTCCGCGTACAATCAGAGCTCCCAAAGCTCTCACGACACGTCTCATAACACACGGCAAGGAACAAACGATCATATAGATATCTTCCCTTATCAAGCAATTGGTGGTTCCGAAAGCTCTGTTGCGTCGCTTCAAGCCGAAACGGTGGGACGCGTGTCATCAGCACCACTCACTGGTCCGATACTACCACCTACCTACTGCGATGAGAGGCTGCATAAGCTACAGGTAGCCTACTGGACGAAAGTGCCTATAAGTAATGATCTCGCAGCATCAATATTGTCGGAATTCTTCAAAACTGAGCATGCCCTCATCGGAATGTTTGATGCAGATCTCTTCTTAGAAGACCTGGTAAAGCATGTCCCAAGGTTCTGCTCGTCGTTCCTTGTCAGCGCTCTGCTCTTTACTGCCTGTGTACGTTGTGGCAGTCTCATTCCTTAGAAGCTAGTGTCTATGACTAAACTTACCCCAGCAACCGTACACGGCTATCGATCGACGTGCTTCGACCTTGCGAACTTCCTTCTTCCACGAGGCCAAGGCGTTGTGGCTTGGAGAGCGCGGAACAGACTCGGTGACAACTGCTGCAGCTCTTCAAGTCTTCAGTATAGGCTGTCATTTCATAGGAGAGGATATTTTGGCGAAAGAAACTCTGCAAGCGGGTCGACACATGGCAGAGAGAATGGGACTAATCGGAGTGCCGCCAACAAGCGCTATTGCTGAGTCACTAGCCCATATGTCTCCAGAGTGGGTTAAAGCCGCTTCACATGTCGCTTGGGGTATTTACAACTGGCTAACGTAAGTCACTGTAGGTCTTAAACTTTGCATGGCTTACAAGGAGATAGGATCCGTGTATTCTATTATTTCGACGAGGCCGTCCACCATCCACCAAGCCTACCCATTCCTGGCGCGGTGACCGCGGCCTTGGATGGCAACACGCGGTTAGAACCTCTCCCACCATATATGGGACGCACATTCCCTGCTATCTGCGGGCTTTTCCGGATAGTACAAGAGGTAGCAGTGGTTTATGTCAAACGCGATGATGCTTGACCCTCGCCCGTACGCGTGCCACTAGCTTTTGCCGAAGCAAAATACCAGAAGTTATTGGCGTGGTCTAACACTTTGCAAGCAGAAGTTGTCCGAGGAGAACATACGCCAGCTCACGTCATGATTTTCCAGTGGGCACTCATTCTTTGTTTAAAACGTTATCCACCTAGAACTAATCTCCCTCCTAGCGTTTGGTTTCACTGTGCCGTACTGGATTTCTTTCGACCTTTCGTTCAGGAGCTAGGCCACGATCGACTGTCAACCTTCTACCACGATGATAGTTCGCCACAGACCGTCTTTGATGCCTCTGTCAATCAGCTCAAACAATTATTGCTGGTTTACCATGTTAAATACCCCGAAGCGCGGCGTACCTGTTTCTTCAATACTGCCCTGGTCTATGTTAGCAACGCCATCCTGAAAAATCCAGGAGATCCGAACTGGCGTCTATATTTCGAGATTTGCATACGTTGTTGGCAAGACTTGTATGTCTGTTACCCGATATACGACGGCATTATGCAGGCCTTTCTGACGATGGCCTTGAAGGACGAGCTTATCTCCATCGGCGAGGCCAGGCCATACATGGACCAGCTGCGAGTGCGTGGACTACATCATGGCACTACCAGACAGGTTATCTCCTCATTCATGGCAGACCTCGATCTCGCATTGACAAAGCCAGACGAGGCTCATATCCACCATCTTGCGTCGCAGTTTGACGAAATCATGTCCTTTGACGAGTTCATAGCGTATCAGAATGGCACCTAGTGCGGTATATTAGGTCTAGTTTAAACGCACCCAAAGTGTCCTCAACACAGAGCTCTCTGCATTATCAGTACTAATTGAGAAGATCAACGTGTGTACATGTCTCATGCTGGGGCCAGCAAGCCTTCGTTTGACGAGCTTGTCGTCAATTTTTACGCAGCATCGTCGATGTGGGAATGGTCCAAAGGGTCTAGCCCAGCCCAGCTTAGTGCGCCAAGAGACGGGGCGGCGTTGATCGGACGCCGAGAAATCATCCTCCAAGCCTAACTGCTTACAAATTGCGTCGACTAACGGCGAAGATGAGAAACGCCAACTGCAGTTTTATGAAGAAAAGTCTCAGCAATAACATCTCGGCATCCGATGAAATACTCTCTTTGTCATCCAGTGTACGAGGCCGAAGCCGCGATATTCTTCCCCTGCCAGGCCAACGTCTGATACTCGCCACGGGTCAGTTGTGGAACATTTAAATAACACAATAGAGCGCAGCTTCTAGACCATGTAGATACCGTTTATTGCAACAAATATTACATTGCACTGCGATACATTGTGATTCAGTCTCTTTGTCCCTTTATCGACTCCTAGCTATGTCACGCGCGTTGATGATCACTGGTGCCACCGGTAAGCAGGGTGGCTCAGTGATAGCAGCCTTGCTCGCCGCGAAGGCCAACTTCCAGGTGCTTGCCGTCACCCGTGATCCCTCCTCGCCATCCGCAAAGAGACTGGCAGAAAAGTCAAGCATGATCACCCTCGTAGAGGGGAACTTGAATGATGTGGAAGCCATCTTCCGAAATGCGAAGAAGGCCACCACGCTGCCGATCTGGGGCGTGTTCAGTGTCCAGGTTTGTGTGCCTGGGTCTGACTTAGGAAAAAGTATATACGTCTCTAATTAATGATCACAGACATTCGCTATGAACAAGACCGGACCCTTGATTGAAGAGAAACAAGGTAGAGCATTGGTGGACGGCGCCCTTCGGCACGGCGTACAGCATTTTGTCTATTCCTCCGCGGATCGCAATGGCGAACGATCATCTGAGAACCCGACCAACGTTCCGCACTTCGTCAGCAAGCACAACATCGAACAGCACCTCTTCCGCGAAGCCAAGGGCACAGGCATGGGTTGGACGGTCCTCCGACCCGTGGCCTTCATGGAGAACTTTGATGGCGGGTTCGTTGGGAAAGTGTTTGCTGCTGCATGGAAAATCACAGTCAAATCTCGACCACTACAGCTGGTTGCTACGGCCGATATTGGCGAATTCGCCACGAAGGTCTTCATGGATCCAGCCAGATACTCTGGTAAGAGCATCGCTCTAGCTGGGGATGAGCTGACGTATGAGGACATGAATGCGGTCTTCAAGCAAAGGACTGGGTCTGAAGTGCCGAAAACATGGGACTTCCTGGCACGGCTGGCACTATGGCTGTCAGAAGAGCTCGGGACAATGTTCACTTTCTTCGAAAAGGAAGGCTTCGGTGCCAACGTGCAGGAGTTGAAGACGATCCACCCGGACTTGACGAGTTTCAGCTCGTGGCTGGACAAATCCCCCTACGTCCGCAAGGAGAAATGAAGTCCGCTAATACAGTGGAGTGTGATCAGAATCTACCAGCTTGTCTACTAGTGGGGGGTTATGGGGACGGATGTGCTTGTCTAGACCTCCCTTTTCCATAATTAGATAGATTAGATTCCGACCAATATAAGATATTAGTCTGTAGCAGATACTTCGGTCTATAAAGGGATCTATATCCGGAAAGACACGCTTGGCGCATGTGGTCCTTGCAGTGACAGCAGTGGGCCTATGGTCTGGGTAGATATCAAATCAAGAACCTGTTATAAAGTCAGCGGGTAATTCTCTCGATGGAAAAGGCAAAGGCGTTGACCTGTTCGTCGGATACCGAATAGACACCCATTTCCTTCATTCGTGCGTAGAGCTGCTGTGCGAGAGATCTCGTCACAGCGTTTTCTTTGCCAATAGTTGCCATGATATTCAAGATGAATACCACACCCTCGTCACCATCAGACTCTGAATTCGCCGCAAAGTCTTCCAGCAGCGCCAGCGCGGCCATTGACGCCGAGAATGCTAGAATAGGGTTTCTCATGGCCACGTCGAGGTCGGGCGTTGCTTTTAGAATGCGAACCACTTGCTCAGCCGCAACTAACAAACGCTTCCTACTCTTTTCCATCATGTGGATTGGCAAACCGAGCCGATGCATTCGCCATATGGCACACTGGTGGAGGGAGATACTTGATGCCTGAACCATGGCGTTGATGAAGGCTGCTTCTGTGCTACCATAGCTCTGGAACAGCCGTAGCTCGTGTGGTAGACTGGCTTGGAATTTGGTAAGTTGCTGTTCAATAGCCCTATGCTTTTCCCAATATTCTCCATTGTTCAATTCGAGAGGACTCTCAAGGGAGAATGCAGAAGATTGTTGCATAGCAGTGTGAAATATTTGCGCAATGAGCACTCTGGAGGTCAGGGTAGAATAAGGCTCAATGTCTTGTCTCAACAAGCTCTGTAAAGAGTGCAGATGGGTGAATTGTCCATTACAGATGGCTCGCTCTGAGGCTGGGAGTCGAGTGAGAACCTGGGATAATCAGTAACGGCCAACTCGAAGCTTGGAGGGATAAATGTTGGCCTACGTCGTGCTCGTTAATCAACAACGGCCATCCCGTGGTGGCACTCAAGAAACGATCAGTGTTGAAAATAGCCCACCACGTTCTCCGCCATTCTTCTTTCTCCAGGATATATGCAGGGGTTGTTGCTAGTACATCGATTTCATCCACATCGATTCGATGCATTTGTAGCATTTGTGCACCCCTAACACTCCGAGTGAAACTCATTGATGCCCTAGAAAATACGGCTTGTTGAGCTTCAAAATTGGCCAAAAGCAGCCAACATTGCACATGTGGCAGAGAAGGGCTGTCCGTGAGATTCTAAAGACAGTCATTAGTAATCTACCCACTTTGTCTGAACCACATCGTTACTTACTGCTATATCGTTGTCTTCAGCATAGCCCCTCGAACGATGATAAAGAGAAATTGCACAGGACATTTGTTCCTTGGAAATGCTGGCTGCTAGTGCCATGACAATGAGTTGCAGGCAAAGCGGGGGGCATAATGGGCTGGGAAGGAATAGTGACGCCATGTAGGTAGACGGACACAACACAGGACACATCTCATGAACTTTCTCAAAATAAAGACACGTACTGGGACGAAAATATTAGTCAGCTGCTGATCCGATTATGGTACCCGTTTCTACGGAATAAACTCACAGTTCTCTAACATGCTTCTGATCGAGGCTAGTTTCTACGGATTCTTGTCCATCTATTTGCATCGAGGGGACGCCCTTTGTGCTCACCCCGACATCGGTTTGCATCGCTATCGTAGTGGATAATGTCAGAGACTCTTCTGTAACACTTGAAGAATCCTGGTTTTTGCGAGCACTAGCGATGTGTTCGAGCTGCTCTAAAATACGGCAATGTTACTACATGGCAGGCTGGCACTCTCTGCTAGAATTAGTCGTACCTAGTTTGGATTTCAACTCCTGAATTTTTCTCCATCTTCCATTTGCAGGCTGCCGTCTCTCTGGGTAGTGACATGCTGTTTGGGATTTTCCACAGCGGCTGCATGACGGTCTTGCGCGGTCACACTTGAGCTTTCTTGCGCGGCACTCAAGGCACGAGAGAGTTATAGCCGATGCGGTATTGCTTTCAGTCTTGTGTACAGGGCGACTCGCAAATACGTTTCGCTGTTCCATATCATTGCATTGTGTGTTGAGGCGAAGAAAGGCTTTATTTGGTCGGGTGGAGGTGCACAAGCCAGGACAATATCTATGATGTTTAGATAAATCACATGACTTCCTAGACTAGCGCGGGCTTGCTTGCTTGGAGGTTCAAGTCAAATCGACAAAACGGAGCCTGAAGGGAATACGCAGCACTTGGTATCCAGGTAATGTTTCAGACCACCTTTCAGCAGGGAATGATTCTGATTGGCGGCTGAAATATACAATTAGATGATTTTTACCTTCCCAGATGGGGTTACTTTTCGAAAATGTCATAAAAACATGAAAATCAAGCCACACGTGCATCTCTTCTCTCCCAGGCTACTGTCCAGTGCGAACTTGAGCGGTGTACTTGCAATTACATCAAATCTTAATGTAGTATGGGAGTTTATGTGTCTGTCGAATATATACTGTATCATTTATGCGGTCAATCCTATGAGAATTTTAGGAATTTCAGTCATGACAAGGGCATCACAACTTGAAAAGCGTGGAAATTGATCTCAAGAAAGGGCACGACCGAGAGTCAATCGATCAAGATCCATTTCCCATCAATGGAACTCATACTTCGGACAGGTCTTACTCATGGGAAAATAGGCATGCTTAATCAGGCAACGAACTCATGCTACAATATACCATGTTTCAACACGAGTGTGATATCTTTCGTCTGTTAGATAAATGTGCTTTTCGCATCAGAAAACATTCCAGAATTCACCACATGAGGCTTGTTGGCAGCCGAATCATCTCAACTCTCGTTACGTAACTATCCTGCTGATACATGTGGCCTCTCGTCAAGATACCAAAGCTACACTCTTTCTAGCAAAGAAGATGCAAGAATGTTCATACCATTGCTGTTCACAAATGTTTACAAACAAACATGTTCAATCTGTCTAGAAGCTTTAAGAGCCACAAGAGTGTAGAAGTCCTAGAGCTGTGACACACTGGCGTGAGTCAGCTCTGCAGGATCTGCCAGGCCTCGAATCAGCCCCACTATCAAGGGCCGGCGATGCTTGGCATATCTGGCCAAACCTCAACGCAGGACAGGACACCTTTGACTGCTATCGAGCCTTATAAATGCACAGGATGCCCCAATAGTTAGAATATATCTTGATTATCTTATTGTTTCTACTTATATCGCTATTGAAAATCTCTAGCATCGTTACAATGGCCGACTGGCGGTCGGGTTCCAGGCGGAATGCACTGGCGCTTTTTCTTGGCGTTTCCGCCATTCTTGGCATTTTCATTCTTCTTTTGACCTCAAGCACGGCCTCCACTGGCGGGGGCTACGGCCAAGACGAATACGGTGTAGTCATTGGTATAGTGAGTAAGCTCAAAAATGAGACAATGCGAAAGTACTCACGTACAGTGCACAGGATATCGGCAATGTACGTGGAATGTTTGTTGTGTCATACCGCGGTTATTTACTACGCATTTGGAAACACTGACATTTGCAGACAAATGCTCGAGTGGCATTCATCAATCAAGAACAACAACATCATATAGTTCGGCATGGTAGTGGCGCTGGAAAAAGCCACATTGATAGTTGTGTGGCTTTCACAGACAACGAAATTCTGATTGGCGAAGGTGTCTCGAACCGAAAAACACTCTTATAACGCTTGTTCGCTAACAAACGTGGGTCAGAGGCAAGAGAACATATGATGCATAATCCAGTTAATACCATATGCGGTGTCCGAGATCTAATAGGGAGCCGTTGGTCCGATCCAATGGTACAAGCGCTGGTAAACCGCGTGCCATATCGAATCATTGAGCATAATGACAAGCCCGTCCTGCAAGTTGTGCGGAAAGGCGCAACGCAGGAGTTCACGCCAGAGGATATATACTCCATGGTTCTTGGCCGGCTCAAATCAGCTGCAGAGGACGCTCTGGGCTTCTCCGTAACACATGCGGTTGTCGCTGTTCCAACATATTTCGGGGACAACCAAAGGCAAGCTGTCAAAGATGCGGCAGTCAAGGTTGGCCTAAATGCGCTGCGATTGGTCAATGAACCCACGTCAGCTGGAATTGCACACAGTGTGGATCATAATGACGAGAGTCTGGTACTCGTGGTCGATGTAGGCGGCACGAGCACAGATATCACCCTTTCCGAAGTCGACCAGGGCGTCTTCGAGATATTCGCTACGGACCATATCGCTATGGGAGGGACTGACCTTGATGAGAGAGTTATCTCTTCGTATGTGCCCCAAGACTTTGAGTCCTACTCTTTCCATGATCACTGATGCTGACATAGCTTGCTACTCAACTTTCGACGGGCAAACGATATCGAGGACTCGGTGTCTGGTTCACAAGCACTCGATAGGCTCAGGTCAGGCATTCAGCAAGCAAAGCACGAACTATCTACTTTCGAATCGGCACAGATTGAAATGGATTCGTTCTACGAGAACGTAGACTTCAACGAAACACTCACGCGGGCCAGATTTGAAGAGTTGAATACGAGATTCATTCACCAGCTGCTGATAAAGGCGACAAAAAATGTCCTTTCAGGTAGGTCTCACTTCCAGCTACAGCATATACACAACAGTATATCCCTTGCAATGGTTTCGGTAGTAAAAGCTGACTTCCAGCAGATGCAAAGGTTTCCAAAGATCAAGTAACGGATATCCTATTAGTCGGTGGCTCGACGAAGATTCCCGCGGTAAGTTCGAGAGAAGGGAGCGCATTGCCTGAGCGGTCCAAATGCTAAGGCCCAGTAACGCAAGATCCGAAATTCAATCGAAACTTTCTTTGATGGCAAGAAGCTTGCGACCAGGGATGACCCGGATGAAGCCGTTGTTATCGGTGCTGCAATTCAAGGCTCTGTGTTGTCAGGGGATGATGGTGCAAGCAATTGTGGCTTGTATATCGATCTTTCTCCTCTGTCTATTGGTATTGTTCGTCCAAACCAGTCCTTTCTGACAGTCCACTCGCACCACAAGGAAAGCTGATGTCTGTATCCAGGAAACATTCGGCGGTGCTATGAACAAGATCATTCCACGCTGGGCTCCAATTCCCATGCGTATGTCCCAGAACTTCTCAACTGTATTTGACAATCAAGAGAGCATGCTGATCCGGGTGTTCGAGGGAGACCATGCTTTGACTACAATGAATAGACTGCTTGGGGAAGTCGAGATACCGGGGATGGCGCCAGCGCCGAAGGGAGTTCCAGTAGCAAACGTTCTTTTCGAGCTTGATGTTCGTGATTCATCATTCTCTTTCCTTGTTTCCTATATTTATGTGTTGGCCTCCTCATGCTCCTCCTGTGCTTAATACTGACGGAAGCTTCGTTTTCTAGGCCAACGGGATTCTTCTAGTGAAAGCCACTGACTACGGTATGCAGCCCTGGCTCCGGTCGAAAACAACGGATCCTTCAGACTAACGACTATGCAGCAACTGGAAAGGAGACCCGGGCTGTTTTCGTTGGTGCTTCCCACGCCCCGCGTTGCAGAGCTACAGCTAACCTATGCGCTCCAGAACGATACCGCCTATAGGAGATCTGGAAGCGTTCACTACCACGGATATGGAAGTGATGATTACTGGGTGGATCACGTCGAACCCCTGATGGAATCCGAGTGAGTGCGCTTTAGCATGTGGCCTCGAATTTTTCAGGAATAGAGTTTGACAATCTCGATGCAGAGTCGACTATGAGCTCGCAGATCAAGTACAATCTCGCATCGCCCTCGAGAACTACATCCTGGCTCTGGAACGTCGATTCCAAGCCGATCAGGAGATCCCGGCAAGTTGCCCGGCGGATGCACTCGAAACCCTTCGCACTGTGGTGGAGGATGAGCGGAAGTGGCTCGGCAGATTTGAAATCGAGGATGGAGTCTTCCTGGGACTTAAGGAGCGCCTCGATGGGCTGCGCAAAGCGTAAGTTTGAGCACAACAACACCCGGATTCCTCCAGTTGAAAAGTATGACAGCTAACATCGCTACCTACAGTGGGGAACAGTGCTTTGGAGTCCTCAACGACCGCTTTCTTCCTCGGGTAGGCAATAGGACACGGCCTTTGCTTGACGGCGGCTCTGAAGGTCATCAAAGAGCGAGCCAACGCGATGAACTTTGAACCAGTATTTGTCTAGGTACTTGTGGTGGCAACTTGAGTTCATTCCTTCGGTGTATGATTGCGACAATCGTACATTTGTATATGCTCCATCTACATGTGAACGGTAGAGCGATCCAATGCCGTTGAGGGGCATGGGGCGAATAACTGAACAATGACATTTGACCTCGTTTTGATATCTACACGCTTTAGAACTCTAGAACTCTTTTACAGGATTGCACACAGGTAATCATCCCGAAGTGTCTCCTCTACAGCTCGTCCTTGCCACCTGCGCTCTGCGCGTCCACGACCTTCTTCGACATGCTGTCACGTCCCTTCTTGACCATGCTGCTGATGATCTCATACACGACCTGGGCGCCCGCAAGCGCCGTCTCCTCGCCGGCGCCCTGGTAGGCGGGACTGACCTCGACCACGTCGGCGCCAACGAGGTTCAGGCCCTCGATGCCGCGCAGCACGCGGATCAGCTCGCGCGTGGTCCAGCCGCCGGGCTCGGGAGTCCCGGTGCCGGGGGCGAAGGCCGGGTCCAGCACGTCGATGTCGAGGCTGAGGTAGACGGGGTCCTCGGTGCCGAGGGTGGACATGATGCTCTGGACGATGCCGGCCGTGCCCAGGTCGTCCATGTCGTCGGCGCTGATGCGGACCCAGTTCTGGGCCGTGTCGTCGTCGTAGTCGCCAAAGTCGTCGCCCGACAGCCGCGTGCGCAAGCCCGCGTGCACGTTGGGCTTGGCCGACGTGTTGGACAGCAGGCCCTCGTGGCCGGCCAGCCAGAACATGCTGCCGTGGTTGAAGTGCGCCTGCGTCGACTCCCAGGCGCTCGGGTACTTGGCCGGGTGCCAAGTGTCGAGGTGGGCGTCAAAGTGCAGCACGCGCAGGTTCTCGTAGTGCGGCCGCAGCGCACGCAGCGCCGGCAGCGCCAGGCTGTGGTCGCCGCCGAGGGTGATGAGCTTGGGCTTGGCGTGGGACGGGTCCTGGGACACGGGCGGCCGGGCGCCCAGCTCCTCGAAGGCGGCCGTCATCTGCTGCAGGGCCACGGCATTGTCAATGGGGATCACGGGGATGTCGCCGCAGTCCAGAATCGTGGCCCAGTTCTGATAGGGGTTGATATTGGCGCGCGGGTTGAAGCCCCGGAACGAGGTCTGGCGGGAGCTGGCATGGCGGATAGCACGAGGGCCAAAGCGAGCGCCTTGCCAACATGTCAGTCTGAAGAATCTCACTACAGAGGGAAGTATGCGTGAAGCTTGGCACGGGCGCTCATCACAGCCGCGCCTCCACGGCAGGGTGTCCAGGGGATAGCTCACCAGGACGATAGCTGACAGCCGTGTCGAACGGCGCCCCGATAATGGCAATATCGAACAGCTCAGTCGGATTCGTCAGACACTTGACATATTTCAAGTGTGCAAAGGAGCCAATTCCGGTAAAGGCCCACTGCCCGTACGCACCGTAGTCAGCAATAGAAGCTTCAGAAACGTGGCCGCTGTCGGCGGTTGGGATGTCATGTCGTTACCTCGATACCCCATTTGCGCTCCAGCTCGTCCAGCTCGTCCTGGCTCCATTTACGCAACTCCTGCCCGTGACCACCGCAGGCGCCGACGATGGCCGCCTGCCAGCCGAAGGCCAAGCCGAGGAGAGATACAGCCCTCATGATGCCTGAATCAAGAACTGCGACGTCGAGGAAATCAGTCTTGTCATCCGGGCCGAACCTTGAGCGACGAGAGGAGCGGGCAGTCGGCTTCTGTAGATGTTTATCTGTCTATATATATACTCCCGACTCGTGAGAGTGCACCGGGGATCTCTTGGCATGAACCATTGCCAACTTTGGCAGTTCCATCCCGTACCGTGCATTAGGAGCAAGCGCTTCGGCGCGATGGTGTGCCAATTGTCGCTGGTGCTGGGAGCGGTAGTCGCCGCAGTTCGGCGCCTACTCCGCAGCCATCTCCGTAGGTTTAGAGGTCGGAGGTGGAGGGGAGATAGTGCGACTGGACGGCTTGTGATTGGTCATGTGTCTCATGGGCGTTGCGGCCGGAGCACCCTTGACTGATGGCCCAGAGTAATAGGATGGGGTAAAGCTGAGCTACTGTATGGTCGTGCCGCGGCATCATAGCCCGAAGATAACCTAGTGGCCGATAGCAAGGAGCCCGGGACTACTGCATAGCTCCGTGTCGTGTGCATGGATGAACTGGACCATTGCTTTCTGGTACAGTTGCTGGCAGGGTGTGATTGTGTGCTCATGATGCTTACGTACTGGTCGCTGCTAGCTAGCTCGGACCATGTAACGTTGTTAGTAACGCATAGTTGAGCCCTACCGAGGACCATAGCGGGTTGTTCAGATGTGTCGGACTTAACATGATTCCGGGCCCTGTGTATGTCTGCCAGAGGTGTGTTGTACATCCGCATGTCAGGGTTTGTCTACAGCGACTGATGGGTCATGTTCCTCAACGGGCCGACAGTGCCTCGAGCTGTTGAAGAGAGAGGTTTGAACAAACGAGCAGAACACACTGGGACGATGACCATGGCATTGCCGGTTCATAGTAAAACACTTGCTCTATGGCCGCTTGAGCATAAGCAACGGCCATGTTGGGTTATCGGGCCAGCAGTGCCATAGAGGCAACTATACGGCGTATCGTGGTGCTGTGAAGCCAAGTTCATTTCAGTTCAATTCAATGCAATCCGAATCGCCAAATTGCCCTATCAAAGTCCTGTTGACGCGTGCGGACTTCTCCTGCGCTCGCGCTCATCCCGTCCTTTGCACGAAGAATGTCCGTGACAGAAAAATCGAGCCGGGAGTAGAGTATGAGTGCCATGTTGGCTGAGCTGGGTACGAAGAATACATGTCTTCGGGTGCCAGCCGGAATCACGGCTGGACCCTTGCAACTGTTCATCAGCCTGCCTTGCTCACTACCTGGCCTGTCTATCTCCCCCAAAGGCCGTGTTTCGAATAATGTGCCTCCAAGCCTGCCAGCCCATATCTGCCCGCAGGGTCCTTGTGCCTGGGCACTGTTGAATCACCCCATATGATTTCCAGGGTCCTGTGCTGGAGCATCTTGCCAAACGGTAACTTCCAAAAAATCCGTCCATCAGTCACATCGCTGGGCCTCTCCCAAAAAGTCTAGATCGCTATGATGAAAAAAGCAGAAGGTCGTGATATCACCAAAAGTGAAGTCACCAGGCTAGCCACTGTATCGCATGCAACCCCGGGTGACAAAAATGACCCGGGGTGGATGCATACGCCTGCCACAATGAAAATGCGCCCCAGATTATAGAATAAGGCACTTGTGGGACTTCTTTTTCGGTGCCGGGGGCTCCAATGCCGCGACAATTGCCTGAGGGTCATCAATAACAGGGCTCCGGGGTCACTGCCGATGGTAATCAGGGCCAACTTACCTCATCGAACACGTCCTTAAGCTTATATTGCGTCAACGCACTGCACTCGACGTATTTGACAGCCCCCAGCTCCTTTGCCATCCGCTCGCCGTCTTCTTTCCGTACGGGCTGCATCTTTTGCTTTGCAAGCTTCTCTCGGACACTCTGATCGTCCCTCAAATCGGTTTGCGTACCAACTATGAGGCAGGGCACGCCGGGACAGTGGTGGTGGACCTCGGGAAACCACTTCTCGCGGACGTTCTCGAATGATGCCGGGGACGTGACACTAAAGCAGACGAGGAAGACGTCGGTCTGGGGGTAGGACAACGGTCTCAGGCGATCGTAATCCTCCTGACCGGCAGTATCGAATAGTCCCAGAGTGTAAGGCTCATCGCCGATCCTAAACCATGCACAGTCAGCATCAATTGAATGACGAGGTGCGAGATGGTTGGGAAGACCGCATCTAGACGGATGGGCATCGTTCGACGCGTGACGTATTCGTCCAGTCGATGATGGCGCGAGGTTCCGGCAGGGCTCGAATATGCGGCATCCAGGATACAACAGAGGTGCGGGGGGATGCAAACTTACATAACGGTAACGGCATAGTTGTCGAAGACGGTCGGGACGTATTCGGAGGGGAACTTGTTCGTCGTGTAGCTGATGAGCAGGCAAGTCTTGCCAACAGCACCGTCACCGACGACCACACACCTGCGAGGCACGGAATTGAATCAGCAAACTGGCTCATGTCGCACATCTTGTTTTGATGCCCTGCGCATCGCGGGCCGAATTACTAAGGGACGCAGTCGTGCATTCGGGAGTGCCCGCGTCAAGTCTCGCGAAGCAAGACTCCCCAAAGGATCGACGCAGCGGGCGCGAGTCCCATGCACCGGCGGGGACGGGCAGGAGGTCGAGATCGGATGGGAGGGAGTACTGACTTGATTGTTGCGACTACCATTCTGTCCTGCGGCTGAGCTCCTGGGGGGAAAGGGAAGACTCGAAGTTGGGGACTCTGCGCGATTGAAACGGATGCAAAGGCCTAGGCGCCTTATCGCGTTCCGTCAGGAGGCTGACTTTGGTCGATGGGAGAAAACAGTTGGAGTGGTGTGGTGAACTCAAGCAACCAACTTTTTTTTGGGCCAACGAGAACAAGGTGCTGACGCCGAAGCTGGACGGGCCCGGCAAGGCGTTTCAAGGTCTAGTCGGTGGTGGAGTCGAGGGAAATGGATCGAGTTGGATTGGGATTGATGCGGGCGAGTCCTTTGGTGCCTTCAGCAGCAGGGGACGACGTGCGAGAGCCTGACGAGGGGGCCTTGCGGCAGTGGTCTCTCTTGTTTTTTTTATCGTGTCTCAATTTGTATGATACCGAGCCCCGAGTAGCTCAGATGCTGGGGAGGAAAATTGAAAAGAAAAAAAAGTGGTTGCGGTTGGCTAAGAATGCAGAAGAGAATGGCGCGACTCAATCGAAGCGATGTTCGGACTAGGAAGGATTAAAACTAAAGAGGGCGAAAACAACACCAAAAAGTCACGAGGCAAGAGGCGGACAGGCAGGTTCTTGTTGACTTGACTAGAGCCGTGTGCGCGCGGTGGAAGACTGGCACAAGCAAGCTGTAGGGAGCTGTGCTGAACTGGGCTTGGTCAGATCGCCTGGGGTGGTCGGCGGTGATGATGCTGCTGATGATGAAATCGGGGGTGGAAGAGCTGGGGGAGAAGCGAAATGGGAGCGACAGGCGCAGGGCAGAGCACGGCGTGTTTATTGCAGAAGCGTGTGAGCAATGAGCGAGCGAGCCACGGGCCAGGCCTCTGACGAACTGCTTGGGTTCCCAGTCGGATTGGGAATAAGGCGGATGGGGATGACGACCGATGAAAGGAAGCCAGGCGAGGGTTCGGTCCCATGGGCCCAGGGTGAGGTGAGGAGGCGATAGGCCACTGTTCTCGCTAGAGCGATAAGCAGGCAGCTTTGTGCGCTGGATGGTGATGCGCTGGAAAGGCGGGATCCGGGTTAGGTAGCATGGGGTCTAGTCCTTGGTACATACGTCGAGGTAACTTATTATTATGGAGGGCGGAAAGACAACCTTGGAAGAAAGGCGGACGGGCAGATTGGGAGTACAGTACCCAACATCTCTCTGGCTTGTTCTGACTTGCTCTGCCACACGGTACCTGCTCTATGCAGGTAGGTGAGTAGGTAGGCTGGCTGGCTCAAGTCAGTGGAAGTCAGCGGACTCGACCACCTTGACTTCGTTATTGCATATCACCGGTTGGTGTGAGCAACGGTGACTGTCTACTTTGGCAACTTATGGGATGGCATGTACGGCACGCCGGCCGGCGTGCTTGCCTGATCGATCTCCTGCTCTATTCGACCCTGTGCACGGGAATCCAGAGAGTAATTTCATCAGGGAATGCATGTAATTCGCACAAGAAAGGGGGGTCGGCGCCAGGGTCGTCTTCTGACAGCCAATCGCCGAGAATGAGGTGAATGCTGAGAATGGTTCCGGGTGCTGATTTGCCTCGTCTGCTGTGCACAACCGCGCGTGCGGCGCCGGAAACCCATGTCGAGACCACCGTGCGTCCTTCATGGTCGGTCCTGGATGGTGTCTTGATGGCCTCTGATGGTCCCTTGGACTTGATAATATTAGCGACCCAAAGCGCCTGCCTACCAGGCCTACCTGTCGCTCATCAGTGGTAGTGTCTGTTGTGGATGCTGTCTCTTCATGCAGCAGCCATGCGGTGGTCAGTGGTGCGTCAGTGCAGTGTTTGCGCGTGTCTTGGTGTGGTGGCTAGTCAAAAACCCATGTGAAATGGGGTCTTCGGTCTTCCAGCGCTAGTCGCATTGCATTATGCTTCTGAGTGGCATCTATGTCTCTACCGGGGGACTTGCGAGCCACGCCGCGTTGGCTTTGAATTTCGTACAGAGCTAACAGCCCTGTCCATGACACGGGGCAGCGGAGATGAAAGGTAATAGCCGGGGTGGGCTCTTTGCTTCTGTAGGTGCACGTCAAGTCTTGAAGGCTTTCATCTCAGCTCGTCGTGGCCAAAAGGGAAGAGTGCAAGCTTGTGTTTAGCCCCAAACCCATCTCTGCTGGATCTTGCTCGTTTGTTGAGGCTCCAGACAGTCCATATTATTTACGGCAAGCTGGTAGCGAAAAGTAGCGTTGGAGCGGTGGCCATCTGCTAACGCCGAGTGGTGTCGAGCAAGCGGTCAAGTGTTAGTGCCAACCCAAAGCTTGCGGGCCGGTACCTTTGCCTGTCTTTTGGGCGTGATACCGAGGAGAAGCGGATCTCAACTCGCCGTCTACTGCCTCCTGCCCATGCAGCATTGTCGCCAACTTGGACGGCATACGAAGGCGCAGCTTGTGGGAGCAATCAAAATATGTCTGAAAATGGGGGCCGAGCATATGACTGCATGCACCAATAACGAAGAACCAAGAGTTTGCTGACAGGTACCGCCGAGCGAGGCTGATCGTGTTCTTGGTCGGGCCGTGGCAGAGGGACGGTGCATAAAGCCGCGCTACATCATCTTGAAAGCACCCTACATGGGAGGATCCATCATGCCTCTGGGTGATTGAAAGAATACAGGACAGCTCGCATTCCCAGCTTTCGCTGAGCCGTGTTGCGCTCGCAGCGACTCGGATACCGACCCAGCTGCGGCTCCATCAACGGGATTGGCCTCTTGACATGGGCTTTGTGAACCACGATGTGCTGCCAAACATCCAGCAAATCTATCTGCAAGCAAGGCGGCTAAGCGTTGGGCGTCTGGTGTCGATGGTGACACAGCAGAAAGATTTCCCTCGTAAGACTCGTCAGTTGAGGCCGAGATAGTTCCCTCGACAATAAGCATAGCTGCATCAGATAGGAGACTGCCGGCAGAGGGCACAAGCTGATCTTGCGTGATCGTTGACATGGACCAGGAGGGAAACAGGAGACAGTGACGTTGACATTAATCTTAATCGACCCTTATCCCTGCTCTCCATGCTTCGAGATCGACCCTCCGTTCCCCAAGGGTTGCAGCGGTCCACGGCAATCCCTAATCATCGAGACAACAAGGGCCATTTGAAACGGGGGGAGGTCAAATTTCTATCCCTTCCCGGGTGGCCTGTTGTCGGCTTCCGGCAGCTTGGTTCGGCGCCTGATCTGTGTCCGTGGAGAAGGTTGCTCTGGCGTCTCATCAAACGGGTTCCAGGGTTCCCGAGAAAGCTCAGATCATGAAGAGGCGTCGTTGAACAAGCAGGAGTCACACTTGGCTAATTGTTTGCTAAACACCCAGGAAGACTTTTATCAACTTGAAGCAGCTCGAAGCAGCTGGATCTGGGGGAAATGAGGAAAGGAATCTGCAAGCCGCTTTTTCCGAGGTAATGTCATGGGAAGTGGCAGCAGGTTGCACGAAGCAAAGACGTTGAGCTCCATGATGGAGTTCCATGCTAGAGGTTCTGTTATACCTAGTCAACCTTGACGTTCGCAGTGATGACATGACTAGCTAACTTATCTGTCTTGAGCTGTATGTACAGTACTGAATTGCAGATGCCTGGGCCGCCATGGGAATTGAGCTGTGGCGTTGCTAGCGTCTTTTGCCTGGCCCCTCCCACAACCAGCCAAGTGGATGGCAAGGCTCACCACCTTCGTACCGCAGGTGTTCCGACGTGCAATGCAGTTTGTATCCCACCCGTTCTAGAAGATCGTCCAACTCTCAGTTGGCTGTAACATACCCTTGTTGAGAACTCGACATGGAGACCGACAATGTCGATGCTCTTTTGGAGCGGTACCTGCATCTTCTGCATGAGTACACTACGCTCCGTGCCGAGCTAAGTTCTCTGCAGACAAACATGTATCAGAACATCGCCAGGGCAAACTTCTCTGCAGAGCGAGGGATCAGGTATGGGCCGGACTTCTACGACGACCGCATGCAGGCGTTGAGACGGCTTGCCGTTGCGACCAACGACGAGGGGGTACCGGTCTTCAGCTCGGCCACGATAGATCTGGCCAGCCAAACCTCGCCAGCAAGCAAAGACGCACCAGAAGCCACGAACGCACCCGACACAGGCGGTGCACCGGACAGCAGAACCAAGGAGGAACCAACCGCTACGAAAATTGGCAAGCCCAAGAAAACGGATCCATTGCAGTGGTTTGGTATCCTCACACCAATGCCATTGCGTCAGGCCCAGGGCCAGAGTATTCAAGCAGTCGAGCAAGTCATACCCAAGTTGGTCTCTGTCAACTCTCAGATGGCCCAACTTGAGATAGAAGTCCGCAGGGCACGGAAGCACCGGGCGAAAGCCGAGGCCTCTGCAAAGAAGCAGTCACAAAGCGTCACCAGCCAGGAGATTGCTGCAAGCGACGGAGCTTGAACATGGCAACGGCTACTCGCTGCTATACTTGGTTCATCTACTTCAAGTATGCCCAAAGGTTATTCAAACTCTCTGCGAGACTTGGATGGGCAAAGACAGCCGCCTCCAGGTCCCACCACTTCAGGCCACCCATCATAGCAGTCTGTACGATGGCCATCACCTCACCACCTTCGACACCCAGGCACGTGAAACCCAGGATCTCGCCCGTCTTTGCATCCACAGTCGCCTTCATCATGCCACGGGTCTCTTCCGTCTCTATCGCACGAGCAACGTAACTCATGGGCATCGTGGCTGTCATTGTCTTGCGATCAAGCTCTTTCAAATCTCGGTCGTGCACACCAACGTGCCCAAGTTGCGGATCGGTGTACATTACGTAGGGAGTCAAAACCCGGCTTTTGGATGCCTTCGTCGTGGTCATTGGAGGAGTGGTAGGAGCCATAGAGTCACCGAGTAGATTGCTCCGGATGATTCTAAAATCATCATACGACATGTGCGTAAATGCCGGTCCACCATGAACGTCTCCAATTGCGTAGACTCCTGGAGCACTCGTCTCCAGTTTGTCATCGATGACGATGTGGCCACGGCCAGTCGTCCTGATACCGGCAGCGTCGAGATTTAGCATGTCGGTGTTCGGTGTACGGCCCGTCGCAAGGAGGATATGCGTGCCCCTGAACGTCCCTGTGGTAGTCTCTAGACTGATAGGCAGGTCGGTCTGGTTTGTGCCGGCAATCGACAGCACGTCTGTCGAGAGGTGCACGTCAATATCATCATCGCGGATGATGTCCAATAGTGTTTCTGCCACATCAACATCCTCTCTCGGCACCAGTTGCCGAGCCCTCTGCAGCAAAGTTACTTTGGCGCCCAATCTTTTAAAAAGCTGCCCAAACTCCAGGCCGATATACCCCCCGCCCAGCACGATGAGATGGTCGGGAACTTGGCCCAATTCCATTACGGAAGTGGAATCGAGAACTCTGCTAGGATCGATGGCGTCCAAGCCCTGGATATGTGGCCTAGCTGGCCGTTCTCCTGTGTTGATCAGGATCATGTCGCCACCCACCACCTTATGCGACCCATCATTCATGTCAACGTTGAGCGTTTTGGGTGCTGAGAATCTGGCTGTTCCAAACAAAACATCGACTCCGTTCGATTCCAGTTTCTTGAGGTTGCCAGTGGTCCAGCTGTTTACAATGTCCCGTTTCCGCTGCCGAATCTTACCCATATCTACAAGCATATCACGATGGCGAATGCCGTAGTCGGTAGATCGTCTACCGAGATATGCCACACGACCGGATGCTATCATGGTCTTGGTTGGTGTGCATCCCTCATTGATACAGGTGCCGCCCACGTGTGCTCGTTCAAGTAGAGCTGTCTTTCGCCCGGCAGAGGCAAATGCATTCGCAAGTGGGGTCCCAGACTGGCCCGAGCCGACGATGACAACATCGTAGTGAGTTGAAGACATGGCGTGCGTTGAACTGGTGCTATATAGCAAGGCTGCCCGAACTTGTCTATGTACGAGAGATGACTGGCGAGACACCGCAGGGAATGACGACCTGTATACGAGTAGGATACGTCGAAGAGTATACATGGACTGATCAGTACCAATAAGTAATCCCGGTATCTAATATAATCACTAGAATGAGATGTCTCTTCCCACTTATAGAAGATTTACTGTGACAATTTTCCCCATGGGATCTCAGTCAGCGACATCTTGCGCGCGCCCAAGGTTTGACACATCAATCGAGAGGCTGCGGGTGCGCTTGGCATACAGAAGGCAGCGGCCGATGGCTTACACTGAATGCGAGAGCTACCCCTCACTCGAAGACTTCCATCAGTTCTCTCCTAGTTACGACCCCTCTCAAACTTTCAAAAGCATACCTGAGCCAATACAGACGGACAGAGAGAGAGAGAGAGAGAGAGAGAGGCCCGTCGATTGTGACACCTCTAGACGTGTCCTTTGAGCGTTTCTGGTTTTTGTCCAGGGGAACCGGACTCTGAGTACTTCTGCCACCAGGCTCAGCATGTTTGTCTGAGGGACACGACACGACACGTCCCCAGGCCAAGAACGATATCTGTCTCTTCCGCACCTTCATCTGCCTGCTCTGTCTCGTACTTCCCCCTCCTCCCATGCCGGCACCTAGTTCAGCATCACATACCCCAGTATCGCGGCTGCACCGCCTAGCGTTCTCAGCTCTTAGTAACTGGCTCGGTACGCACGAACGGGCCCTACTTAAGTTAGTTGACCTACATACGGTAGACGCGCCCGAAGAAAAAAGTGGAACGCTTCAATTTAGTCTTGACAAGGATCTCTCCATCTCGGTGTCCGACCAGGGCCGTTTGCTGGGCACGTCAATTGAAGGCCGTTAGAAAAGCAAGCAGCGCCATCCGCAGGAAAGACATCCAAGCTCGAAGGAGGGGAGTCGTACACGCAGCGCAGCACAGCTGGCCGGGGCAACGAGAGATTCAACCCCTTTGGCGGACGCGACGAGCTTCTCAGGACAAATTTCTGGGGAGACTGCATCTCACAGTGGTTCGGCCTCAATTGGACTGGAGGTTTTTGACGTCCTCGATCGATCACATGCTTCCGCTCTCGTGCTGTACCGCCCTCGCGCGTGCCCTAGGACACAATGCCACCTCCACCGGTCCCTTCGTTCGACTACTACGCCGAGCTTGAGGTGTCCAGCTCGGCCTCCATCCAGGACATCACCGCCTCGTACCGTCGACTAGCCCGTATCCACCACCCCGACAAGAACCCTGGCAAGCAGGACACGGCCACACTGAAGTTCCAGAGAGTAGGCCTTCGCTCCGCCCTTTACGGCACACTTTTCTGCCGTAAGGGACAACCCACCCCTCTGACATCGTAATTCTAGATCCAGCTGGCCTACGAGACCCTCTCTAATACCGCGGGCCGTAAACGCTACGACTCAGCGCCCAAGCCCGGCAGAACATGTACCTGCGGGAGACACACCTACGACGACGAAGATGACGAAGAGGACTACGACTACGATGAGTGGGAAAGTGAATATGATGACGAAGACGAGTACTACTACGACTTTGCCTATGGTGGCCCCGGCGTCCCCGGACCTCGCTACAGCAGCGGATATAGCCATGGCGGCTTCAGCTTTGGCGGCTCGCGCTTCCGCAACTATGAGGACATGGAGAAATACTTCCAGGAGATGGAGCGGCGGGAGACTGAGCGCTTGAAAGAGCTGCACGAGGAGCGCCGCCGTCGCGAGGAGGCTGAGGCTGCACGGAAAAAGGCCAAAGAAGATGCCAAGCGTGCCGAGGAGGAATTTAAAGTGCAGCAGAAGGAATCACGGCAAAGCGAGGAGAGACGATTGCAAGAGGAGCGGTGGCTCAAGGCTGAGGCCACCACTCAGGACGAGAAGCTGCGCGCTTGCCTGCATTCGGATTTCTGCAATAAGGTTCCCCAGAGAAAGAAATTCAAGTGTACGGCCTGCGCAAAGAAGGGAGGAATGACGGCATTTGAGTGCCCGTACTGCTCCAGCTTTCTATGTCAGCAGTGTGTGACCAAGTTTTCGGAGAGGAGACTAAAGGGAGAGGAAGTGAAGCCTAGAGTGCAGCCGGCTGGCGAATCCGATCCTGAACAAGATCGGGAGGAAGACGAGCGGGAGCCTGGGCAGACAGGTGAGCCAGGTTCGAGCGTCAATGGTTCAACCTCACCACCGGCAGACAACCATCCACAAGACAGGCAGCCAACCAATGGCCCGACTACTGATGGCTTACGAGACATCGAAGAGAAGTATGGTGGTCTGAATGGCCAAACATCTAAGAAGGCCAAGAACAAGAAGAAAAAGCAAGCAAAGAAAGACACTTCGCCGAATTTAGATCCTCCGGGGGAACCAGAACCACCGATCGCCAAAGTCAAGCAGGCGAATGGCATCCCGGGATCAAAGAGCGTAAAGGGTTCAGTACAGTCTAGACAAAATACTCCCATCCCAGCAGAGTTGAGCCCGACAACATCAGGATCAATACCAACCGGACCGAGAAGCTACAAGACTACCAAGAAAGTGCCAGCGGCTTATCCTCCTGCAGCTTCCCATTCAACGAAGCCTTATTCCCATGTTAATGACACGAGAATCAGAGGGAATCCACCGAGTTCAGTACCTGAGCGCCCAACGACCATCTCCGGACTCCACCCTTTCCCTCCGCCGGCAGAGGAACCTCAATACACTGCCGATTTCTCCGATGATGAGTCCTATCGCAATGGGGAGTACAGTGGCCCTCCATCCCCTTCCAGTTCCTCCCATACCCGCCGGGGCCACTCATCCATGCATGCCAATGGCACTACTCCTCCACCATATCCATCTAGGACCTGTTACATCTGCGGTCAGCTCGGGCACCTTGCTCGCTTCTGTCAGCAGCCACGAGTCTGCTCCAACTGCGGCAAAAGTGGTCACATATTCAAGCACTGCGGCAAACCCAATAGGGAGCACTCTAGACCGACCGTCAGCGCGCTCCCTGTATTACCTAGACCTGATCCATATGCAGCTTTTCAGCAGCAAGAAGAACTAGGCCCGACGCGCGTCGCCATCAGGGGTGCCACATTGGCGAGAGGCATCACCGGGCCGCTACTTCGGCAAGCTATGGAGTCATTCGGCACCGTCACGGACGTCCAGATTGACAGAAAGGCTGGCATCGCCTGGGCGGACTTTGTCGAGTACAAGGTCTCGCGGAACGTTCTCGCAGCGAGCCCTGTGCCGGTCGCGAACGGCGCTGTCAGAATAAGCGAGTGGTCAGACGATCTAATGAAGTATAAATATTAATCTGCGCGGCTGAGACGAAAAAACACGTATGTTAATGCCAACAGATTGGAGTATCGCGCACGATAGGAGCTGCCCGAGCTGATCTCGCTCGCATGTTTGCTGTGGCATGGTGTTTTGGAGTTCACAGACGGATCATATGTATGGCATATGTAGCACTCCTAGTGACATTATGGTGGTTGCTGATACTCCAGCGATTACACTTGCATAAGTAATGAATGAGATCATGAAATGAATACAGTTGGGGCTTGAGATAGTGTTTGTGACGATTATCAATTAAGCTGAGCGTCCAGTGCCTTACCAGACTGACTGACTTTGCCCACGGGGTACGATTTTGGTTTACCATGAATCTGAACGCATCCTTGAAGTACGTTGTCATGGTGGTAATTCTCGATCCTACACTAACTACTGGACTGCCTAACGGCCTGGGGGCGGTATCAGGCGTGGCATGGCGCGAAGGAGTTTCCCGCGGGAAACTGGACCCACTCACGGATCGGCCTCCCGAACCCTGATGCCCGATCGGCAATATTCTATCGTCCGGTCCCCCGTAGTCGGACGCTGTTTAGCTAAACAGATAGGGTAATGACTCGTCAGGCCAAAGATGGGACGACTATAATGCTCGTCGAAAAGCGGCTCGCCGGCTCCCTTGGCTTGATAGCTGCTCGGATATGCGGTGCTTGGATCAGATTGTAGGAAGACGATGGTAGAAACATCACAGAACAAGCCCCGTCCGGCGGCGGGCATACACTGGGCATGGCTGGCCTCGCTTCCCGTTGTCGTAGGAGCGTTGCTTGTCACATACCTGCCCGCTCTTCAGGGCATCACGATCAGTTTCCAAGAACCGCGGCCCTCCGTAACCATTGGACAGGGCACCATTGTTGGTCGGCTCGTCGATGATGGAACTTTTCCAAAACCGCTGGAGGGGTTCATGGGTATCCCTTATGCGTTGCCCCCGGTGGACAGCCTCAGGTTCCGGGACGCGGTGCCAGTACCGAAGGGAAATGGTACGCAGGAGGCTTTCTTCCTTGGGCCACGGTATGCATCCCGCGCTTTTATGAATAAACGAAGGAAGCCGCTGTACTGACCACTCACAAAGATGCCCCGGCAAGCAGCTTGTCCCCTTTCTGGACGATGACGGGCTTGGGCCGGACGTTGAGTCTGAAGACTGCCTGACGATCAACATCTGGCGGCCCCAGGGCTATAACGCGCAGAAGAAGAAACTCCCTGTCGCAGTCCTGATCCCTGGCGGCGCATTCAACCGCGGGGCGGCTAGAATGCACAACACGCACAGCATGCTGGCCCATTCGCCGGAGCCTTTCATCGGCGTTAGCATGCAGTATCGAATTGGTGTCTTTGGCGGCTTGAACACGGAGCTGACCGCCAAAGAAGGACTGCTGAATCTAGGCCTCAAGGACATGTATGTGGCGCTAGAATGGATTCAGGAGAACATCGCGGCGTTCGGAGGAGACCCAGACGATGTCACGATCATGGGACTTAGCGCGGCAGCACATGGAGTAAGTCAATGTCCAGGTCGAGTTGTTTGTTTAGGGTGAGACTAATGACGAATCATCGTAGATCGGTCATCTGGTCATGGATGTCAAGCAGCCCAAGCGGCTCTTCCACAAGGCCATCATGGACAGCGGAGCGCATACGGCGCGAGCAATGCACCCTCCCGATGCCAAGCTCAACCAGCAGCATTTCCGGCAGTTGCTAGACCTGACACCCTGCTCTCACTACAAGGACCTTTTGAACCCCGAAATCCTGACTTGCCTGCGCAGTCTAAACTCTGACACGGTAGATGCCGCTGGCAAGAAGGTATTTGCAGACTCGGATCCTTCGGTGCGCTGGGCGTGGCAGCCTGTCTTGGATGGGCAGATAATATCCCGCCGGCCCCTGGACGCCTGGAAATCCGGGAACTGGCAGAAGGTCCCGATCCTGACCGGCTCGGCCCACAACGAGGGCTCATTTTACGTACCGCTGTCCGCGAACGACTCCGCAACCTTCACAAACTTCTTTCACACACTGCTGCCTCACCTGACATCGGCCGAGGTCGCCGAGCTCGAGGCACTGTACCCGGATCCCGCCGTCGACCCGGCCTCGCCGTACGTGGAGGCCAGCGGCGACCCGCGCGTCGGGTCGCAGTACCGGCGCATGGAGGCAGCGTACGGGCACTACGCGTACACGTGCCCGGTGCGGCAGACGGCAATCCTGGGGACGTCGTCGTCGCCGTCGGACCCGCCCGTGTTCCTGTACCACTGGGCGCTGAACAAGACGGCCCTGTTCGGCGCCAACCACGGCGACCAGATGCGCTACCAGACCTACAACCCCGAGGTGCGCGCCATCTCGCCCGCCCAGGACGAGGTCGCCGGCGACTTCCACGCCTACTGCGTCAGCTTCATCCTCCACGGCGACCCCAGCGCCATGACGGCCGGCCGCTTCGCCGACCGCCCCGCCTGGCGTGGGTATGCGGGCGGCAAGGGCCTGACCATGGTCCTGGGCGAGGGTAATGATGAGAGGGCGGGCGGCACGGGCGTTGGTATAGCTGCGCAGTTCAAGGAGTACACGTGGGCAGAGAAGGAGTGTGATTTCTGGTGGAGGATCTCGGGGAAGTGGGAGGACTGAGCACTTTGTTGATCTGTTGATGTGAGATTGTTAGATGAATAAATGATAAGTATCATCAACGACGCTGCTTTGATTGTCAAGAAAGCTGAGCTCCAAGCTGTACCTCGAACGGCTTAGAGGGCGGCAACTGGCATCTCTATGTCGTGAATATGGGACGCATATCTAAACAGCAGATTCGGTGGCATGTCTACTAGAAAAGGGACAGCACAACAGATGTACATATGATTAGCGTCATGCCTATGTCTAGGCTTTGTTGGACCTAGGAGAATTACCAGAGGGTTAGGTCGGAGAAATCGTGAGATGCAAGGTAGGCTTGGTAATCCAGAGACTGAATCTATTCCCCCTTTTCCATAGGAAGGGGTCGCGAATCCATTGTGTTGCAAAGACCTTAGTAGTGATTCTCAGAGGTTCCCGGGGACCCCCAAGTCCCGGCGATGACAAGTAGACTTCTCTGCTGTAGCATCCTACTAATACAGTGATACATGCACTTTTCAAAGCCACATGAAACTACGATTGCCAAAGTTAGACAGCATATCATTCTAACTAAACATACGTGGCCATAGCCTCACCCAGTACATCTTACCCTGTTTCTCTAGTAAGAATATCTGAACTTGGGATTCTCAAAATCTGTAAGATCCAACAACACCTCTTCCTCATCGTCAACCCCCGCAGCGTGTAGGCTGGCGGCCGCTGCGTCTCGCTTTTTGTTTCTAGAAATCAGCAGGAGGCGCAAAGCAACGGCAATAATGATCTGTCCCGCCGTACACCCAATAATGAGTTTGCATCCTGTCTGGTAGATCGGCGCTTCCTTGCTCAGGAAGGCATGCGGCCCGATAATATTGCCGGCACAATACGCCAGAAATACGAACGCCGTAGCAGTCGTGCGCTTTGTGTACCCGCCCACGTTGGATGCTGGCATCTGTAGGGCTACGATGAGGGAACCGATGAATGAGGCACACTGTATCAGTCTGATTAGCGTCACATCAATACCGTTCGTCATTGTGGTAACTCACCATGTAGTAACCAGCCAGGAGCCCACCACGGTTCGTTCTTGGCAACAGCCAGAAGAGACACGCCGCCGTCAAGGTCGGCATAAGCCATAGCATCATGACAATAGTTCTGAAGTTCTTGATCTTGCTTGCAAGGAAGGGTCCAGTGAACATGAATAAAGCAGTACAAGCGCCGTAAGGAATTCCGTAGGCCGTGGTGAGGAGCGCGTCGTCCGTGAAGCCCTTGACGATCAGCTTGGAGAAGTTGGCAATACCGCCGTTGACGCACTCGTTCAAGAGGACAAAGAAGAACAACAGCCAGACCTGGCCGTCGCAGAATACCTCCTTTATCTGTGCGGGCTTGATCTTGCGGGTGAACACACCTCCGCGGTTGCTTGCGCTCTGTGCTACGAGCATCGCCCGCTCCTCAACTGAGAACCGCTTCGCAGTGAGGATATTGTTGGGCAGAGTAAAGAACAGCAGTATACCCCATGCCACGGTCATGCCACCGCACAGGACGTAGATGATTCGCCACACGTCCCAGCCCTTGGCCTGGCCTACCCCGTAGAAGAGTATACCGCCGAACATGCTGCCAAATCCATTGAAGCAGTAGAACATTCCTGCTCTTGCCGGTTGCTTCTCGCGCTTATACCATTGTGAGACGATGAGCATGAAGGAAGGTGTGATGACAGCCTCGAAGACGCCGAGGAGGAAACGACACACGGCTAATCCGGCGAAGTTGCTAGCCGCGGCGGTGCACAGTAGTATGATGCCCCAGGCGATGACGAAGCAGCTCACCACAGTGCCGGTCGGGAGTTTCTGTGTGAGGTAGGAGGCAGGCCATTCCGCCACCAAGTAAGCGAGGTAGAAGATGGAGGCCATCCAGCTGTACTGGTTGCTGGTCATCCCGGTGGACGTGAAGAGATCGAAGACGGCGGAATAACTGAGGGCCTGCTTGTCCACGTATTGAAGCAGGTATGTACCGCACAGGAGCGGCATAAGAGACCAGTCGACTTTCCGTCCCAGCTTCTTCAATGCGGCCTCATCGGCCATCAGTTCGGCCAACCGTGAGTGGGGAATGCCATGTTGATGCAAGAAGAGCTCAGCCTCGTCGAGTTCAACGACGGTGCCCAGTTTCTGGTCCGCTTCAATGTCGACTGCGCCCTCAGACCTCTTCTTCTCCAGCTCATTGTTTATTTCGTGCTTAGTGGTTGCTTCTGCCATGGCTCTAAACGGGTGTCTTTATTAACTGTTTGATCGCCTTTGACGCGCCAGGCTCAGGACCTTGGTGCAGTGAGTTATCGGAATATAGCGGATTTAAATTAAGTTTCACAACACTACTTCAGTCAATAGTCCACGCAAGACGAAACTTGTCTTATCAGTGGGCTGACTCTAGAGTATCAATAGATACCATAGAGCTCATCAGGGAGATGTGGTATGATACAGACAGGCCGCGGCGGAGCGGTTGCTGCTTATCTATAGTGGGCCGCACCAAGGGCCGCGAGTAAGTCCAAGCTACCCGGCGTCGCGGTGTGGTTATCACGAGACCCTAAACTACCTAAGTTAGCACTCTGTCGGCCGCGACCCGATTTCCCGCGGGAAACTCTGATAACCTTACCCTTGCGCTGGGTAGGCGTTATACCGCCCTTGACATGGTCTCCTGCGGGGACATTAGTCATGTTCCCCAGCGATAAGCATTCCCCACGGCCAGTCCACCGCATAGCCATCGAGATGTACGTAGATTATTGCAACTTCATGGGAGTCCGGCATGGCGCATACTGCTAGACCGGATGGTGACGTATTTTGCAATGGCACCAAACCCAGCGCAGTGCAGCACGGACTTGCTGAACATGGAGCCCTGACGAAATATACTTGAGGGAGTGCGCGGATTCGTGCTCCACTTGGGCGTGGATAGTTCACAAGTCTTTGGCCTTTCATTAGTTACATACTTGTTTAAATAGATTAGACGTGTAGACTGTCGCCAACTCCGCTCCTGCCTCTGTTACAGAGAGAATTCGCCAGCCTTGAGGCGTTCATTGTAAAGACTTTGATGGTAGTTCCCATGCCCAAATCACATACAAACGGAGCATTATAAATGCGGTTCGCTAGAAAATTGTACCACAGGTTTTATCTTAAGATTGGTTAGACGGACTCACAATATGACGATTACACTGTACGAACCAAGCCGGCTCAGCATGGCATATATTGCTGGAAACTACTACTACTTGCAGCTGTCGCAACCCCCAGTGTGATTTACGGGGAATATGTCAAACAAGCAGAATGAGATGAACATACATTAATCCATTTACTAGACGCTCGAACACAGTGGTGTAATTCCCTCCTCTATGGTGTACCAAGAACACACCTAGTCGCTCATTTTCCTCACTATGCGGTCCCCGCCTAAGGGATAATATGAGGTCAGGTATAATCGGGCTCAAAGGTGTGGTTCGATTCGCAAATAGACTGAATTTTCTTCCTCTTACGTGTAGAGGGACATGAAGAGGAATATATACCGGATGCTGTACGGTGCCTCACCGGACCTCCTGTAAACCTAATGCATCGCCGTGACAGACACCTAAGAAGCTTGGCTAGCTTTTAGATCAGGAGACACCCGACAGGTATTTGGCCGCGGAAAACAAAGGTCAGGGGCCATGGGTTTCCAGGCAGCCCTTAGCGTGCTGCTGCTGCTATGCTGATCCTGGACAAGTACGGGTCGACCAATTCCCTGGAGGTACTATTGCGTCCCTTGCAGCCTGACACTACTTTAAGTTACGAAGGCTTACTAGGGACAAGTAACACGATGGATAGTGTGAATATGCTATCAAAGGGGGTCGATGTGTGAGTACCAATAATTCAAACAATGAGATAAACTTAAGTCGGAGCACCCACATATGGGCCCCCCCTACATTTGGGCCCCCGGTAATTAATAGGTCTCAAAACTCAACACCACAACTCAACAATTATTATTAAATTAATTGACCTCTACCACGATACAGGA